TCCGGTCGGATTGCGGAACTAATCATAGGGGCACAGATAGGTGTTTGAAAGAGGTCGTCGGACTTCTGTCCAGTACAGGACTTATTAAAGTGCTGCGATGCCCAGGAGGGGCATCCAGTGGAGGCTGACCCTCCGGCTTGCCACATTAGGGCTATCTTTTGAGGCGTTGGTTAGGGTTGCAAGATCTGATGGGTTGCCTAAGGTGGCCTAGTTTGGTTGTAGATTCAGTCTTGCAACTTGCAGTCTCGACCTTGTCCCGCTGACCGGTTTGCTCGCGGAACTAAATCCTTATGTCCGGGACGGGGGTTTGTTCGCGCAAAACGCTGTTGTCGGAATCGACGTCTAGGGGGCGCGCGGCTCTGGGCGATACCGGTTTGAAGTTCTTCCGAGCGTGCATTGGCGCGCGGGTCGCGAGTGAAAAGTCAGTCGTCTGTCCGGTGTGCTAACAATTGGCACGCTGCCAATTAAGCGCGGGAACTCGGAATAATTAAGCGCGGACAGTAAAAATACGGTCTAGGAATTTTGTGGCGCGTATCCCTACTGGAGAGCTTCCCCGGGACTTATTAGGTCCGACTCAGAATCTGTATAAGTGCATTCGACAATATTAGCTAGTGCGGCCTCTGTATTCTAGAACTAACTGTTGCAACGCGAAACGGTAGTGACCTTTGACCCAGAAAATCCGTGCGCGTTTTGGGCGGTAACCTTATAACCAGCGATAGTCAGTGGCTTCTGTAAGTTAGTTAATCGTACGATAGAGTTAATTGACTGTCAACGTGACGAAAGAAGAAAGTGACGGTGGACAACCTCGGAAGCCCCTTCAAGTTGGAGCGGTGTCGACGCTCGGGCTGCTGCCGACGGCCAAGGTCTAGGTTCAATCACCATCAGTCACACCCAGATACACATCACATCACTTATTTCCCTTTCACTATACAACCACATGTGACCTGACCGACTCCGGAGGGACCAGTCGCCTTGGATATCGGTAAGTAAACTCCGCCTAATTCCTCTGCCGGTCGACTGGCCGTAGTATAGAACGCTCCCCCATATATTTTATTGTAATTAGGAATTTCCACGTGGCCACATTGAGGCCCGACCTACGTTTGCTCGGGAAGTCTTCTGCTCATGGGCCCCAGAGGATTGGATCCTTTAAGGGAGCAACCGTAGGCCGTAACAATGGATTTAGAAGGAATACGAATATTTTTAATTTTGGAAATGAGATCTAAGCTATTTTTAAGGCTGTAAGTGGGGTTGAAACCAGATTTCTCTCGAAGAAGAAAGTTTAATTTTTTAGAAAGGAAATAAGCTGGTGCACCTATATATGAGACAACTGGACGAATAAGAACATGTTCTTTATGTAGTTTTGGTAACCCATATAAAATGGGTGCTTGAGGATTCATTGGAACAAGACTGCTCCGAGACAAGTTGTGATCGGGAAAAACATATGATGATTGTTGTATACATAGCTTAATATCCGAAGTAAACTTTTTGGTTGGGTCAGACTTCAATAGCTCAAAGTCATCACCTTGGATAACATCGTTAACTTTCCGGCTGTACCCGCTACTCTCCATAATGACAACAGTTTTGCCCTAATCGGCTTTAGTAACTAAGGTCGTTTTCCCTTATTCTCTGCCTTATTGACTTAAAAACAGGGAACTCAGGATTGAAATGGGAAGACGCGGGCACAGCCCGAATTTCATTAGCTACCAAACTTTTAACGATGTTATCTTCCTTGCCGATCACAACAGCCATCTCCGCGTCAACGGCCACAGTCTCTAACGATTTTTGGGAGACCGAAGGTGTTAAATTATACTTTAAGCCTTTATGTAAAAGGGACAACTCATCTGTTGGAAACTGGACATCGGAAAGATTTTTAACTCGGGGATAAAATTGGTGATATTCTGTATGTATGTCGTTATTACGTTTACGGGATAAAGAGGATACAATTCGTTATAATTTACGGGACTGAATTTGATATTTCTCGTAAACAGCCATTGAGGCAAGTTTTCTGGCTTTCCCATCCAAAATATCAAATTCAATATTATGTAATTTATATGAAAGTTCAGAGTATAATACTTTAAGGTGGATTTTTAAATTATCTCTATTGGAAAACCAACGACGACACTCCTCTTTGATAAACCTCGCAGATCTCTTTGATAAACGTCGTCTACATCCCGGGGAAACAAATGATCTTCTTAACTTAACCTCTCTCTGTATGAAACAAAACTATTTTCGGTTTAATAACCGTTTCTATATACAAAAAGAAGGGTTAGCTATTCGCGGTCATCACCCGCGTCATCATGTCATCCGTGGCAACATAAATTAGCCGCTTTTTATTGTTACATTAATCGTTTGTTCACTGTCCCATTAAGTAAAGAAAATTATTTAAAAAAGCTTAATATAATTAATCAAATAGCGGTCTCTAACAGTTTTTCAAAAAATCTAATTAACAATTTAATTAAAAAGAAACAAAAGCAAGTTGTTCGTAACTCTTTGTACGCGGTTCGACCTCAAAGTATTCGTTGATATGTGAACAGTTTGACCTACTTATGCCCCATATCTGAAAAAGTAGCTAATACTATTCGACAAAATGGCGTGTATGTGGCGTTCAAAACAAACAATTATCTTAGAAATATCTGTAATAATGAAGATAAGTTGGATATTCGTCAAAATTCGGGTGTTTACAAACTTGTTTGCGACGAATACCACGCCGTTTACGTGGGTCAGACTAGTCGCAACTTCGAAACACGTTATAAAGAGCATTTAGCCGCGTACAGGAATTGCAATCCCGATAAATCCCATTTTGCTAAACACCTTTTGGACACTGGACACAACCTAGCCAACGACCACTCCTTTAAAGTCTTACATACGTGTAATAAAGGGCTGCGACTGTGTGTGCTGGAACAGTTAGAGATATTAAAAAGTAATATTAGTAACGTTGCACTGCTGAATGAACAAACAAATGTTTCTAACTCATCTCTCTTAAATATCTTTAAGCCTGCTCTCTAATAGACAGACAGCCTCGCAATGTGATCGTTTGTCACCCTTACGGTGATCGGCGATTGGTTGCGTGGTTGAAGGGTAGGCGGGCATTGCACGGCGGTATGTTTTTAATTTTACAAACGGCTGCGAAGTCCGGCGGTGATTGATCGCATGTTTTATCGTATGACGCGGTCGCTCGCTCCTTAAGCAGAGAACGGTTGCGTCAGCGATCTGTATAAAAGGCAGTTGTTTTGGCTCACCGCTCACTTAACGGTCAGCCAGCGTAGAGTCTACATCACCTGAGGATGCCTCGTGTAGAGGCGAAACACGTGTCGTATTGCCATCAGTGGTGTATCTTTTCTAGTGTAGTGGTGTTGGGAGTAGTGGTGCTGGGATTAGTGGTAACGGGGATAGTGCATGCAATTGAGGGAGGGTGAGAGGTGCTCTTCATACTAGGTAAGACACATCATTTTATTTTATAAAGCGGATGTTTGCGAAGTAACTTTATAAAAGCTTTTATATAATGGATTTACGCAAAGTAACGCCTGATTCTATTAATTATATCGAATAACTTCCAATTTTGTGGTCACTTGGAAGGGAAGGCTGAATTGGCCTCTAAAAAGCTTCGCGTGCTCAGCAGTGCGGGACAGTATTTTATGATGGCACCCTGCTTACAACTTTACAAGGGGCAGGTTCGTCCTAACATGGAATACTTATCTGATCTCTAGGTCGCGCTAATGCCAGCTCCTTCCACTTGACAGCATCCAGCGCAAAGTGGCTCGAATCGTCGACGACCGACGAAGACGAAAGATGAGACGAAGAGATTTTGCATTTTCTATCGCATTTACCATGGGGAGTGTTCAGAGGAATTGTTCGGAATAATTCCAGCCACAAAATTTCATCAACGCATTTCACAAATCCACATCATCGGGATCTTTGGCGGTGCACTACTTTCGGACCCATACGACTTCGGGAGCTTCAAGAAACGAGCTTACTCCTTTTTTAAAAGCCGGCAACGCGCATGCAATTCCCCTGGTGTTGTATTTATTAATGGGCGGTGATCGGCTCTTGCCATCAGGTGAGCCGCATGCTCGTTTGTCCCCCTCTTCTATATAAAAAAGACAATAAAACGAAGTAGACAATTGTCTTTAAGAATGTTATATTTAAGTTTTGCAAATGGGAGTAATTTTTGTGTTTTTAGTTCCAGTTGTGCGCGGTCAGGGGCCAAAAAGTTAAAACTCGATAACTCTTTTTACAACTAGGATAGTACATAATTTTTCGAAGGTCGGTCTTGGAGGCCCAAGGGCCCCTTTAGCTTGGGGGCCCCGGTGCACTGCCCCGCCTAGCCCTTAGGTAGCTACGCCACTGGCGTTCTCTTTCCCAACTGTCAAAATAATGCCTAATAAAAAGAAAAAAACCAACCACGAAGTTTTTACTAAAAAAAATTCATAGAAGTTTTTATGATTCATGCAAATATTTCTAAAAAGAAGCTACTAATTTGTTTCAACATCAGATTTAATGATTTGATTCAATGAGTTAGGTTAGGTTCCATTTCATTTCATCTCATTAAATTTCATTTTCATTTCATATCAATAAAAAAATTCTACTGAAGACTTGGCTGTATGGGCATAGTTCCCTTTGCCTACCCAGAATGAGTGAAGTAAACAAAACCATCTATGCTTATATTCTTTTACGGTTGGCGCCATTTTCGAAAAATGTTCTTTATTAAATTGCTTCATTTATTCGCAACTGTATAAATAGTTGTTTAGTACACGTGCGGAATCGTCATTGCAACTTGTTCCGACTGTCAACCCTCACCTTCGGCTGCGCCTCGGCTCGGGTAGACATTTGTCGGAACTCTTTGCAATGACAGGCTTTCCGCACTCGTAATGAAATATAATATTTTTTATTGCAACTAGATCTTTGAATGCCAACCAAATGATTTAACGTTTAACTACTTCTCAATATATATTGGTAAAATTACAGTACTAATGTTAACATTAAATAATTTTATATTTCAGGACAGTTACTCATTAGAACAAATGTGCGGCGGCACAGCCATATTTCCTTCCGCGGAGAAAACTGAGAACATGCTAATGAACCTCTTGATGCCGCTCTGTTTACGAGTTGGCAGTGGGAGGAAAGGTATTGTGTATAAATAACATACAAATAATCTTAGACCAACAAAAAATATATAAAGAAACCTGCATATGGTGACGTCGAAACAATGTTAGATATTTTTTTATTGTAAGGTTACGCACTCACGTATGTGTATGTATATATTATGTACGTATGATAAAGAATGGGATTAGAAATGGCGGTTTACTGAGCCCGTATTGTCAGGGTGCACCGTACATAAAGCAGTACTAATAACGTTGCATCGATATTTTACAAATAATGATATTATATTAATTAAAATTATTAATTTTGAAAAATTTTAGTAATTGAAAAAATTAATTAAGTAGTATATCAAAATCAATTGAATAATGTACTTAAATTATTAACTGAATATTAAATAGGAATGTAAATCAATAAACAAATAATATTTGTTTATGGAGATTTAATAATGATTGACACTTTAAAACAATACATTAAACAAAAATATAGTGAACATTTATATTTTGTTACTTTGTCGCGGCGGCGCAGACGTGCCGCCGCTGCGGCAGTCGGACGTGGCGTACGTGGTGTCGGTGGTGCTGAACGCGCTGTGCCCGCCCGCGCCGCCGGGCCAGCTGGCCGCCGTCAACGCCAAGCTCAACGCGGCCGACGCGCGCGCCAGCTCGCTCACCTTCACCGGCAGCCGCGACATCCGCAGCACCACGCGCCTCTCCAACCAGCTATACCGCATCGCCTTCCTCGGTACACGCCACACGCTACACGCTACACGCTACACGCTACACGCTACACGCAACACATTTACTTATACCAATACTTTTACTAATTTACAGCGACCTACTTGCTAAACTCATCACTTATTGCGTATATTACTTTGAAAAGCCGTCTTCGATCCCTCAATTATAAGATTTCGCATTATATGAAAGGTATTGGCTCTACGCTCATCAACGCAGCCGAATAGCGCGATTGAATATAAACAAATATTTCAAGCGACGTATGACAGTATGGTGAAAATAATAAAGAATTTGTCTCTATGAACTTTAAATATTTTCGCCACAGCCATTTTTGTGAAAGTTATTCCGACATCTTTCGAATGTCTCAGTATCTTACTAGTATTACTTTTATTCCTCATGTGATAGCGGCATAAGAGAATCCATTACCCTATTTCGTTCCGTGCATGAAATAAAAGGCAACCATGTGAAATGCTCGAAAGATCTCTTGCGATAAATAGTGATATAACCATCTCGCTCGTTTATACGAGGCATAAAATACCCAAAGCACGTTAATGAACCTTAACGTGAACGTGTAACGTTTCACGATAATAGATGCCATACACGATCCAGTTTACGGTCAAGTTTGTAGCGCGCTTGAAGCGGTGTCCGGTAAACTTGACGGTGTATAGCTATCAGTGTGCATGACAAGTCTACTTAAAGCAAAAATTTAATTTCAATTCTGCCGACTTGATCAAATGTGCAGCGTCATGTAAACTTGAACGTGTGTATAAACGGTCAAATATGCATGACGCGTTAGTCGGAGCAATAAACGAGAGACACCATGGTTTCGACTGGTGCGGCATCATGCAAACTTGACGGCGAACTTGAACGTGAGCGGTCTATATGGATGCATTACAAACTACTGCAACCTGACGATAAACTGAATCGTATATGGTACCGATAATGTTACGCTACCACGTAATAGAGTCACGTTAAGTGCTGCTATTACCAATCTGTTAGCCGGACGTGATAAATCAATGCTAATTCCTCCCAACAACGAAAAGGGCCCTTCTTCGTCAGTGGATTTAACTGAGATAAAGTAGAACCTTACTATAGGCAAAAGTAAAATTTTTTATTTGAATATTATTCACGTTTGTCACCAGCTCTCAAAGTGCTGTGCGCGTGTTTCACAAGCGAGCTGTGCTCGGAGTGGGGTCGAATCGCGCGAGCCATGCGCGAGCTGGGCCGGCGCAACGAGGCCGCGCACCACCTGTGGGACTTCCTGGAGCACGTGGTTACGTACCGCACGCCGCTCTACGTGCTGCTGCAGCCCTTCATTGTGCACAAGGTGACACGCGCACGCATACGCAGCTGCTCCGCGCACCGCCACGCTGCTGATTTCTTTGGCATTCTATGAGAGTTGAAAAATTGAAGTCCGTTGGAAGTATTAATTTTCATGTTTGACTATTACTTTAATTCCATTTTCTAATAATAAAAGCCAGGTATATTTGAAAAATAGTTGACTTCACTATATTAAGAAATAGATAATCATGAAAAAATTTAACGTTATCAATTAGAATCACAAGAACTCCTACAATAACATATATTTTCTTTTTTAATAATTCGTAATCAATATCCTAATGATCGTTGGTCTTTCCCATTATTAGGGATTTGCGGTAATTGTCACGCTTAAGAGTCAAATTAGCGATTGCAACATCTACATGTGCTCGTGATCTAAAGAGAATATAATCACTACATTTAAGAGGCCGGACTTCCTTTGTTTAGGCCAAATCTTAACATTTTAAAAACTTGCATTCAAGACGCGGGTCTTGGCGTGTTCATCCGATGGAATTTAAGGTCACCACTTGCCCCCTCTCCCGCGCGGAACTCTCGGCTGACTGCTTGGTTGCCTGACGTGTGGGCAGTTGGTCCGCGGCAGCCGTGTCGGTTAACTGTCTGGAAGTTACGCCCGGAACGTTAGGTCGCGTTAAGACCGCCTCTGATTGCGTTGTCTGATTTCGTGCGTTTACGTGACAACGAGGCCTTCCTTGAGTTTTGAGTGATTAACTTAACTTCGATTGACATTAATTTGCGTCGACGAGTTGCTTGTATGGCATTTTAATATCGTACGAAGGCATTTTTCCTTTGTAGGGTAGAACCCTATGAATTTGTGAACCGAGAGAAGATCGCGTTCGTCTTCGGTTATAATTTTGTGCTAAGTTTTTTTTTTTTTTTTTTTTATAGGATAAGGGTGACAAACGAGCACACAGTCCACCTGATGGTAAGTGGTCGCTGTGGCCCATAGACATCTACATCTATCTTCTAGACATCTACATCTATCTATCTTAAGTGACGTTAGACTTGAGTTCAGATAACGGTGAACGCCCACTGGAGTGATCGAACATTGTGGAGCAGAGCAACGCATGTAGGTTTGCTGCCCGATTACATCGGTAACGTCAGGTTACATTTACACACCTTCTTACACTACTCACACCTACCATTAACTTACCCCTGACGGTACCTTGTGGTCGACCCTACCTCCGGAACTCGGTAAGTTTGTGTTTGTTTATCCAGCCACTACATAATAATTATCTATAGGCCATTTGGGCCCGAACCCTCTGGTTGCCCGTCGAGTGTGTTACTCATGGGCCCTAGTACAGTCGACTTCTGTCGGGGCAACTGAGGGCCGTAACATCCTTAGTAAAAATAAATGTATGAAAAGGCGCCAAGCTACCTTACCCATCATCAATACATGATATTTAATTTTTAACAAACAATGCAGACAACATAGGTGAATTATAATAGTGTTGTTGTTGGAACCGGCTTACCTAATAAGTTAGGGCACGACGTTACCCGGTGATCAGATGCTCGACAATAGGAGCAGGGGGGGGGGGTTGACGACGACTTGCCCAGCGGATTCAGCCTCTCACTGGGCACGGCTCGTAAGTCGTCAACGGTGCCCGCCGCGTTCTCGATCTGCCGGCACTGCTCCTCCAAAAACCGCAGCAGGTCATAGAAGGGCGGAATATAGGAGGCCTCGTCCCCGCCGTACCTCTCCTCAAAATGTATTCGAAGGTCGAGAGGTAGACGGGACAGCACGATGCGGAGCAACAAAAAAGGCCCATTCGCCCACTGGTAAATCCAGCCGCCTCAACGTATTACAGGCCACCAAGACTGGATTCAACAGGTCCGGACGTAGTCTGGCCCGGTCACTCAGCAGCGGGAGGCTTAGAAGCTGCTTAACATGTTCGTCCGCAATTCGCCGGACGTTGGCGTATCTTCTGGCTAGGAGGTCCCGAGCAGTCTGGTAGGCGTCGTCTGACAATCTCAAGTGGCCGACGACACCCAGGGCCTCCCCCTCCAGTGAGGCCAGGAGGTACGCCATCTTTTGGCTCGGGGACAAGTCACTCCGAGCGTCCACTAGGCTGTCGAAAAGACCAACGAAGGTCAGCCATTCGGAAAGGACCCCGGAGAACCTTGGCAGGTCCAGAGTTGGGAGTCGTCCCAACAGCTCCGGCTGAAGCTGCTTCCGAGAGGACTCGAGCAGGCCACTCATCCGAGCTTCACGTGTCTCCTGCCTTCAGCCTCGATCAACTCGTCTGTGAGCGAAAAGAACTGCTCGTAGTCCGCGAAGCAGGAGTCCAGGACTCCCTTTTCCACATCCGAATCCTCGAGCTCAGCGTAAGCCTCCTCCACTGCGGTCCTTCGAGCATCGACCTGCTCGAACCGCTTCATCAAGTTATGGACCCTATCCGGTCGACCTATCAAAGCATGGGCGCTTGTGGCCCAGCGTAACTCAGTCCGCAGGCAACGGATTAGTAGCTTGGGCGATGACATCACTACTAAATACAAATTACGACGTGGCTCGAGCACAAATTACAAAGATAACAAATAACAAATACAACAAAAAATTAACAGTTAACAAATGCAGTTCCTATCAAATCGAGTTGAATAGAAATTACACAAATACGAATTACTACTTATCAAACCAAATACAAGTTAGCACAAAAGAAAAGACACAAATCAAATTAACAAATAACAAATACTAGTGCGATCAAATCAAGTTAAATTCAAATGGCGCAAATACAAATTACTACTCTTTAGTTCAAATACAAATTACAATACAAACGAAGATACACATCACGGTCGATCAACAAAAAATGTCTAGCTCGGAAATCGACCCTTCGATAAGTAATCCACTACAACTATCCGACAACGATAATTAACCGATTACGTGATAATAACCATCTACCTACATGACGTATACCTCTAGAAAAACTCCCGCTTGCGCACTAAACGGGCGCGGCTTTTCAAATCTACCCGCTAACTAAATAAGCAAGCAACAAAGGAAAATAATTTTATTATTACGTACAAAAAAAATATTTTTACGTATTACGGACGGGCGTGATTGTAGACACAAAATTAAACCAATCAAACCAACGCTCCCTGCCACCAGAATTGTTTAATTTTTATCAAACACTGGTCGGGATCGACCGGGGAATCGAACCCGGAACCACGCTCTGCTACCAGTTTGTACACGCCCCTAGCTGCCCCAACAAAGGTGACGGGATTAGGGCCCATGAGTAATTCCATCGACGGGCAGCAGAGGGACGGGGCCACGATATGGCCACGTGGAATATATTCTATCACAATAAACAATAAGGGGGAGCGTTCTATCTTACTGCCATTCAACAGGGAGAATATTAAACCCGAACTTACCTACCTATATCCAAGGCGACTGGTCCCTCAGGGTTCGGTCAGGTCGCATGAGGTTGTATGGTGCATGGGAAGTAAGGATCAGTAATGTGTGACTGAGTGTGGTAGACCTTATGAGACCGTTGCCGTCGGCAGCAGCTCGCACTTCAGCACCGCTCTAAATTGTGGTAATCTTCCGCAGAGTCGTCTACAGTCACTTTCTTCGTTCGTCACGAGGACAGTCCTATTAGCTTCATTGTACATTTAACTAACTAAAACTCGCCTAATTCCGCATTCATCGTAGAATCGAACACGTGATACCCGATACACAGTAACGGATAGTAGTTCAAAGTTCAACATTCAATGTCCCGGATTCACTTATCACAAATTATAAAGAGGGAATTAAAGCGATCTATTAATGAGTCATACTACTCAGTTAAACACAACTAAGTTCCTTCATTCGACACCAAAAACCACGTCGCGAAAAGATTCAAAATACGCCTCGTTGACGCGTAAACTAACAAGCCAACAAACACAAAAAAGGGCACTTAACGCGACGACACGATTATAATAATTTCCTAATGATCAACCGGGAGAAGCTCTCGAACAAGGAATGCGCGGTTCGAACCCTAGACCGAATATCTACACGACGCGCGCGTGCACAATTCCGCATCCCCGAACAAAAAATGACAGCGTGCTGTCCCAAGCACAGCTGGCAAACGACTTCTATTTGCCCTCGCGCGTTCTACGCACGACCGATCGTCAAACCGGTATCGCCGAGCCGCGCGCACTCTGACTCAATCCCGAAGTCAGCGTTCGGGCGTAAACAGTTGTAAAAATCTTACTTCGAATAATTTTCTCGACATTTTTCGAATTTTAGATCTTCAATGCACTAATAGTGAATGATTTATGCAAAATAAAAATACAAAAGTAATATAATTATTACATGGGGATTAAGTAAAAATGCCGATAAGGATCAGAAATCAATATTTACAATTATTACGTACAAAAATAATGCATTATTACCAAATTAATACTAATATTATTCTACGGCGGTGGTTTTTATTATTATTTAGCCATACCTTGTTGTTCTGGTATTTTCAAATAATTTGCCAAGTTTTCTTCAGATATCGCCAGAAATATATTTCTAATTTTGCATTCATTTCTAATTAACAATAAGCTAAAACGCTGTATTTACTAAATAGAGCTGAAACGCATGAAAACACAATGTATTTCTCAAGTAATACATATTATATTAAATTAGATTATTTAGTGCGATTGCCAAGTCTATTTATTTATTTAAAACATAAAAGATTTTTAATATTGATATGGTCACTATAAGATGTTGTTAGGTTAGCTAATTACGTAATAACGTAAAACAGAAGGACCCTTAAGTAGCGACTGAATAAATTAACCGACTTGGTTTCCCTAAAATAAAGAATAAATTGCGTGGACAGAGATTTTCATCACCTGAAGAAGCTGTGGACGCCTACAAAACGGCCATTTTGGAGACGTCAACTTCCGAATGTAATGGTTGCTTCAATGATTGGTTCCATCGTATGGAAAAATGTGTCAAATTTCGCGGAGAATACTTCGAAAAGCAATAAATACATTTTTAAATAGTAATGTTGTGTCACTTCCTTGATTCCCGAAATTTTCAGTCCCGCCCTCGTAAGTACACATAAATATTTTAATTGTTACGCCGTAATCGAATGTTAATGATCGATTATGTCTACTACCGGTGGAATAGTGGTATAAATAAATAAGTAGTACAGTCGCAACCTGTTTTAATAAATAAAACAACCAAATGTAACTAATATTTTTTTAATTGGTACTTACAGTCAATTACCATATTTTTTATTAGAAAAATATTTTCTGCGACGGCATTGACCAAACTTTTCTCGAGTCGATAATTTCAGGCAGTTCACACTTTTCATAAAAAGCTTGTTACATGGATAACATAATGAAAATCTAAAATTGGTTGTCTTTGTAAATTTTTAGTACTTTTACTGCATAATCTGGGCCAGTGCATATTATGGCAGGTATTCAGTCATTTTTATTTGCTAAATAAAGCTGGCCTTTGATTTGGTAAAACCAATCATTATTTTGATTTAATGTTACACTTGAATCACTGAATTTATAACCTTTAACTTTTTTTTGCTCGAAAGGCCGTGTCAAAATCTATTCCGAAAGATGAAATAGGACATTTAACTTCAATAAGACCGCCGCTGTATAAACTATTAGGTGAAGCCCTCAAATAACAATGATCTAGGTCTATGAATAGACCACATGTTTCTATAATAATATTTTCTTGTTTGCTCAATTGTGCCAATGCTACAGACTCGTTGTCCCTACCATGTTTAATGGAAGAGACGTGATCTAAATTATAACTATATAAAATAGTTTTAAACCGATCGATCAAAAATTGCGGTCATAGTTGACGATGCTCTAGCACGCAGGCAATCGACGCACACTACGATAGCAATCGACGCATACTACGATAGTATAGAAACGACGCAGCGCGCGAAATCAACTAACGCAGGTCCAACCTCGACAAGCGCTCGCGCGATAGTGAACGCAGATAGCCGGCGCAGTGAAATATATAGTACTTTTATTTAATTAATTAAAATATAATAGTAACAATTTAAAAAGTAAAAATAATATGTTGATGATTATTTTGGTATAAATTTTACGTCTAAATGATGTAAAACTTCGGAAATATAGAGGCTTGTATCGAAGCTTTTTCGGGCGTTTTTTGAATTATGTATTTTTTTTCCTATCGTGAAAGGCGTATAACGAAAATGTATTAAATAATTATTAAAGTGTAGGATATTTGGGAGATAAAAATGTTTTTATTGATGGTCGATATTCAATAGAATCTATAAATTAGAGCTCCCAAATCATGTCTTCGAGCGTTTTTACCTAAACATGCATCGGGAGAATGATTATTACCGATTAAATAAATAAGTTATCTAAAATCCGCTCTGAGCTTATTTGAGAAGAGAAAACGAATTATTTTTACCAAGTAATTGTTATTTCAAGCAACGAACGATAAACATACTATTTCAACGCGGGAACCTTGCAATTTCGCGTTTGTTTTTGTAATACGCCTCTTAAACTATGCGCCCAAATAACACGCTATAAAGAGCAGAGATTATCTTCATAAAATTGTCTTGATGATGAAGTAACTTTCGTTCGTAAGTATTAATATGCCATGCCTAATAATAACGCTCATAAATCACTTTTTTAATTTTCAATAATTTTTTGTCACAAAATACAATATATGGCATATGGTATCGCGGAATTATTTTCAGATGAAGTAAAGATCTATATTTTTGTAGAACATTGTATTGGCGTATCACACTAACCATTACGTAAATAAAATATCATTTCGGGAGTGCTTTTTCCTCTGATTTGCCTAATAAAAATCAATATTTAAGGCTAGCTAAGTGGTGTAGTCTAATTCCTCTTCCTCATGAATCTGCCTATAATATATAAAAATATTTTTTTAAAGCGGACTCGTAGTTCCAGAGATTAGCCTGTTTAAACAAACAAAAATCTTTACCTAAATATAATAACTTAAAACTATAGCGTTTTACGCTTTATTATATTGGTATAGATAGTAAGTAGACAAAGACGTCATTAAAATTAGCTCTCGTTTCGTACGTATAATTTTTACTAAGGAAGTCTAAGCCACTTCTCTACATCTTTAATCATCCCGGTGCCCAAAGGTCATCCCTGTGCCCAAAGGAAAGTCAGCATCGAACGTGGACCAATACAGGCCGGTTGCGGTGCTTTCGACACCGGCTAAGTACTGGAGGCTGCAGTACACAAGAGCATCCTCTCGCAGGTTAATGTACAGCTTTCAGATGAGCAACACGGTTTCAGACCCACCAAGAGCACCACTAGCAACCTAATTAATTACATTAATTATATTGTACTTGAAGTGGATATTGGAGGACAGGTAGATGTAGCTTATTTTGACTACAAAAAAAAGTTTTCGACCTAGTGGATAATGATATACTGCTCGCAAAACTGGCAGGTTTAGGTTATACTCCCCATTTCACTAACCTTTTTGGATAGCTACATGCGGGATAAACAGCAGTATGTAGAATAAGCGGGTTATATGTCAGTAAATTATTTTACTAGGTCCGGAGTGAATAATGAACTTCCGACGGTTGTCATTGATGCTCTCAGCATTCTATTTGCAGATGATCTAAAACTGTATCTTGCTGTTAGGAACAGAGAGGATTGACAAAAGTTACAAGATATAGATATAGATGGGGTAGTAACTTGGAGCAAACATAATAATTTACAATTTAACGTCTCGAAAAGCATAACTATGACTTTCAGCCGTCCGCTATCTCCAGTTAGTACCAATACCAAATTAACAGGGTACCAATAGCGAAGGTGTCATAAGTCAGAGATTTAGAGGTTAATTTCTCATCTAATCTAGAATTTCGAGAGTATGTAAACAAAATCTGTAACAAAAAGCCTACAGAAATTTAGGATTCGAGCTTCGGGTAGCTAGGGGCTTCACTAATATCAAGGCAATTACTATATTGTATAACTCTTTAGTGAGGAGCCAATTAGAGATCAACGTAGTCATCTGGCCTCCATATGAAAGTAAATATAGTATCATGTTGGAGAGAGTGCAGAATATATTTATTTGATATTTATGTAAAAATCTCTTTGAAATAAGTTATGGTCCTACTGTGATATAGATATGGTGTTTGTAGTAGAAATAAGTACATATTATAATCAATAATTATTAGGTTGTAGTTGTGTAATTGTAGTTTGTAAAATAGTTGTCTATATTATCGAATTAGGTGATAAACCTGTAATGATAATTGTATAGTGGGAAATAAATAGATAAATAACCGTCTCAACCGGCGCGCATGCCGTAACTTAACTACTCTGATTCGCGGTCAAAAACCGACACCAGATGGAACGGCCCGCGCCACGTTTGAGCGTTTCAATGAACAATTTGGCGCGCGTTCCAAAGCGGAGCGCATAATCGATACGCGATTTAAAGGTCACAAGCGCTCATGATTAGCAAGAAGTATACAATTGTTGATATTGTTGTGGTGTGTGGTGGGCAGCTGTCGCAGCCGGCGATCGGCGACCACGAGCGGCACATGCAGTTCGTGGTGCGCGAGCGCGCGCGCGGGCTCAAGCTGCCGGCCGGCCGCGCGCGCGGCGCGCTGCTGGCCGAGCTGGCGCGCGACTTACGCGCGCTCCGCGACTCACACGACCACTACAAGTTCGGTATGTGCGCACACAGTCATTTGTTTATGTGTAGCACCCCCATTAGCGTTATGTTTTGATATCATTTGAATCTTTTTCGTCATCATGGATTCGTTAAAAATTCGAGTAATTATGGAATATGAGTACTGTCATGGTAGCAACACGGCACAAACGATATGGAATATCAACGACGTTTACGGAGCTAATACTACAAACGAACACACTACCTGTTATTGGCTTGCCCGATTCCGCTCTGGAAATTTCGACCTTAAAAATGAACCCCTTGGTCGCCCAGAAGCTTTGGTCGACAATGACGAATTAAGGGCGATTGTGGAAGCTGATGATACTCATTCCACGTCTGTATTAGCAGCAGCTTTCGACGTTAGCATCAAAACAATATTGCTGCATTTGCGTCCAATTGGCAAAGTAAAAAACTTGACAAATGGGTGCCCCATGAACTCAATGATTTTTCCGGATCCATATGGCTTAGGGATATTTAATAAATAAGCTTACTCATTTTTTAAAGGCGTACAACGCACTTGCATTCCTTGGTGCTGCAGTTGTTCGTAGGTGGCGGTCGACAATTACCATCATAGGAGCCGCATGCTCGTAATGTTCGTATGTCCCCTCTTCTATAAAAGAAGTTGACCTATTCTTGCAGGAATTATTGTATAAAAGTACGTGCAAGCGGTTACTTGTGCGTAGTAGAGCAATGCTGCAGATATACCTAGTCAGGTCATAAATTCTGTCACATGTTTAATATAAAATAATTGAAACAAGTTTATTCATTATGTAACCATTTATATACCAAAATGAACTTAACATAACATAGATTCTTATGACACTAAAGTTTATTCAAAATGACCTCCGTGATTTTGAATACAGGCCTTCAATCTGCGCGGCCAGTCGTCTATCGCAGCACGAATGAGGTCCGTGTCAATATCGGCGGTTGCCTTAATCAAGGATGTCTTGAGTGACTCCAAATTGGGATGAGGCTTTGAGCACGCCTTTTCCTCCAAGTGTTGCCATATCTTGTAATCTAACGGATTCAAATCTGGACTGGAGGAGGTCCAGTCTTCGTGCCGGATGAAGTCGATTTCACGCGCCGCCAGCCAGTCTTGTGTGCTCTTCGCTCTATGAGCTGGCGCCGAATCTAATTGGAATACCCAGTGCCTGTTATTGAACATGGTATGAGAAACAGGTTCCACAAGGTTCGTCAGGACTGTATTTTGATACACAACTGCATTCATTTTTACACCTTTCTCACAAAAATGTACCTCTGTTAAGCCCCAATAAGAAACTCCCAACCATACCATGAGCGAGGATGGAAAATGACCTCGTTGGACACGCGGAATACGGTTGCTCGCTTCTTCACTACTATGTGCGTACACCTTATCATTTTGTTTGTTGTAGCCCTCTTCTACGGTAAAATTTTTTTCATCCGAAAAAAGAATTTCCCGATATTTTTTTCCCGCGTACCGCTTCAACAAAGCGCGGCATCTCTTAAGTCTTAGGTCCATTCAAACGATGTCTTGTTTTTCTTCGATATGCCCGAAGCCCTAAGTCTTCATTTAACACCCTTTTCACCGTGGTTCTGCTTAACCCCATCTGAAGGGCCAACAGTTTCTGCTTACGTTTGGGATTTCTTTGAATTCGCGCCTTCACAGCTTTTATCACTGCTGGAGTCCTAATAGACCGAGGGCGACCACTTCTTGACCTGTGTCATCTACGCTAGAGTCTTCATTGTATCGTTTGATGGTACGATAAACGAATCTTTTGGTTATATTCAAATTTTTCAGTATGTCAAAAATTTGAATTGGCGCGTAACCGCAACGATGCAACGCAATAACTGCAACACGGTCTTCTTTAAGCGTCCACTCCATATTTAAAAATGAGTAAAATTCTAAAAAGTATACAGTTTTATTTTCATGAACAATTCGAAATTCGAATTCAATAAACTTTTTTGTGGCCAGCATTCTAAAAGAAAAGTTTTTACTGTGTGACAATACTTATGACCTGACTAGGTATAATGGTTGTTGCATGAATGGGTCGGCTCGACCGGGGTAGGACGAAGCTCTTACAAAACCACTAGCAGCTTAATTCTGTCGTGTTTCATATGGTGAGTATAACCGTAGACCCTTTTTACTGGAAACGAGGAATGCCGTCTTAGTCCTTAGGAGTGACAACGCATCTACATTTTGATTCTTAATCGAGGATAAATATATAAGTATATGAGTCACAGCAGCCACTAACCATCAGGTGAACTGTGTACTCGTTTGGCACCCATATTCTATAAAAAATAATATTTTGATGGTTTATTGATGTAAGTGAGTGAGAGTTGTGTGCGCGTGCGCAGAGCAAATGGCGGAGAGCGTGTGCGCGGGTGGGGCGGGTGGGGCGGGCGGCAAGCGGCTGTCGGAGGCGCTGGCACGCGACAAGCATCAGCAGCAGCACCGGCCCTCGCTCATCTCCATGCTGGTGGGGCGCGCCGGCCTGCCGCGCACGCCTGACCACCCCGCCGCGCCGCTCGCCGCGCAGCGAGGTACGCGCCACGACCCACCATACACCGCCTTACTCATTCATTCGTTCGTTCTTCAATTCATTTGTTTGTTCATTCATGTATTCATTTTTTGGAGTTTACACATTAAGTCCAGGTTGGACATAAAATCGCATTGTAAACACGATTTTGACGCTACACCAAATCTAACAAATACCTTTTGACAACTACCATATTTAGTACGTATTCCAACTGCAAAATCGGTCCCTACAATATTCGATTCGTGTGATTGGTGTTCGACTGAATCTGAACAATGTTTCTTTTGATTCTAGTTAATTTTTTTTTATATCCTACTTTGTAGAACTCTGTACAGTAAAAAAAGTAATGGAACATAGATAACTTCATTATTCTTTGGATTTACGTAAATGGTTATTTTAAATCGTGTGAGTACGCTTGTACAAAGTTATTGCGGAATGTGAAATGTCGAAAGGTATTTTTCTTATATTTGGTTTGGAAAAAAACTTTAGAAGTTTGAATTCTTTTTTTTTTTAACGATAACCACATAATATTTTTCGATAATATGAAAGACATTATTGAATTAGATTCTTAATTGGCTACGTTTTCATTTACATCCCTTACTAAGTAAACACCGCTTTACGCGACCGTTACTAAGTAAACACCGCAACCGTTTGCTCCGCGAGACTAACTCTTAAAACAGTGTAAAAACTTAGGACCGTATTAATAAACGTTACTCAGCTCAAGTACTTGCACTTGAGTACAATCTTGAGGTTATGATCTTATTAATAAACATATCTCAAGATGCAGTTTAGGTTTACGATATCCGCTGAGTGCCACACTGATTAATAAACAAAACTCGACTCTCAACTGTGTGTGTACTTGAGATGCTAAAACCTGAGTGCGGACAGACCGTGACTTAGGATCGTGATTGTTGACATGGAGATTGAAAATATTTTAAGATAAATTAATTACTACTACGAAATTAAGTACAATGACTATATATTACGTCCATCGCGACATTGTTTACCAAAAATTTATATAAGGGATTGGTCCGATCCTTTTAAGTTACTATGTTAACATTTTACAAACTGTTCGCGCCCAAACGCTGGTTTCAAGATTTGACGCCAGAGGGAGCTCGGCTCGGTACCATACCGGTTTTGATGTTTGGGCGAGCGGAGTGGCTTTGGCAGAGGGCGCGAGCGCAGAACGTGAGTGCAACGGAGTTGCTTGAATGCAGTGCTGTCGATAGCACGTCATGAAGTCGCTCGGGATAACCTCCATTTTTTAGAGTCGGTTTTGTTAGCAAATTGTGCAACGACGAGGAATTGTAGTCTAGAATTAGACGCCGGGTTGACAAATGGTTAGGAAGTTAACATTGATTGCGATCAAGTCCTCGCATGTCGATACCTATAACGTTAACTCGGTTAACGCGATAGTGAAGTCATTCTAATGATTTTATGGAACTTGCACTAGGCACACAGAGCGGAAAGTTGTATTTTCGAGCTATGACCTTTGGAGAAAAATATTTACTGCCATGGACAGTTTCCCCGGTATTTCTCTTCTAACATATTGGTAATATAAATAGGTAGATACTTAACTAAGTACTTAAATATGAAAGTAAACTTAATAATTCAAGTAAGGACTCTTGTAGGAATCTTCATCATGCTTCATGTTTATATTCTTTCATCTGTTCCTGAAAAGTATAAAGTAATAATAAACTTATATCTATTGCGAGTATATCATTTTAGCTGCATAAATTTTAAAAACATAATGATCTTTACATAGTAAAGTGCACCAAGTATCTGAGGATACAGATGCACTCTCTATTCTCTCAATCTCGGTATGTTAAGAAAATGGTCACTTGTTCATGGACTGACCGCAGCAAGTGCAACTTAATCTCGCAGATCTATTGATCCGCGCAGCTATTACTTAACCACGAGTTCCTCTTCTCTACGACTAACGCAGTAGGCGATGAACCACGCTATATAAGACCTCGGCACAATGTCGGCCATCAAGCATGAATCGAGCATCGAGCGTTGTGAGTATCAAATACTATGGAGTGTATACTATCACGTCTCATGCGCGGGCGCATCAGGCGCTTCAGGAGCATTCCTAAATATCTATACCTAACTACGCTAAAAGTTTTATCATTGTAACTTGGGAATATAATCCGAAGCTTCGCTCAACCGTCTCTCAACTCCTTGGGGAAAATAGCGTGATGCTATTAATATTGTACTAGTGTGACCGAGAGGCTGTGCGGTTGGTTAAGTAAGGTTATAAATTTATTTTGGTTGATAAATAGATACTTAGTTGGGTCCATATTGGCTTAAAGAGGATAATCTCAAGATTTATTTAACTTTAATGTACAACAGTTTTATAATGTGTAAAAATATGTCTCTTTGTTATCTTAAGTTTTGAAAGTAACATATTTGAAATCTTATTATTACAATATTATACTTACAAATAATGTAGAAATGACTCCTTTTAATAAAATTGTTTTTATTCTATTTTTTATTGTATACTCCTCAAAAAAATGTTTGCTGCAAATTGTTGAGTTCTTCTTTGGATTCCTACCAACCCGTCCAATTAACCTTAACCATTTTTTTTAATAATAAAATCCGTAGCAAATCTAAATCCCTAGCGTACATATAAAATATTTTGTATAAAAATGTATTTACCAAATTCAGGCAAAATATCAAAGTTAACAAAATAATTGAAAACATTGTATATTTTAAACGGTATATAACATAAATTTTAACCAAAAATAAACGCGTCATAACATTGACGACATCTTGAGAATTTACCTGAGAAATGTGCAATATTGATAGGATTATTTCTATTATTAACGTGGTGTTCTCTCACAGAACAAGTAATCATTTTGGAAGAAAGTTACTTATTAAAATTAACCACAATTGCACTCTACAAAAATGACAAAATATCTAGGTGCTATTTATTGCGTGCACCTGTCATTCGAAATCGGTTACAGAGTCTTGAGAGTTGGTATTCTTTTCTATCTTCCATTTTTGGCATAAGGAATTTTCTTCTCCCTTGCACATTATGTTGGTCTATACGCCAGTATATTTTAATTCTATGCTGTTCTTTCCTTAGTCTGCCCGTAGCCTAGTGATTAAATCCGTTTGGTAGCTCCTTTAATTCGGCGTTTGCTTGCTCGCCGATGTTTACAACCACAACTTGCGGAGTAGCACTCCAACTCCCGTGAAGTGTTTCACAAATCTTTGTGAATCTCTAGCTCCTGAGCTAGAGATTCTCAGCGGCGAAAACCCGTCGACGTCAACTTCTAACCATAAATCCGGCTCGAGGGATCATGTATAATCGCGTACTGTATTAATAGGTAACCACAGTTGGTATGAAAGGTATTAAACGAATAAACACATGTACTCAGGTATAACTCAATATATTTCAGAAATGGTCGCGGTCATCTATCAATTCAGAAACAATAATATGATATTGCGTTTCAAAATATAGGTATTGCTATGTATTTACTTTTATATACTAATATTTATATTGTAATTGGAATTTCATTGACACATTACGAATTTGATATAAACGTAAACAGACGAGATTAGATTGTTGTGATTAGATAAGATTGTCATCATTATCATCATTACATCCCTTCAATCAAGTCCGCTGATGGACATAGGCATCCTCCAACGTATGCCTCAAAGCACGATCCTGAGCCACCTGCATCTCTTACCAGATCGTCACTCAATCTAGTGGGAGGAGCGATAAAAACTAGTATGGTATCAGTGCTGGGGTAATAAGCTGTGGTTATTCATAAAGGATAAAGAGACCTGTAAACCTTACTGTCCTAATCGCCTGCTCGAGCAATACTATAATATGTGTGTATTGTTCTTCAGATGAACAAAGTAATAGCTTCAATAAGGTGTAATTTATTAATAATTTATTTAACCATACCATTTCCATCTTGTTTTTTGTGAGAAACGTGATCCTTATCACTCATACGCTTACAACAACACAAGATATACTAAAACCTTCAAGGTATTATTATTATTAGCTAACTAATTCAGCCTTAAGGTATTATTATTAGCTAGCGCCTTAGTCGCCGTTTTACAACACTCACAGAACGAAATAAAGTAATGGGTTCCCTTTTACTGCCACTATACGGCAAAAATAACTTATTAAGAATTCTTAATAAAATACTTATTGTTACAAACTGTTGATAGAATCTGTGCGGAAAGAAAGCCGTCGCGCCGCCGCAGACCATGGCGTGAAAAATTATATAATTTTGGCTTTTGGTTCTATTTGTGCCTGTTTAACCCCGTGTGTTTGCCTTTACATATAACCCACCTTCGATATAAACATCTAAGCATGAAGTTGAGCACAGTTGCAACAGAGATAATGAGACCACGTACCCCTAAAAAAACTAACCCTTAAAAAAGCAAGAATCAGTCCCAAATGTATCTCTTGTGCGGTTGACAGTCTTCCATTATTAGGAAGTTGTGATGCTCGTAAACATACAGAGGGTATCATCCATATTGTATGATCGAAAAATGCAATTATCTTACGACTGTGTTTTTTAACATTTATAAACGTTTTCCACACAGAATCGCTTTCGAGCAGCTCCACTACGAGCCAGCATATACCCGCCTATGACTTGCCGAGCAACAACAGTCGCCGTCAGAGCGCCATCAGCAACAATAACGCCAGTAGCGTTAATTCACAAATAGGTAATTTAGAATTAGACACATACACATTCACGCCTGTTTCCTATAGACCGAGATTATGAATTTCCTTTGTACATAATCTATAATCTCTTCTTTCGTTTTATGATTTTATTTAACTTCGGTTAAAGCTTTCTTATATTTACGCGAACATTACACATTTAAATAAAACTAATTTTTACGGATTTTATCGCGTATATTAACTTATTTTATACTCCCGACATTTCGGGCACTTTTCAGCACCCGTGGTCACGGGGGGGACAGAGGTGTATGACATCCCAATGTCATAGTTAACCACGGCTACCTTCAGATTAAAAATTATTAATTTTTGTTCCGATCTACGCAGTATGAACTTACAGTATCATGAAGTCTTGCAGTTGTATGCTTGGGTTGGGATTTAATTTTATTAATTATGGGATCCCAAGCAGATGGTAGCACCCAGCCATCTTCTCTATTGAAATTAGGATGTTTTTTTTTTTAATTTCAATAGCCTCGCGAATCATCCTGGGGAGGAATCGGTGTTCTTTAGCGAGGATTTGTGGTCTATCAAATCTAATGTAGTGACGGGGGCGATCCTGTACGTGTTCACAGACTGCAGACTTCCCGGAACGTCGATTCTTCACATCAGCTATGTGTTCTTTAACGCGGGTTTTTATGGATCTTTTAGTTTGTCCTATATAAGAGAGACCACATTCACAATCAAGCTTGTATACTCCTGCATCTTGCAGAGGTAAAAATATTACACTTGACTGATGGTAAAAACTCACTAATCTTCTTCGGCGGCTTGAAGTATGTTTTTATGGAAGCACGCTTCAAGATGTAGCCAATCTTGTCAGTGACACCTCTGACATATGGCAGTACAGCAAGCACTCGCTCGACTGTGGCTGGCTTCACTCGTTCACTGTGACGTAGGCGCGGGACCCGAAGCTTATTGTCATGCAAAACTTGCTTGACGTGTTGGAGCTCGGCGGCCAGGTGTTTACTGTCACAGATCCCTCGTGCTCTCTGAAACAAAGATTTACCCACGGTAGCTAACTGTGAAGGATGGTGGTGAGAATCACCGTTTAAATATCTATCTGTATGGGTCTTTTTTCTATACACAGTGTGGCTCAAGGTGTTATCAGCATTCCGAATTACTAACACATCTAGAAAAGCTAAAGAATTGTTTGGCTCTAACTCCATAGTGAACTGAATTTTAGAATTTAAGGAGTTAAGATGGTCTAAAAATTCAGTTACTTTATCTAAAGGTAGAATTGTGAAAGTGTCGTCTACGTACCGCTTGTAGAATCTTGGATTTACAGGAGAAGTAAGCAGGGCTTTCTCCTCAAAGTCCTCCATAAATATATCGGCCACAATGGAAGATACAGGTGAGCCCATCGCCACTCCATCTACTTGCTTGTAAAACTCCTCCTTCCAGAATAGGTAGCCAGATGGAAGGCAGTGTCTGAGTAATACTGCATATTCTACGGGCATGTTGTTTTCCTCTAGTCTTCTAGTAACAATCGAGATGCAGTCCTCAACAGGTAAGCATGTGAACAGAGACTGCATATCAAAACTGACCATAGTTTCATTGTCTGCCAGATGTAGGTCTTTAATCTCGCTGGCAAAATTTTGTGTGTGCTCTTGTATGTCCCCTGAGCGGTGAGAGTATATTCGCTAAGTGTTGAGCCAATCTCTAAGTTGGTGAATCGATTTGGCTCACTATGGGACGTAGTGGAGCATTGGGCTTGTGTATTTTTGGTAACCCATACAACTTCGGTGGTTTTGCACACGTAGGTGTTATCGATTTTACGTCTAGATTTAATTTTTCGGAGTGTTTCTCTATGAGATCACTAGTTGTTTTAAGTGTATTATTTGTTGGGTCATCCGACAAAAGTTTAGAATTATAATCCGATGTATCCATGACTACCGTGGCATTTCCCTTATTAAAATAAGTTAATATACGCGATAAAATACGTAAAAATTAGTTTTATTTAAATTCGGTTAAAGCTAACTAAAAAGTCTACAATTTGATTCTGGTGTACTTATTAGCGGACTATTAGCTCTGTGTATATATGAGCTTCGATTATAACTACAACATAACTTGTTAATCGAAAAAGCCAAGAATTTGTGTCGGTATGTCACCATAAAAATTTTCATTTATATTTACAGGCGTATCGAATATCTACTGCAATGAACAAAAACAGCCGGCTAGCACACCGTCATCTGCATACACACAGACTAAACTGCGCTTCGGCTCATCTGTCGAGTTTAAGCTTACTTCAGGTAAGCACGAAATATCTTTGTACGAATTTGTTTTTTACAGAAATAACTTTATAAAAGTCGGGTAAACTCAGGGACACACACATTTGCTTAGTATTATTTTGAGGAAGTATTGGCAATTTACATTCGCAATATTTATTTTAGGACGACTTCTATAATCTACGCATAATTATTGGGTAAAAAACTTATCTCAATATTACCATTCCTACTTTTGAGCTTCGCCGCAGTCGAGTACAAAATAAGAGACACATGTGGATTTCTCGTTAGCAGTTCAGTTCAGCAGGAGTGTATGTTATTAGCTGTTGCTGTACTGTACTGTATTTTTTTTTTCTAATAACTAATAATCTTTTTTTAAATTTACAAAGATATGGATTTTTTATTTTGTTTAAGAATCCCGCTTACTTCCATATCTATTTCTAAATATAACCGGATATTATCAACGAAATTTTGTTTTATTATCATCATCGTCCTTATTAACAGCCATTTTAAATCCACTGCTGGACATCGGTCTTTTCCGGCGCCAGCAAGCAAGTAATGCTACTTAAAAAATTTCCGCATACTCACTACTTTAGATTAGTTTTTGATTGATATAGTCGGAAACAATAGTCTGTCGCCGGAGACTCGTTCGTCTATAGTTTGAGATTGCAGCTTTTTGGTAGACATTTCTAATTTTTCAATTCATTTCATTTAATAAATTCATTTCCCTTAACACCCTATTTTTAACTATCTAAAATTGTTCAAGTTTACATGCCCTAACCATAATAAATAAGGACATACCTTAGGCGAGACTGCAATGACACCATTGTCGCCACTATCGCCATGCGACGTGTCATTCGATGAGGGCGATGAGCAGCGCCCGCGCTTACAACGTTCGCACGGACCTTCAAAGAAGACATTCAAGTTCCGACGCAGCCGACATGCTACCAGACCTGATGTATGTATAGCCAGCTCTTGAAAACACTACAAATTCTGCACATCGAAATCAACCAGTATTTTAGTTTTCACCTTTTTAAGCGTAGTTTATTTTACAATTTTTTTAACATTGATATATTTAATCTAAACACCTCTGAAATGAGCAACGAAATAGTCCTCTTAATTTTTTTGTATGCAATACATACATACAAATAATACATTATCGTTGAGAGTAGATAACGAAAACCCAACAACGGATACAAATATTTTTCCAAACCTTATATTATCACAGGCATTCATAATCTATGTTCGAATACTATGTGCCTGTTAAAGGTATTTCTACAGCGACATTAGGTTATACTGCAAAGTTATAGCATATTATAATACGTCCCATTGCTGGTCATAGGCCTTCTCTCAAAGGGTTGCTTATTAAAGGGTTTACTGGAAATAAACCCTTTAAAAATGAAAGTCTTTGGTTTGTACTATGCGGCGTAGATAAAAATAGAATGGTTTGCTAAATACTTCGCCCTTAAAACATTACTTTGTGCCGCCATTTTAAGTTGATTGTTTTACGAATGTTCGGCACATTCCCGACTGGGGAAGGAACACGCTCTTACAGAATACCAACATAAAATAGCAGTGTAATGCTACTGTGATACCAGAAAACCAACATAAAATAGCAGTGAGCGTCGAGAAGCGGAGACCCTTTTTACTGGAAACGAGGCATACCATCTTAATCCTCATAGGTGACAACGCATGTTTTTGAGCCACAGAATCCACTTATTATTAGGTGGACTGCTGTCAACTCGTTTGTCACTTTAATTCTACTAAAAAATATTTGTAGGAGGATACAACGAAATGCGCTCATAACAAAAACTTAATAACAATTTAAATGGAATATACTTATATCAAGTAAGTTTTAGTTTTATTTTTGTTTATCCTACTCAGGAGTTGCAGGACTTAAATCTTTCTTCTCTCATCCATCATCGTACAGCCGGAACTCGGACTCTCTCCACTTGTTTTAATTCGAATCTTACGGTTTACTTCGTCGCTTGTAATGCGTACGACAAAGGAGTGGAATAATTTACCAACATCTGTGTTTCCATCCGATTACAATGTGGGTATCATGAAAGCAAGGCTAAATAGGCTTTTGTTAAGCTAAGCACCACTTACCATCAGGTGGCATAGTTACGTAGGTCACTCAATAAGTTTTGAGATGCTCGAAATTTAAAAATGGAACGCACCCGTGTTGTATGTTTCTAAAAAGCAAATTTATTTAAAAATAGAACTCCATAAGCCAATTGCTCAATATTAAAGAAAAAAAAACAAGGTTCTATTAATTTTCCTGCAACGCCTCCCGCGCTTTTAATTTTAAACGATGGATCTTAATCGTGAACATATGCGTGCTATGATATATTATGATTTTAAAATTGGTTTAACCGAACAATTAAGTTTAAAACGGTTACAATTAGCATTAGGGGACTCAGCTCCATCACGCGCAACAATTTTAGGTGGCTTGCTGAATTCAAAAGGGGTAAAATTAATCTTAATGTTGACCAAAGAACCGGGGCCCCGCAAACAGCAGTAACGGCAGAAAATGTATGGACTACTGAAATGTTGGTGCGAGAAGACCCACGAATCACATATATGGACATCGAAAAGGTTGTAGATAGTTCGGGGAGCATTCATACCATCCTACATCAACATCTTGGAGTGAGGAAGCTTTGTTGTCGATGGATCCCTCGTTTGCTCTCCGAAAGCGAAAAACAGACTCGTGTGGATTGGTGCCATGAAATGCGTCAACGTTTTGTAAACGGCGAATCTAGGCGTGTTTCAGAAATCGTTACTGGTCACAGGACATGGATCTATCAGTATGATCCGGAAAATAAAAGGCTATCATCGGTATAGGTCTACAGTTACCGACAAAACTGCAAAGACCTCGCAACGTCGGCAAAAAAATGGTGGCTAGTTTTCTTTTCGCGGACCGGACATTTGTCGACGTCAATGCTGGAAAATTGTAGTTCAGTCAACTCTGAATGGTATACTACAGTTGCATTACCCAAAGCGTTTCAAGCTGTGCGGGAGAGAAGACCAAAGACTGGGCTTCGGCGAATCATGCTGCATCCGGATAACGCCTCTTCACATACCTCCCTTAGAACAAAAGCATTTATTGAGGAATCTAGTATTGAAACTCTAAGTCACCCACCCTACAGCCCTGACTTAGCTCCTTGTGATTTCTTTTTGTTCCCAAGTCAAAGAAAAAATAAAAGGCAAGTTTTTTTCAAGCGCCGAAGGAGCCGTGGCTGCCTACGAAGAAGCGATTTCCAACCTGTCAGATCAAGACTGGCAAAAGTGTTTTCAGTGTTGGTTTAGGCGAATGGAACTTTGTATAGAGCACGATGGAAGATATTTTGAATAGATTTAAAATAAATATTAATAGTATCTAGAATACTTTTTGTATATCTCAAAACTTATTGAGTGACCTACGTATACTACGAGGGTGGATTGAAAAGTACTCGGCCTAACACAGATCCATTCAATTCTAAAAATCAAATCTACCCACATTATTTAGTTCAGTTCAGACTAGTTCATTGTGTGAAGTTCGAAACGTGTGCGATAATTAGTTGTGATTTTATAAATTTATTAACAAAGTAATCGGACATATTTTCCGCGAATGGAGCAAATCGAGCAGCGTGCCGTCATTAAGTACCTCCATAAGAAGGGGCTATCATCAAAAGCCATCCATGATGACATGGTCAGTACATTAGGCGATTGTGCTCTGTCATATTCATCCGTCAAAAAATGGATAGCAGAATTTAAGCATGGTAGAGAGAGTGTGAAAGATGAACCCTGCTCTGGAAGGCCTTCGACGTCAACTACTGACGAAAATATTAAAAAAGTACTTGATTTAATAATGGGAGACCGCAGATTAAAAATTAGAGAGATAGCCGAGATTATAGGCATCTCTTATGAACGAACTCAAAACATCATTGTCAACGAGTTGGGTTTCCACAAGGTGTCTGCGAGGTGGGTTCCGCGACTGCTTTCAGTTGAACAAAAAAGGACGCGATTGACTATTTCACGCGACTGTTTGGAGTTATTTGAAGCCGATGCAAATGATTTTTTTAATCGTTTTGTTACTATGGACGAAACATGGGTTCATTACTGTACACCGGAAACAAAACAACAATCAAAACAGTGGAGAAGACCTGGTTCACCACCCCCTAAAAAGGCTAAGTCGATTTTGTCGGCAAATAAGGTGATGGCTTCAGTATTCTGGGACTCGAAAGGTGTGATTATGATTGATTATCTTGAAAGGGGTCAGAATATAAACTCTGATTACTACTGCACCTTACTACGTCGTTTACGAGAGGAAATAAAAGAAAAACGTCGAGGAATGCTCAGAAGAAAAGTCCTGTTTCATCAAGATAACGCCCGTGTTCACACGTCAGTACAGTCAATGGCTGAAATTCACAACTGTGGCTTTGAACTGTTACCGCATCCGCCGTATTCACCTGATCTGGCACCATCATACTTCTTTCTGTTCCCTAACCTAAAAAAGCACTTGGGAGGTCAAAGATTTTCGACAAACGACGAGGTCAAAGCAGCTGTAGACGCATATTTTGACTCTAAGGAAGAATCATTTTTTTTCAACGGTCTAAATGCTTGGAAGGGGAGGTGGCAAAAGTGTATTGAACTTGATGGTGATTATGTAGAAAAATAAAAATATAACTGATTTAGTATTTGTTTATTTTCTTGGTTAGGCCGAGTACTTTTCAATCCACCCTCGTAGTAACTCAAACCGTTGTAATATATGAGTCGTTATATGAGTCAGTACTTGACTTATCAAGTCCTGATTCATATAACGCTTTGAATAACGAACTTAGTTGGCTTGCAATGCGAAGTAAAATGTCAGTTTGACAACCCTACACTTATTATGAGGTCATAAAATTCCCATGTTACTTGCTCACAACTATCGGTTACATATTAATTCATTCATTCCGCATTACGATAGCAAATATAATAATAATATAATAAATAATAATAATAATATTCCACAACTATCACACAACGCCATCTAGTCCCAAGCTAAGCAGAGCTTGTGTTATGGGTACTAGACAACTGATAAACATACTTATATATTTCTAAATACATAAATATTATAGATAAATTACACCCAGACACAGAACAAATGATCGTGCTCATTACACAAACATTTGTCCTGGGTGGGAATCGAACCCACGACCTCCGGCATAGCAGTCAGGGTCACTAACCACTAGACCAACAGGCCTGTCAAATATGAAATATTAGTTTGTGTTATGGTGATATGTTAAAAGTTACGGCTATTGGTATGTATTTTTGAAAAACCCATCGTCTTGTACTAGCGAGTTCTGAGCGCAGCGCTGATAATTTTGCACCACAAGCAGCATTATTCTTCATAACACTAATAGAACTTTCGTTGATAATTTAATTGCAGACAGTTATGTTCGACAGGGGTACCATGCGCGGCTGGAATCGGACGAGTGTTCGTCCCCGGGCGCAGAGTACACGGGGGGCACGTGGGGCGCATGGGGCGCGGGGGGAACGGGAAGCGCTGGTGTTGCGGCGGGTGCGGGGGGTGTGGAGTGCAGCCCGCAGCAGCGAGCGCGCGCCCCCCTGTTGCAGCCCCCCGCCACGCCACTTCCCGACACCTCGTACGACAGCGAGATCTCGCAGACCTCCTCCACCTCCGGATACAGGCTAGCATTACCTCACTCCTCTCACTAACTAATAACACGGCCTTGCATGTGCGTTTGTGTGTTGATGTTGTTACATTCACGTGCCACGAAATTTTTACACGTCTTTGAAATCCGTTTAAACGAACGAAAAAAGCTTGAGTTGGGAAATAATTTTATCAGGTTGGTGTTCGCTATAGGAGAGATTTGTACACAACATTCACAGAATGAAAATAATATCACTAACCAAACTCATCATTTTGATGTTATATTAAAAGTATAATCCTATAATAGCTATCGAATTGCCTTGTGACTAAAACTTTACATGAATTATTATACTATCATAAATTATTACAAAACATACAAGGCTCTTAATCGCCACGTTTGGCAGGCGAATTGGCGATCACAGTACTAAATGTCTCGCATTTTTAACATAAAAAAGTTTTCTAATTTCACAATAAAGGCAACTATTTTTCGAATAAAATATGGTCTGAATCATATATTCCTAAAGTGCTTTCCGCGGAACCTAAGGGTTCCGTGAACAAGTTGCCAGGATTCCGCAAAATTAACATTTTTGCTAGTTAAATAATTTCACACATTGTTTCAAATATTATTTTGAATTGGTGCAATATATGTGATGTAAAGAACTTATTACTGTTATACCGAATATAAAACGAAGACAGGCGATAGTACTAACTATGCTTTTGATGATTGGTGAGAAATGAATCGATTCTGAGGAAAAAAAATCATCTTTCTCAACGTTTCTTTTTTCCAAGGAATATTAACATGTTGCCGTATTCACGAGTACTATAAACGTACCTACGCGTTAGGCATTATTAAAACAAATTATCAAAACAAAACGTAACAATAAGAATGTAATAAACAAAACCATTGAACTGTCGGTCACGCGCACGTGATAGTCAACACGGAACTGTCTCAAAAACTAAAACTAATAATCAATCCCGGCAAAACAAATGCGCACGAGGCATTCGTCCTTGAAGCACAGCACTGCCACAGACGGTAAAACCCTTACCACATTGCCAACGTTTATTTTTACTAGTTATCCCTACGACTAGTCTTCATATGGAATTTAGAAGTTATGGTTGTCATTTTAATACAATTACACAATCTTCTACAATTACAAATTGTACCCTGACGCAACAAGCAGTTGTTTACTACAAAAATAATATTGAAATTAATAAACGTACCTACCTAATTGGGTACTCCATTCTCACTTACAATGTGAGTAAGTGAGTGATTATATGAGGGTGTCGTAAAAGGCGACAGTGGGAAACAGGCAGGAGATGGGCAGCAGCATCTTCCTGATAACAGCTATATCCCAATATAAAAAAACTGTGGTTGCCAACCCGCTCGCCAAGCGTTGCAACTATGGCAATATACCCCCCAACGAAAAATGTTACGTAAAGGACGGCCCCCAGTCCCCGGCAGCCCCGCTATTCCTGGTTACGGTGGCGACCATGGTAACGGCGGGGCATAGGGTGCTAAGAATCTCCGGTGGAGGTTCGGTTGCCACCTACGACGACTCAACCTGGCAACTTATAACGCACGCACCCTGAGAACTGACGAAAAGATCCTGGAGCTGAAAGAAGAGATAGACAAGTTGCGCTGGATTATTATAGGATTATCCGAGGTCCGAAGAGAGGGGGAAGACACTGTAATCCTCGAATCCGGCAACTTGTTCTGTCACCGAGAGGGCGACCATCTGTCCCAAGGAGGTGTCGGATTTATCATCCACAAGTCTCTCTTTAACAACGTTGTAAAGATTGGGAGTGTGTCGACGAGGGTTGCGTAGCTTATACTCAGAATCACCAAACGGTATTCGCTGAAGGTCATACAGGTTTACGCACCAACCTCGGCACACCCCGATGAGGAGGTGGAGTAAGTGTATGAGGATATCTCTAGAGCCATGAATTCCTAAAAAATCCACTATACGGTGTTAAAGGGAGACTTCAATGCAAAACTAGGCACAAGAGAGAACGGTGAGCTGAAAGTAGGAAAATTTGGAATAGGGCAACGGAACCCATGAGGCCAGCAGCTGGCGGACTTCATGGAGAAAGAGGGACTCTTTATGATGAACTCTTTCTTCCAGAAGCGGTCCCACAGGAAGTGGACCTGGTCGAGCCCCGACGGTTCGACAAAAATGAGATTGACTTCATTATGACGACCAGACTACAACTGTTCAGTGATGTTTCTGTGATAGCGAGGGTGAAAACGGGTAGCGATCACCGAATGGTTAGAAGCACACTGAACCTTAACGTTAAGTTGGAGAGTTCTCGTCTAATGAAGTCAACGCTCCGTCCCCCTCGTGCTCTAGTCCAAAGTCCCGAAACCTTTCAGCTCGAGTTACAAAACCGTTTTCAGTGCCTGAAAGACTGCAATGAAGTGGACGATATAAATGATAAGCTCGTAGAAACTGTCCATGCGGTCGAAGCTAAGGTCTGTAAGAGCCGCCGCAGAAGAACACAAAAACTCTCCGATCACACTCCGAATCTCATGGCTCTTAGAAGAGAAATGAAGCTGCAGTCTTCAAAAGATTTGACAGCATACAGGCAACTGAACAGACAGATCTCCAAATGCATGCGGCGGGACTCACGCAACTTCAATACAGCTTGTATTGAAGAAGTGATCGAGCGGAACCAAGGCTCCAAAGTCTTTACCAGAGATCTGTCTGCCAGAAAGAGCCAACTGTCAAAGCTGAAAACCGAGTGTGGCATCATCGTTTCCGGGACACCTGAGATTTTGAGTGAGATTGAGAGATTCTATTGGCAGCTGTACACATCATCGTTGGAGCCACATGCAAGTGTGAGTAACGATCCAAGAGTGAGTTATCCGACACTATTCCGAAGAGAGCGAGATTAGAATGGCTCTCCAGCACCTTAAAAACGGCAAGTCCCCGGGCGAGGATGGAATTACAGCAGAGCTTCTGAAAGCGGGTGGCAAACCGGTACTAGAAGTCCTTTAGAAGCTATTTAATTCCGTCCAACATGGTGGCACTACTCCGGAGGCGTAGAGCAGAAGTGCGGTGGTCTTGTTCTTCAAGAAAGGCGATAACGCTCTCTTGAAGAACTACAGACCGATTTCCCTTCTAAGCCGCGTCTACGTGCTGTTTTCGAGAGTCATTACGAACCGTCTCGCACGCAGACTCGACGACTTCCAGCCTCCCGAACAAGCCGGTTTCCGAAAAGGCTTTAGTACCATGCACCATATACACACCCTTCGGCAAATTGTACAGAAAACAGAAGAGTACAATCTTCCACTTTGCCTTGCGTATGTGGACTATGAGGAAGCCTTTGATTCCGTCAAAATTTGGGCGGTGCTACAGTCCCTTCAGCGATGCCAAGTTGACTATCGGTATATCGAAGTGCTGAAGTGTTTGTACAGTAGGGCTATGATGACTATCTGAGTACAGAAACAGAGTACGAAACCTATTCAACTGCAGAGAGGTGTAAGACAGGGTGACGTTATCTCCCCGAAACTCTTCACCGCGGCATTGGAAGACGTTTTCAAGCTACTGGACTGGAAAGGATACGGTATTAACATCAATGGCGAGTACATCACTCACCTTCGATTTGCCGACGATATAGTCCTTATGGCAGAATCGCTGAAGGACCTAAGCACTATGCTCACTGACCTCAATAGTGTCTCCCAACGGATAGGTCTTAAGATGAACATGGACAAAACAAAGATCATGTTTAATGTCCATGTCACACCTATGCCGGTAGTTGTTGGGAGCACTAAGCTCGAAGTTGTAGACGAGTATGTTTACCTTGGACAAATAGTCCGACTAGGTAATTTCAATTTCGACCGAGAGGTCAATCGACGGATTTAACTCGGCTGGGCAGCGTTTGGGAAACTACGACACATCTTCAAGTCAGACATATCTCAAAACCTTAAAACGAAACTGTACAACCAGTGCGTGTTGCCAGTGATGACTTACGGATCTGAGACGTGGTCCTTCACTGCTGGCTGTATGAGGAAGCTCAAGGTCGCTCAACGAGCTATGGATGGGTTTATGCTCGGGGTTTCTCTGCGTGATAAACTTAGAAATGAGGATATCCGCAGTAGAACCAGAGTAACCGACATAGCTCAACGGATTAGTAAGCTGAAGTGGCAGTGGGCCGGCCATATAGCTCGAAGAACCGACAACCGATGGGGAAGAAATGTTCTAGAGTGGCAGCCTCGTATCGGTAGGCGAAGTGTAGGGTGACCCCCCACGAGATGGAGTGACGACCTGGTAATACATGCAGGAAGTCGATGGATGCAGGTGGCTCAGGAACGTGTTTTGTGGCATTCCTTGGGGGAGGCCTATGTTCAGCAGTGGACTTATGAAGGGCTGTAATGATGATGATGGCTCACTTACACAATTATAAACACTATTTCATCGTTATCTTTGATTTTGTATAAGAAAATAGAAATGAAACGGTACTGAATAATTTAATAGTTAAAATCAATTGCAATTATGATCGACACTTAATTAATCTATCAGAATTAATGTAAAAAATTACTTATACTTTATTTTAATTGATTTTCCGTTATAATCCGACCAATACTTTGAATTTAAATAGAGGTACGTCAAAATTATTAAAAATTTCTTGCAAGTTTTATAGTGATTGCCGTCAATAGTTTCTGACTTGACCCTGGCCCCATCCACATAAAACCCCCTACCAACTTTAAATTCCCCGCAATTTTGGGAATTCCCCACATGTTGGCAAAGCTAACCAGTGTAAATTCCATAGCGCGAGGCGACATGAGCCGGACATGGGCGGCGGTAGCGCGTGTGTGAAAGAGAAGGGTAGAGTGAGTAGGCATTGTTTCGCACCGAGCTATATAAGAGTTCGGCGTCCCCGAAAATATGGACCCTATTGTCAGCTGATTTTATTTTAAGTTTCACTGCCGGTTTTATGTTTAAGTATTTTCATGATTTTTTTTAATGATATTATCGTTTCATTTAGCTGTACTAACATGATGGAGCGTGAATAAAGTTAATAAAACGTTGTGAAAAGAAAATAATTTTTCCCTGGGATTGAATTTATTTGTGACCCATGATCAAAGGTATTCTTAGTTCTATTATTTGTCTTCGTTTTCGGGAGCGTTTCACAAACACCCGGCATATATAAGATATAAATAAGTAGGTAGTTAGGAAGAAAAATATTTAATGTTTCAATTGCACTGTCTATGGATATGTAATCATTAGATGTAGGTATATGTATGTTACCGTTACCGTTATAACCTATCAAAACTCCTTTGTTGAACCTTTTATTTACCATGTTTTGCAACTGCATTTTTTTATTTTTTATTTATTATGAAGATGCTGCTGCTCATCTTCTGGCTTGTTTCCTTCTGTCACTTCTGTCACGATACCCACGGAACGATATGGAGTAGTAGATATTCTTCTACCATCACTACACGGTCACTACACAGTCACTACACGGTTACACTATTACTACACTATTACTACTGTAGCAATACGCGATTACTATAGTATCACTACACGGTGTGTATGTGTGTATAGAAGATAAAATGGACGTGGTTATGCAAAAAGGATCCAACTCTAAAGAAGAAAGCTAATTTGAGGTTATGAAATTTGAAAAATGGATCTGTATCGTTTGTGTGAGTGTTTGTAATTTTTCTTCTCATTTGTGTTACTTTCGCTAAAATTGTTGCATCACATAATAGTATAGACCACAAACATTATTTTTCAAGTGAACATTTTGGACACAAATTACATTGGATCCTTTTTGCATAACTATGTTCAAATATGAGCGTATGTGCAGGGAAAGCTACAGCCTGCAGGCGTCGATGTCGGAGTCGCCGGGCGGGTCGGTGCGCGCGGCGCTGGCGTCGCCCGAGGCGCCGTCGCAGCGCACCGGCTCGGCCACGCCGCACGCCAGCCCCGACGGTAATCGACCCTTCGTATGTACCCACACACATGTACCGCCCGCTGCCCGCTGCCCGCTGCCCGCTGCCGTCTCTCCTCTACTCTCTCTACCTGTCTCTTACTGTCGACTGTCTCACTTACAACTCCACTGTGAGTACGTCGTTCTTCCACTATTTTGCATGGCATTTTAATTTTAATTGTCTCGCTAACTGAAAATTGTGTTTTCCATGAGTAATGCGAGTATAACATTTTAAAAAAAGCCCCGCTGAGTTTCTCGCTTATTCTTCCCAGGACATAAATCTTTTTTCGAACCAGTGGTAAATTAAACAAAAGAGTGACTGTCAATAAGTATTATTTGTGATCTATATTGAATTTAAAAAATCTGTTTCTGTTTCTATACAATTGCTCCATGTCAATGAAACATCAATTACCTTTTAGCGACTTCAAAAAAGGGAGACTTTCAATTCTACTGTCTGTTCTCTTTTTTTTTTGTATGTACCATGTTATGTTACGCGATGTCTTCGTCAAGTTTGTACCGATTTAAAATAATTTTTTTTAATAGTTATACTTCAGAGGTGGCCCTATATACATTTTCAAAAAAAATACCACCTAGGTGAAAAATTTTTAATATAATAATTTAGATGATATTCTTATTGTTAAATTTCAGATCATATATTCCTTAAACGTACGTAAAACACTCAGCTTGTTATCAATTCATTCCATCAATCTGCTCAGACTGATGGAAAACTTATTGTCTAATCGACGGCCAACTGATAGATTTTGAATATTTTGATAGTTTTTGTCAGTCTCGGTTGCATTGATTACAGACTGATAACAGGCTGACTGGTTTATTAGTCTCACATCAGTCAACGATTGGACGACTATGTAGTCGCACGAAGACCATACGTCCCCTATGTTATTTATTTATGCAGATGTTTCAAACCTCTCACTTTCAAAAGAATATTTTTTACCGTTCTGTATACTTACAAGTCTAGATAACGACAAGATAATGTCATGCTTAGGTGGACGCGCCGTCAAAACTCCTCCGTTATTTTTTCTATAAAATGATCGACAAGCACAACCCAAACTTAATTTATTAATCGCCCCAGTTCGTCCCATAGACAGACCGATATTAGACTGACAGACAGACGGTAGGTCTTCTGATCACTCTGGGCGAAACCATTCAAGTTATACCTATAAGTGTCTCTATATTTTAGAAATAGCGATATTTGTTAAAATTAATCATCATTTATTTCCTACCTTAAATGAAACTAGAGTACGAGCCGTATCTATGAGAACGCAATATAAATATTTACTGTATACAGGAAGATTTCAAACAGCTTTATTAAAAAAAAGTGTTATGAGCATGGCTCCTATCATATATAACAAAATCCCAATTTTTGTAAAAAATCAACCTATTAGAATATTTAAAAAGAGTCTTACTTCTTTGTTATTGGAAAGATGCTATTACTCAGTATCGGACTTCTTAAATGATACCAATATTTAAATAACGTTGCAGTTAATTAATTGTTTATAATATGTTCTTTGTATTAATAATGTATGTGTTATGCTAACTGCAATAAAATTTCGACAATATAAATTTATGTAATAATAATAATGCAATACTTTGAATTATAATAATGTAATAATTATTTATACTCATAATTATAATTTTAAATCTATTTAATAATTAATTACTAGTATTATATAGAAATAAATTTAATTTAATATTTGCATGCCAAAATGGTAGAATGTACGGATCTTCTATGTACTCTATCAACACCTTATTGTTATTACCTACATTCAATGCAAATAAATCATTACTTTACTTTACTTTACTTTACTTTACCGCCTTGAGCTCCTAGTATATTTCCAAATATGCTTCCCCCCAGCAAAGATTCTCTTTTGCTTCAGGTCGTCTATGCTTTCCGTCTACGCTTTCCGATATAATAAAACTAAGAACTTGCTAGTTTGTTCAGTTTTTGATTTTCTAAGAACTTTCAGTGTCACCCTCGTACTGTACTGCGTTCCGTTTTAAACAGTATATCTAAAAGCCATATAACCATATAACTAAAAAGAAATGGCTTCACAGTATACTGAATTGATGTCACACCTTACAGTGGTCACAGTGTATATCGAAACATACCCTAAATCTATAAAGTCATGACTTAGTGCTGTCGTCATAATTAGTAAGTCATGATGAAAAACAAGTAATAATTAATGATATTAGGAACACGTTATGAAAATGTAATTTTTTTTTTACTTTCAATCATAAGTAAAGTTTTGTGAAAAAGATTTAAATTAATAATGAGATTCTACAAACCACTTTTAGCAAGTTAATTTACGTTACGTTTTCTTAGTTTTCCATATATAATCTTCAGTGGCCTGCAATATACACCTTAACTTTTTAAATAGTGTTACATAAAATAAGTCAATACATTGACATCCGATTCTGAGCTATATTCAAAATTTAGTCTACTAGTCTCTATCTCATCGAGAAGTTAGTTTAAAATCAATTACTAAATTCCACCTGAACAAGAGCAACACGTACACAAGAGCGAGTTAATAAAAATGTGGTGAAAATACTCTTCCTGAATAATTACTATTAAAATGTTAAACTGAAGTATTTGAATTTGAGAAAATATAAGAAATAATCTGCACATTGGAACGAGTCCCAGCACGTATGGCCAAGTACGTTATTTACTGATGCGGGCACGTATTTTTATCACTGTTTTTAGTTAGTTTGCAACGAACTATTTTTCCGTAACTCTAACGTTAAAAGCATGTAGGTATTAATTATAAATAGTTAAAGTGAATACTTAGTTGAACATACTATCTATCTCACTTCGATAATTGCATTTAAATACGTATTATTACTTTGTATAAACGTTATTGTCGAAATTTGAGCAGTGCTGCAGTCCCTTCAGCGTGCTGACTGTCGGTATATCGAAGTGCTGAAGTCTTTTGTACAGTGGGCTGCGATGGATATCCGAGTACAGAACCAGAGTGCGAAACCTATTCAACTGCAGAGAGGTGTAAGGCAGGGTGACATTATATCCCCGAAACTCTGTACCGCTGCAATCGGAAGATTTACTGGACTGAAAAGGATACAGTATCAACATCAATGGCGAGTACTTCACACAATTTCGCTTTGCAGACAATATAGTCCTTATGGCAGAATCGCTAGAGGACTTAAGCACTATGCTTAATAATCTCAACAGTGCTTCCAACGGATAGGTCTTAAGATGAACATGGACAAAACAAAGATTATGTGTAACGTCCATGTAACACCTATGCCGGTAGTTGTTGGGAGCACTAAGCTCAAAGTTGTTGACGAGTATGTTTACCTGGGATAAATAGTCCGACTTCGATGTAAGTCCAACTTCGATCGCGAGGTCAATCGACGGATTCAACTCGGTTGGGCAGCGTTTGGGAGATCACGACGCTTCTTCTCGTCAGGCATACCTCAAAACAAAATTGTTCAACCAATGCGTGTTGCCAGTGATGACCTATCGCTCTGAGACATGGTCCTTCACTGCTGGCCGTATGAGGAAGCTCAAGATCGCTCAGCGAGTAGCCGACATAGCCAAATGGATTGGCAATGGGCCGGCCATATAGCTCGAAGAACCGACACCCGATGGGGAAGAAAAGTTGCAGCCTCGTACCGGTAGGTGAGGCGTAGACCGGCCCTTTACTAGATGGAGTGACGAACTGGTAAGACATGCAGGAAATCGATAGATGTAGATGGCTCAGGACCGTGCTTTATGCCATTCCTTGGGGGATATAGGCCATTCAGCAGTGGACTTGTGAAGGGCTGTAATAAATGAATTTTGTATAAACACTAGTAATATTAGGGTTTTTTTAATATTTTTAGTATAATGAACAAGCTAATAACGATGATTTTAAGTGGCTGGAGTACCCACTACATTATCATCATCTGGAGATGAAATGAACTGTTTTGGCTCTCTTAACATAATATATACTGGAATATAATAGTGAGTACACAGTTGCTGGGCGGCAGAAATTGATATGAGATTGCCACTAGTCCGGACGGACAGTAAGACAGAAAAGGAGCTAAACTTTTAGTTTTTGGTCTATAAATAATAGTATTAAAAACTTTTCTTTCTCATTTCTACTTTACTTTTCGATAGTACTATCGTTAATATCGATAGCAGGCCTCTGTCACTCTTGCTACCTGCGTGTAATAATTACCTACAATCGCGAGGTGCCCCAGGGGTAGATCGCAGTCGGGGCTAGCGCGCTCTAGGCGATTGAATGTTAGTTTTTTTTAACGCTGTTTACGTAAATAATTTTTTGTAAATACTTCTTGAAATTCTCGTCGAAATAGTTTTTATTTAGTATTTAGTATATTTGATTGTAGGATAAAATAGTCGAAAAAGTTTTAATGTAATTTAAGAATAACATATATATGTATATTACCTATCTATTTGATAAATTATAATGGCAAAACGTCATTCCTACTATAATTGTATGGGGGTTATGCGGGGATGGATGCTTAATGAGCAATTAAAAGGATTCAGATATATAATTTTTTAGAGTTACCAAAGGATAATGAAAGGTAAATTTGTTTCATTTTTTTATTAGATAGGTACTTATAGCGAAAAAATAATTAAGTAATAATTTAACTACAGAAGTAATACCTAAGTACTTTATTACAAAACTTAGTTGAAATTTACTTCACTACCCAAGTACCTACTTATATACCTTTACTCTTCTTTGTAATTAAAATATTTTAAGGTATAATAGCACAAAATACTGGCATTAAAAATTTGTTTACAAGATTTTCAACTAAGTAGATTACGATCATATTTCTGTTAGGAGTCGTATTTCGGGTTTATTTGTTGTTTACGCCATCTACCTATACGAACCAAGGATCGCGATTCCCGATGGCCTTGCAGGTTGCATGCGTTGGGCATCACAGAACTCACACAGTAGATACTATGGTCGATTATAGTCAGCATAGGTACTTTACATAAGTAACTTAATATTTCACAATGTATTTCTTTACTCTTTATTAACAGCCCTTAGCAACCACGGAAAGTCCGTTGTGACGTAGTAAGGAAAAAAGATTCAAACTAATACGGACACTCGCGCGCAGCGATAAAGTTTTATTTAGTTTGCGTGCGCGATTTATTTGATTAATATATGTAGGCTATTAAAACGTCGGCAAGCAGTCAACATCAAGAGTGCAACTTCTGTACGTACTATTATTTATTCTGTGTCGATAGTGCAAACTATCGCTAGTATGCAACCACTATTTTTCCGACTTCTTTCTTGGCGTTTGCTTTTTTGTGAAATATCTTTTATTAGAATACGATACAATTACAAATAATGATCTATTTTCGTTTACAGTATCTTTAAGTTGCGAATCCGGGACGTCATCGGCCGAACGTACAGCATTGTTGGGCGCTGCCAGTCAGCGCTCACTTTTGTTAAGCAGCGAACTACGGGATGAAGACACACTGTTATAAATTGAAATTCTTTGATAATATAAAATTGATGTTTTTATTATGTTATATGTGAAAAATGATTTTGGTTGTTAGACGTGTGGATTTTAGATGTGACACCGGTTAGAATAAAAAATTAAAATTAAAATTGTTTTATTACTTTTACTTTTTACACTATTATATTTATTATTTACCATATTAGTAAATTATTAATTCAACGGCGCGGAGTCTGTATTAAAGATTTTTAAAGCCCTTGCATAAAATAAACTTAGTAAATTTTAGTTTGCTTTTGTATGTCTGTAGTAATTGTGTAAAAATCGATAAATAATTATTGTTATTTAATAAAAGTATGATTCAAGCAAGATATCTCTACTAGTAGTACCTGGAGATGTTTGATATGTCACATGTGAGAAGTACAAGAACACTCGTACACACTATTATTCTTTAGCCGAAAGAACTAATTAGTCTTTTGATAGGTTGATAAATCAAAATTTCAAGTTCATTCAGTTTTGTATTTATTGTCGTAACATAAAAAATGCTTTTTTTTATAAGATAGGGTAACAAATGAGCACACAGTCCACCTGATGGTAAGTGGTTGCTGTGGCCCATAGATATCTACAACTATCCTTGTTTGCGAATCAAAATGCAGATGCGTTGTCACAAGGGAGGACTAAAGATGGAATGCCTCTTTTCCAGTAAAAAGGGTCTTCGGTTCTCTACACTCACCATACGAAACACACCAGTGCTAAACTGCTATTTTACGCTGGTATTCTGTGAGAGCGTGGTCATACCGCAGTTGAACCGACCACCACGCCACGTGAAAAGTTAATTGCTTAAGTAATTAGTAAAAATATTTTAAAAGTTTGTAAATTTTAAAGTTAAAAGTCAACCTTTACATGTTAGAGGACTGCACAATACACATCATTGGTTTTTTTTCTTTTTCAGACATGCAGGTTTCCTTGCAATATTTTCTTCCAATGCCGAGCATAATAAAGTAAATCAGCATATACAAAATTGCAATTAACAATTTCATTGTTGCTAGCAAGTATGAAACTGGGGTTGCTTACATACTGAGAAATTGTCACAGTGAGTCCTTAGCCCCCTGCCTCCACTGCTCTATATTCATCATACATATTGTAACTAGCCATCAAATGCTTCTACTACAAACAAAGGGAACTGCAAAAAATGTACAAGAAATAAAATACTTTTAAATATCAAAATATTTCAATTTATTACGGTTCTTTACAAAACAAAAAGGGTTGTATTGCCATTTGAATCTCATGTTCTAATGGTATCTCATGAATAAACTTTGAGAATGTAATTACAATTTTATACAAACTTCTTTTCACAGATGATATAAGAGCAGATCTAAGTCTTAAAGCAAATCCATCGTTCACAAAATGTTTTCGAGGTACAAGACCAGGTTTAATCAACTTATCCAGTTTTTGTTTTAAATTAATTAAGGCTGTTATAACCACTGGCAAATCACTTTGTACAATACCATACTTATCTTCTTTTAATGAAGCTGCTACAATTGTGGCCAAGCCTTCGCAAGTCCAAACGAGTGGTTGTGACTGAATTAATAAAAATTTTAATCTTGTATCTGTAAGTTCACCAAAGAAATAACTTATACCTGGCTTTTGGCAAAGTCTCTGAATAAAATTGTTAAATTCTTCTTTCACAGCATTACTGAAGGTGTCATCAGTTTTATTTTTATTATGATCTTTCAATAAAAGTAGTTGGGGTGATTGTGCCATATTCCTAAGAGGACTGGAATATAATGATGACGTAAGTGAAGACGCATTAGTTCCTGTGTTTTTAAGTTGAATGCTATATGAACTATCTGGTTCACCAGCACTTCCATCACCATGTATAATATCCAATTCTTTATTAAATTCATTGATTATACTCATACATTTCTCTAATAAATTATTCCAGTTTCTTGGATGCCCCCCAGGTTGTGAAAGAATAAATATTTCAGATCTCCTATTGGCATCAGTCATAGACATTATTTTTAAATCTAATGCTGCTAAATATTTATTGAATTTTGATGTTTGTGCTAAAGCATTGCAAAGTGTAAGTTTATTATCCGATTCAATTGGAAACTTCATTGGTTCTGTAAGTACTATATTGAATATTGTTCTCATGGTATAAACTGATATGAAAAATAAACTGGTGTAGAACCAAAGTCCAATATAAATACCAGTTGTCAACATTATTACTACATTATCCAAGGGAGGGTCCTCTAGATATAAACTGTAAACATCACTAACAACATTTCTAGGCTTACTACCCCATAGATAATAAAAAATACAAAAATACAATACTGGCACAAATGACTTCCTAAATCCAGTTGAAATAATGTGGCTCACTACTAATTTAATCTGCTGTAGTTTCTCTTGGTAAATATGAGGAAATGTTAAAACTGTTGTGCCAAATATGTGAACTTGAAGGAAATAATACAGACCCATCCACATGCCACCAAACTGTAAGAATAAACTTTGTTCTGAAAGACACTGGCCATCATATTGTTCACACTTTTTTTTCAGTACATTGTAGTTACTTCCAGCCAAAGATGAATATAAGCTCATGGCAAAATATCCATTAAGGGAATAAAGAATCCCAAAGATTATGTTCTGCATGGTAAATGTATTCAAGAATATCGAAAATCTCGTGAAATTTTTAGGTCGCTGAATTGTATAATAGCTCCCATAAACATATGCTTGAAAAAATGATACGAGGCCCAGCAAGACAACATTTAAGCACATTTTCCAACTAAATATGTCATGAAATGTTGAAATAATCCACGACAAAGGATGTAAGGGATTAACTTGTATAACAAAAACTAATAGAGCTGCAAGTAAAGTTTGCAACACAATATTCCATAGTACTGCTTTGACCAGCCTTTGTGAGAAAATTTCGTTTTTGTTTTCCATGCCGGCTAAACACCATGTATATAAGGTTAAACTTTTGTTCTAAGTCGTCATGTCTTCATAAGAAACAGCACGTAAATTTTTCTTCTGCCTTGAAGGACGTGTATTCTACTCTGTTAGGACGTGTTTTAATCACAAACAGAACGCTAACCTGGTTTAATGCTCAAACTAATAAATAATAGCATCAAATCAAGTTTTACGGATTCCACTTAAATCTCTAAGTAGACTTTTATTTTTCAATGTCAATGGTGGTTTCACTTTTTGACATTTGATTTCTTATTGTTCTTTTTGCTAAACGCAAGGGGACCTATAATCGTACAGCCTATACTGACGTATTTTGTTCACAAAATACTTCACAGTATGACTGGTATGTCACATAACAATATTTTTTGAAAATTTTTAAATAACACACCAGCAAACAGTTGATGACGATATTAGATCAAGGTACCTTAGCGAATTCTTTCCCATTCCATTCCACTCTTAGTTTATACGATAAGTACCTAATTCAATACACAATTTCGTACCGCTTTTTAAACTTTTTGTTTCATTTATCTTCATTACACATCTTATAATAAGGGATTTATAGGACGTAGTTAATGCCTTATAGCACAGGTGGAAACAATCACTTCATAAATTCAATAAATAAGTAATAAAGTTATAAGCTACAATAAAATGCAAATAAGTAGAATATGGTTAGTAAAAATATACATACTTAATACCTGCTATAGAATAGAATAGAATAATTTTTATTCAGTATATACCATAGATTATTATTGTATTCAATTTTGATCTTATTCCTTTATTTTTAAATACAAAGGTCTATATCTATACAGCCTAGTCTGGTATAATAAATAATAAATATTGAAGAATTTTGTGAACAAAATACACTTGTTCACAAAAGTCTTCAATATTATATAGATAAATAAGCATTTCATTAAGAATGATTTGGAAATCTTATTATTAACCACAATTTAACCTGGCAAAGATGATTTGGTTTCTCATGGACAAAAAAGAAGACAATAACTTTAGGTTTATATAAATTTAATCAAAGTATTAAATAATAAATAAGTTTTATCAAAGTCGACTTTAGCGATACTCACGGGTTGGTATGGGGTATTAGAGCTTCTAAGAGTGTGAGTACGCAGTACTATTATCTATTCTGTGGTATTAGGTTGTAGATATGGAGTGTAGAGTAGAAGGAGGACCATCTCTGTATATGAAAAGTGTCCCTAAAAACGTGTCCAATAAGGGTGGCGCTGCAGTAGCATAGGATAAATTAAAAAAGAAGCGCCAAAAGTATTTAGAGTAAGATGGAGAAATAAATAAGGACCGATCAATCCGCTTGGTTTTGTACTATGTAAATAGTTCAGATTTTGTATATTGGCGTTTTACTAACTACTCTAGTCATGAAATATTTGAATTCAGCTGACTTCACTCCGTTCATAACAGCTATCTTCATATCGTAGTTTTTCAGACGCCAGCGCTATTGTGGTAGGTTTTGGAACCTCTATTTACAGTAAATAGTAGGACACTTTTTCAACCTTCGCTCCTTATAAGATGGTTCTCCTTCTACTCTACACTCCATAGTTGTAGATAAAAGAGTTATAATAAGTATATACAGGAATTGTAGATTCTCTACACGGCATTATCAAGATCCTAAGTTCATTTCATAATTTTGAAATATGTTTATCCAAGCAGATATAGTTTTCTCAATGGTTTTATTTTCCGCTAAGAAAATGGTAAAACAACATACAAAAGTGGAATTACAAATAGGATCCAACTCGCTTATGTACCGTGTGACTGTCAAGACTTAGTAATCATATCTTACTAACTATTAGTTATAAAAGTTTTTGACATGAATATTTGCAATGTAATATTATCATCATTAGTTGACTTCGAAAACAATTCACCGAAAGCTTTAGCTAGCTTTTTTATCCTAGGCCGAAGAGAGGGGGATCATACGGTAATCCTCGAATCCGGCAACTTGTTCTATCACCGAGAGAGCGGCCATCTGTCCCAAGGAGGTGTCGAATTTATCGTCCACAAGTCTCTCGTTAGCAACGTTGTAAAGATTGAGTGTGTCAACGAGGGTTGCGTACATTACACTCAGCATCTCAGAATATATAATTTTAATCTCACTCAGATTGAGAAGTTCTATAGGCAGCTATACATATCATCGATGGAGCCACACGTAAGTGTGAGTAACGATTCAAAAGCAAGTTTTATACGACACAATTCCGATGATATTCCCGACGCGACGTCAGTCTAAGCGAGATTAGAATGGCTCTCCAGCACTTTAAAAACAGCAAGTCCCCGGACGAGAATCGAATTACAGCGGAGCTTCTGAAAGCGGGTGGAAAACCGGTACTTGAAGTCCTTCAGAAGCTCTTTAATTCCGTCCTCTATGGTGGCACTACTCCGGAGGCGTGGAGCAGAAGTGCGATGGTATTGTTCTTTAAGAAAGGCGACAACGCTCTCTTGAAGAACAACAGATCGATTTTCCTTCTGAGCCGCGTCTACGTGCTGTTTTCGAGACTCATTACGAATCATTTCGCACGCAGTCTCGACGACTTCCAGCCTCCTGAACAAGCCAGTTTCCAAAAGGGCTTTAGCACCATAGACCACATACATACCCTTCGGAAAATTGTACAGAAGACCGAGAAAGCCTTTGATTCCGTTGTTTGGGCGGTGCTGCCGTCCCTTCAGCGGTGCCAAGTTGACTGTCAGTATATCGAAGTGGTGAAGTGTTTGTACAATATAGGCTACGATGGCTATCCGAGTACAGAACCAGAGTGACCTATCCAACTGCAGAGAGGTGTAAGACAGGATTACATTATATCCCCGAAACTCTTCACCGGTGCATTGGACGACGTTTTCAAGCTATTGGACTGGAAAGGAAACGGTATTAATATCAATGGTGAGTACATCACTCACCTTCGATTTGCCGACGATATGGCAGAATCGCTAGAGGACCTAAGCACTATGCTCAATGACCTCAATAGTGCCTCCCAACGGATAGGTCTTTAGATGAACATGGACAAAACAAAGATCATATATAACGTCTTTGTCACACCTATACCGGAACTTGTTTGGAGCACTAAGTTCGAAGTTGTTGACGAGTGTTTACCTGGGACAAATAGTCCGACTAGGTAAGTCCGACTTCGAGCGAGAGGTCAATCGACGGATTCAACTCTGCTGGCACATCTTCCCACCAGGTATACCTCAAAATTTGAAAACAAGATTATACAACCAGTGCGTGTTGCCACTGATGGTTTACGGAACTGAGACGTGGTCCCTCACTGCTGGCCGTATGACGAAGCTCAAGGTCGCTCAGCGAGCTTATGGAGAGGGCTATGCTCGGAGTTTCTCTGCGTGATAAACTTAGAAATGATCCGCAGTAGAACCAGATTGGACGACATAGCCCAACGGATTAGTAAGATGAAGTGGCAATAGGCCGGCCATATAACTCGAATAACCGACAACATATGGATGGAGTGACGATTTGGTAAGACATGCAGGAAGTCGATGGATGTAGGTGGCTCAGCACCGTGCTTTGTGGCATTACTTGTGGGCGGCCTTTGTTCAGCAATGGACTTGTGAAGGGCTGTAATGGTAATGGTTACAAAATTGATACAGTAACATTAAAGTTTTTACACAGGTCGTAGAGTGGTGTAAAAAAAATATTGAATGATTCAGACTACCTATGTGACTTCCTACCTGCAGACGACGACTGGCGATACAGAATTTATACCTACACTTTCAAGAAAACCTGAAAGTGGCATAACTTTTTTGGAATCTAGTGAAGGAGTACCCGATGTAGTACTTTTTTCATTAGAAGAGGACAATAACGTGGAACTTCTGGATGAGGCACTCGTGGTGTTTCACAAAGGCGTGGAACTCGGAAGCATGTGCGACACAGAGACACACCATCTAGATCTGGGTTCACATGTTTCACTCGACAGGAATTCTGCCCAATGTCCTTTAAAAAGAACAAAAGATATCGACTTCAAAATTCCATAAATCAATTAGATTTAGGTAATAAAATGCCAAAAAAATGAAAAATAAGGTATATTACAACTTTAAGGCCTTTTTTCACATTAGTTGTTCTGGGCAATAATTACTTTAAACAAATTGTTGTTTGAAAATGACAGTGTGCAGAATTAAATTTTTTTTTTGATTGGGCGTGACGGTGATACTTATGTCGTCTTGAGAAAAAACGTCACACACACATAATACAATAGTGAATAGGGATGCCATTTTTCTAGAAAATCAAAAGATAAGTAAGAGTCATTCATATTTGGAATCGTATAGAAACTAACACTTGTCATAAAATTACACGCAATATCTTTCAATAGATTTCCCATTTGGCTTTATTTGAAAATTAAATTAGAAAAAGCGAGACAAGTATATAGGCTCAATTTATGTAGAATGTTTTAGGTTCTTTCTATGCATACATAAGTATGTATGTAATTACTCTAAGGAAAGGAATACTTTTTTATATAGGATAGGGTGACAAACGAGCACACAGTCCACCTGATGGTAAGTGGTTGCTGCGGCCCATAGACTTCTACATTTATCCTCAACAAAAAATCAAAATGCAGATGCGTCGTCACCCGTGAGGACTAAGATGGAATGCCTCTTTTCCAGTAAAATGGGTCTGCAGTTCTCTACACTTACCATACGAAACACAGCAGTGTCAAGCTGCTATTTTACGCTGGTATTCTGTGAGCGTGGTCCTTCCCCGGTCGAGCCGACCCATTCGTGCTACAACTATATTACTAATATAGCTGCAGCATGGCTCTACCACGTTGAAAAATGGCGGGAATTTGACCACCGGCGGATTGATGCTTCAAACAATAAAAAAAACAACCAAAAATTAAATACTGAAAATGGCATAATGTACTTTAATTTTTCAATACATTTTATTTTACTTTACTGGGTTGCGTTATAAAAATCTTGGAATGGTCGTAGTTTTGGGATTATTCCAGGTTTTTCTATAAACATAACATTGACACAAAGACTTCTATGTATAGGTACTAGAATAAAAACTGTGTCACAGTAGTGGAACACCTAAGCGCGGGCGCTTGTGGGTGAGCACGGAAAATATGCCACGCAGTTGTATTTTAATTTACGACAATTACTGTTTTAGGCAAAAAAAGTTACATACTGATCTGAAATAAACTTTAAAGCACATTGACAAAGTGTGCGCACTTTATTATAAAATAACGACAGCGTTTTCATAGTCACATTAAACAATATCAGTGTTAGATTGTCGAAAACATCAAACAATGACCGTAACTAAGGAGCCCATATAGTAGAATACATAGAAGTCTGCATTGACATTACTAAATATATAAGCTGTAGGCGGTGAATACAAAATATTCTATTTACAAAAGTTGTGGTGTTCAATAATATTAATTACACTTAAACTATTAATGTTAAATGTTACAAGTTCATTATCATACAGCACCATACAAGAACTTAGTTTTCTATCAAAATATGACTACAAATTATTCTAAAATGGAAGTAAAACTTTTTGAATTTGTCTAAAAATGAATTAAACTAGTGTCATTTTCATTAAAATCCCAGTGATCTTTATTCTTTTCTGTCTAATCAATCAATAAACATAAGCAATTTGTCTATAAAATGGAGGTTAATATTTAAATTTCACATTTATTTGGTAGTCACAAAGTACCAAATTAAAACAAATATACATTGAAATAAGCAAAAAAAATCCAAAAGAAAAACACTGTTGTAAGTACAGAAGTGTAATATAATACAACTTATGTCCAATTTTGCGCTAGAAACCTTCTAGGTTTTTAATTCTTATCAAAACAACAGAATTCAGGTACTATGTTATAAGTCACATTTTCTAAGTCGCATTATACATGACATTACAGAGTTGTTTAAAACATCATAATAATATACTTTAGATTAATAAAGTTAACATAATTAAAGTAAACTTAAGAGGCCTTGCAAATGTAAAACATTAGTGTTTTTCTAGTTGTGAATCTTAAATTACCGTGCAGAGGCGGTGTAAGAATATCTACTACCCGCTATATCATCCCATGGCTGTCGTAAGAGGCGACAGAGGGAAACAAACCAGGACAAAGGCAGCAGCGTCTTCCTCATAACAACTAAAAATAAAAAAACTGCAGTTTCCAATCCGCTTGACAAGCGAAGCAACTATGGCAAATATCCCCCCTATGAGGTAATCTATGGGGGAGGCCTATGTTCAGTAGTGGACTTTAGTAGATTGTAATGAAACCTTAAATTCAGTTTTCAAGCAAAGCCTAAATTTGTACGGTGTGTTAATTATTGGTCTCAACCTTAAAAGTTGTGACTACACCATGTATTCGATCTTTTCAAATAGGTATAACCTATCCAAACTCTTTTGTTCTGCAAAGATACAAGAGACTATACTACTTCATACCAATATATTACAAGTTATAATATTAGATCAGGGGTATGGGATTTGAGTCGCAGTCCATGCTAAATCGTAAATACACAAAGAAATTTCAGACTTTATTAAATGTTAATGAAAAATTCAAATGGATAAAAATATACGCATTTTGCACATAAATTTAATTTTAACCGTTTATGGCATTTTATGACAGTTTTGTTTGACAGTCTATAAAATATGTATTACAAAACTTTACAGACTTATTTTTTTTTTAGTTAGTTTTGAATTCTTTATTCAACTTTTGTAATTAATCTATATCCGCCAACATAATATTGTAATTTATAGTCAAAATTAATACTAGTGTTAATAATATTGTCCTTTACCAAATTGGTGGCCAGGTATGACACTTAACATAATAGTATAATCATAATATGCAACTGCTGCAAGGAATGAATAACGTTGATAGTATGGTATTAATCAAAGATTTCCTTAGAGCCTCACCTTTGAGTATCTTAGCTAGGGAAACAGATATTTTTAAAAATTATCTCTCATTCAGTTTTCCCAGTTTAGACTTATGTTTTAATAGGGAACACATTGCAGTCTTACCAAAGTTTATAATACTACTTCCACACTGATTTACATACATATAAATACACATAAAGGAACACTCACAAGAATAATAAAACTGATTATTAGAGATATTGGAAATATTTACGAAAGAATGTTAAGATTAATTTATTACATTAGCATCGTGTTGCAAACAGAAATAGCAGTGCTTTACTATGGCAGTGTTTCATAGTTAAAAAAATAAAACGGAATCTTATATTGAAACTTAAAATCAGAAAATTATTTGTATGTTTAGGTGTTCGCTTTATGTGCATTTGTCACTATTTTACATATGAAGTCGAAAATTACACAAATTATTAAAAATAATATGACACCACGCATGCCTTTCAGTTCTAAATTAATATAACATTAATTCATTCATTAATTAATTACAGCCCTTCACAATAATTAATAATCATTAAAATATGATTAACATTGGTATTGTACATTTACATTACAAGGTTATGTACAATTTATAGTTTGTACAACCTTTAAAATACGTTTGTATGGTTACAATTATTATGGTTTATGAACACCCTAATAGCGATTACAAATAAAATAAGTTAAATTAATTATAAACGCGAAAATAAAATTTCACAAATATCATTATCATACTAAAATAAACTTAATTTAAAAAATAAGGTCTGTATTTAATATTTATATCACAGATACCTGACAAAAATATATTAATATCTTTCTCCTTGGTATTATTCATAACAAAAATGTTGTTAAAAATAAATTAAAAAGCACGCGTCTCGAGGTCCCGGACGCTGATCCCATAAAAAATATCATAAATAAAATTGACTACTCTTTAAAACAAATTAACGGGCGAATAAAAGTCAGGAGTTAAACTTGGAAGTAGTCACTAACGATGCCGTCAGCACCGCTATTAATACTGTTTTTTGGCTCTCTATTTGTTGGAACATTAATTTTTTCGTAGCCTGCCGACGAATCTGATCTTTCCACGCTAGAATTTATCGCAGCATCATCATTTACTCTTTCATACGGTGGCTCTTTCTGCGATAATTCGAAATATTTGACACTTTCGTAGTTAGGATCTTTTTTAGACCTGACCGAGTCATACTTGGAGTCTTTCGATCTCACCGATTCGTATTTAGGGTCTTTACACCGTAAAGACTCGTAGTTGGGGTCCTGCGGGTTGACACTTTCATAATTTGCATCCTTCGGTCGAACTGATTCGTAATTAGGATCCGACTCACTACCAGTCGTATAAAATGGATCGTTAGTCATTGATTCGTAGTTCGGTTCATGCATTGCCTCTTCATTATTATTACTTGGCCAATTGTTGTATTTAATAGGTCTCTTGTTAACAGTTGAATATGTTTGTTGTACTTTGTAATTAGAAGCGATAGTTGCATATGGCGGAGTCGGTGGTTGATTTCTTAACACTTCGTAATTAGGATCTGAGTCCGACGCGCTATTATCTTGTTTCGTTATGTGCTCATAGCCAGGGTCACTGCTTATTATGCTATTCGGTCCACTGTCTCCCAAATTATTTAACTTGAACAAATTGTTATTGGTGAACGTTGATACATTCTTACTAATATCTTTAACAGTCTCATACCCAGGGTCTTGGTTTTGCGAATTTGTACGTTCTTTGTGCGTTATTGTTTCGTAACCGTGATTAACAGATTTATTGCGGTCAATGGTCTCATACCCGGGGTCATCGCCGCGATATTTCAAAGTACTCGGCTCGGCATCGTTTGGAAATTCTTTTAACGTTTTAATTGTCTCATCTGCTTTTCCTTTTGTTTTCTTCATGACCTTCGCATACATTTCTTCAACGTTACACGAAGGGCTTTCTGTGATCCGTTGTTCTGAATTCATGCTAGTGTTCGCGTCGGCTGAAGAATAATCACTGTATCCCGGACCATCAATAGAATTGTACAAATTGTCTGCCGGGCTTTCCTGTTTGTCGATATCAAAGTTTAATTCTTTAGCGACAAGAGGCCTAATAAGGTCACCTGAACTAAACCTGTGCTTTTCTACAGGATAGTTGCACCCGTAAAAGTCCGACGAACTAACACAGCTATTGTTTCGTTGGTGTTTTTCGTTGAGGCTTCGTCGAAGCTTATCGTGATTAAAGTGAAGATCACCTGCAAGTTTTGGATTTTTTATTATTTTCTTATTTAACACGTAATCAAGTAGCTGTAAGAGCTCAAATAAAAAATATAAGAATAAAATATACTTCACGATATTTTTTATTTTATTTTATTTTATTCTTTTTGGAAAACTTACAGCTAACATTAACAATAAATAAATGAAATATGTCAGTTAATATGTATGCCATATAATATATGAGCGGTTGAATTAAAATACCATATTTTATTCGGGTCATAAAGCATTCGTGCAAAAAGTCACTGCTAAAGATCTGTTTCTATCATTTAGTAGGCAGAACTTTTCTTGTTTCTCTAAATCGCCATTTATTGAAGTTTGGTTAATCTAGAAGTTTTCGGAGACTTTTCTAAGACTGCACCGAATGAAATGAGATGATAGTTTCTGATGACACCATTTTCAGTTATAAAGTTATGATTAAATTATTTAGACCCGAAATCGAATAAAATGCATTTTTACATGAATATTCACACTGACTGGTTTGTTACTAATGCATTTTATGGTGAAATTAAAATAACATGTATGGGCGTGTACGTATAAAAATGTGTTATAGCTTACCAGTGCTGGATATGCGCTGGTGCCGCTGCGACTGCGCGGCGTGCGCTCCGTGCGGTGCGAGTGTCGCGTGCGTCCCGTGCGCCGAGTGCGTGCCGTGAGTCACGTGGGTCACGTGCGTCACGTGGGTCACATGTGTGGTGTGCGGTGGCGGTGGTAGCGGAGAGTTGGCCACGCGCTTTTCCGGTTTGGGCGAGCCCAGAGCGCCCGTCGAATTAGAACACGACGACGATGACGCTGTAAAAACAGGAAATTGGCGTTAAAATTACATAGAATAAAATTCAAAGGGATGATGGGTATAAGTTAAAGAAAGAACTTAGATTTTTTCGAACGTTCGTTTTTTGAACGTTCGCATTTTCACCACTCGTGTAGTGGTGAAAAAACGAACGTTAACGAATTTAATATAAAAGTACCAGTGTAACCAGCTTCGATAACTATTTTCCGCCTCATTAATAACTAAAAAATACCTTTTGACACATCCTAAATTTTACCACGAATATTCTTTTCATTTCTTGACTACGTTTTTGTCATGTTAATGGCATATTTTTACCCGCGACGGAACGAAGAAGGTGTATGCGTTTAGGGTGAGAGGTTGTTTGTTTGATTTTTTGTGTGTGCAAGCAAACGAATGTTCACATTTATCCCCAAAACGGCTTAACCGATTTCAATAAGGTTTTTAGCAAAGGATTTGTGACTCATCAGCGATGGTTCTTATATAAATGTTATGGCGTTAGCTCGCCAGGGGGCGCTGCAATGAACATTTAGGGTACAAACGAATGTTCCCATTTATCTCGAAAACGATTTGACCGATTTCGATGCGGTTTTTTGTAGAGTTTGTAACTCATTGGCGATGGTTCTTAGATAAGTGGTACGGTGTTAGCTCGCCAGAGGGCGCTGCAATAAACATTTTTTTTAACTCGTTAAAATGAATTGTAGCGAATTTTTTCCTCGAGACGGCTTCATACCTTTATCTGAAATCATTCTGTCTATTGATGAAAACCCCATCAAAATCTGTTACATAGTTTAGAAGATCTAAGCGTACAGTTGTGTGGGTTGTGGAAGAGTTTTCGTTGATTTAGATCAGTTATTACTAAGTCATCTAAAGATCGTATTCTACTAAGAGCCACATAAGCATTGCCTTTGGCAAATATGTTGGATCCAAGATATATGACCGCCTTGCAATTTATGCACTGTAACGGCCCAACTTAATATGAGTGGAATCATTACCCTTTCTATTTTGCCAGGACCTTTATTGCCTTGAAAGGATATACTCATTTGAACTATGCCTATTGCCTACCCAACCATGTCCGTCATGGTAACTTTTGCCGATAAAGCGGTCATCAAACTGTATGAGAACTCTTTTGGGCAGCTCCATCTTCCAACTGGTCTCTTCTTAACCCTTCCTATTGAAAACCACGAACAACTCCCATACTGCCATTTACTAATCCTTCATTGACCTTGATGTTCATCCTTAACATCACTCGTGTACCCACACCCAACTTTATTTATGATACCAGGCCTCCTGTGTTATTTGGGTCTACTGGAATAGCAGCAGGTAGAGGTTTTTGTCCATAGTTGTTGGGTTCCCTAGACTCATCTCGTGCATCTATCGCGTACAATTTCGTTCTTAATTTGGTCAACATTGTCTGATTTTATAGTTGACGAGTTGTACGATGGGCTATATCCAAACAGCTTCCTCATCGGCAAAGTTTTCTTCGGGGAACACGAGTTCTCTCTACAAGTAGTTGATACTGTTCTATGATCAGTTCTCCCACTCTTTAATTGTTAAGCAAATCAAAAAGTCCACATCGTTTTGCTGGCGCATGTTGCGTTATAGTTCGCAAATTCCGAAGTACCTCCACAGATGTGGCTTCCCTTGAAAATGTGTGCAGGTATAACTTGAAGCAATAACTCCCTTTTACGGGTGCTAACTGCATCAAATCGCCAAAAACGCCGCCGAAGAGAAGGTCATTATTTTTTAACTCCTGAAGCCTCAAGTGAATGCAGCTCAACATTTCATATGAAACCATGGAAATCTCAACGACAATTATCCAGCAAACGGCTGGATAATTGTCGTTGAGATTCCTTTTCCATTTGCGTCTTATATCTTCTAAGCGCTGACACGTTAATTGTCGAAGAGTGATTGCTGAACCTTTTTCGATACCCAACGATAATGCACTGTGAAGTATTCGTCAATTCGGTAAAGGCAGTGTAAAGTAAAAGTAAAGTTGCAGCCTATTTACGTCCCACTGCTGGGCACAGGCCTCCTCTCATTTCTGAGAGGGTTTTAGGGCAAGGACATGTTCGCCGCTCTGCCCCAATGCGTGTTGCCGAACTTCACATGTCTTCGAAATATATTTTTCTTATTTCTCAGAAATGCAGGTTTCCTCACGATTTTTTCCTTCACCGCCAAGCACGTGGTAAATCAGCACTTAAAAATGCTATTAACAATTTCATTGGTGTCGGCGGGGATCGAACCCGGGTTGCTCGAGTACTGTGAAGCTTACAGCGAATGCTAACCATCTGAGCTACCACGGCTCCTTCAGGGCAGTGACTTCAACAAAACATAGCTGAAGTAAAGCAGATACCGTTGGCTTATAACATTTTTTAATTTGCTAAACAATTGCTCTCAGTGTAAATGTTTTACCAGATCCTGCTCCTCATGATATAAATAATTTCATTGTATCAGCCGCTGACTCTTGGTTTCGTAGCTCTTCTTTAATTTTCGTTGTAATGATCTTCAATAAATTTTTCTGCTCTACATTCATACTTGAAATCATTCAAGTAGGAATGTATAGCATCAATGTAATAAGATACCTACTTACCTAGACCTAATCCTACAAATCTTAAGAAATACCTACCTATGGAAATACCTATACATCAAATGATTTAATGTAATAGATACCTACTTATCTAGACCTAATCCTACAAATCTTAAGAAATACCTACCTATGGAAATACCTATACAGCAAATGATTTAATATAATAGATACCTACTTATCTAGACCTAATCCTACAAATCTTAAGAAATACATATCTACGGAAATATCTATAGAGCAAAGCTTTAATTTAAAAAAGAGAAAGAAATAAATTACGTTTTTAAATAGATAGGTATAAAGCTAACCTACTTACCTATCCTAATCCAACAAATCTTAAAGAATATACATATACGGAAATATATATATACAGCAAATGCTTTAATGTAAAAATATATACCTAGATATCAATACAAAATAATAATTTTACAACAAATCATAATCTAAACATAATAATATCACTGATAATAATTCAAAAACATAAACCCTAACACGAAAGACAACTTATCTAACGCTTCCTACTCGAACAAAAATTGTTTACACAAATTATTATTCAAACGCCAAAAGCATCATACTAAAATCAATTCCAAAAAATGATTTTCGCAAGACCTTCAACGATGTCTGCCCTCACGCGTCTACTCGTTCGGGGAGTTTGCCTCAGTTACTTCGCCGACGACGCGCGGTCAGTGTCACAAAAAGTAACTTCGGTGTGAATACACAGTTTATGGATAACCCGCACCCGCAGTAACCATTTCTCTATACTACTATTATAGTGAGGTAAAGTTTGTAATATTTTGTTTGGTTGTGAACTTCAATTATTATAACGAATAAATACTATGTAAGTCAGAAATGTGTTTTTCCTTATCCAATTGTACATATTGGTTACATTTCGATTTAAATATAGATAGAAGTAGTTTTTACGGCAATAAATTTAAAAGAATATCTTAAAACTAAAAGTCCGTACTGCACTGCTAGCATGCATGCAGTCTATGCTAGCAGTGCAGGGCGATTTAAGACCGGTATTCAAAAACTTTTACCGAGTGTAACTACGCTGCAGCTATATTGTGGTTTTAGCACAAATGGGACGGCTTGACCGGTGAAGGACCACGCTCTCACAGATTACCAGCCTAAAATAGCAGCTTAATGCTATGTTTCTTACGATGAGTGTAGAGAACCGGAGACCCTTTTTACTGGAAATGAGGCATCAGGGGTGACAACAAGTGATTCTTAATTGAGGCTAGTTGTAGACGTCGCACAGCATCCACTTACCATCAGGTGGGCTGTGTGCTGTATGTTAGTCATATTCTATTATTAAAAAAATCAGAATCTCATCACCAGCCATTATGTCCCTCTTCATCAGTTATTATAATGCATTAAATGATCTGCAGTATATCTAAAAATAACTGTTTGTTTATCTAAATATCAGCTCTTTTAGACGAACAGTGAAACTTTCATACTCATTTAGCAAAATGGAAAGACTGCACGGACATACACTAGCACGCGCATTGGATGTTACGGGCCAAAATACTCACCTTGTCTGGAATGTGTTGCGTGAGTAGACGCTCCGATTTCTGGGGGAGCACTCCTTCTGTATATAGGAATAAAATATAAATGCAAAATAAACAAAGTACCACTTCATTAAATGTGATCAATTTGCTTAAGCTATAAATATATTTTCATTTAACAGAATCATATATTATTGCTGTTTTCGAGAGATCATATTAATACAACTTGCGATTATTATTATTATTATCATCGCGTGAACAATAAGTAGAATGTTACAGGAGGGATGAGTAAACAAAGCGTTTTCCTAATCGATGACAAATCGATATATTTTACACAAGTGTACAATCCAATTACGACGTCCAAAATAACTAGGCCTCTTCGCATCTAAACGCAGTCGTGTTCTCAAAGTAATAAATTCCCCAGTGGTCGAGGCGCGCTTCCAATCCAATGAGGGAAGGTATTCAACGCAGAAAAATTCGAGAATAATCGAAATTAAAAATATGTAGGTCCAAAGAGAAAATATTTTATACATAATATGTGAACGTAAGGTTGAACTTTGCTTGCTTCTTACGTCCAGACATTTTAACTTGACGGCGGACATTGAGACCATACCATTCCATGTCATTGGAACAGTGATTTTTTCTCGCGGCGTGATAATATGAATGTTAAACAGAAATCTATGCTGGGTGAAGATTGTGCAAAAATCAATGGATATAATAATAAAAATAATACTATTTTGAAAAGATTGAAAATGCGAAAAAATAATAACATTGAAGGAATTATTACTAATTCCTTCATTATTACTAATTCCTTCAATGTTATTATTTTTTCGCATTTTGTTATTTGTAGCTTAAAAACAAAATAAAATGAGACTGCATTAAAACAAAATATTCCTTCTTTAATTTTTTTATTTACAGGAAAATTTCTTGCCTATTATTTGCCTTAAACTTTATTGCTATACTAAAGTTATATTGTGCACTTTTGTATTATGCATCGATGATTTACGGCACCGAGCGAGTGACACCGGAGCGAGTGTTTAACATTAGTATAATAATTTTTTAATACAGTTGCTCAAAAAGTGGCGTATTGCAGGGACTTATAGCGTTCGGGATGTGGGCTTTTACATACTGGTGCTTTTTCTTTACCTTTTCCGAACTCGTGCGTTTTCTTTCCCAACTGTCAAAATGATTTCTAATAAAAAGAAAAAACCAACCACGAAGTTTTTACTAAAAAAAATTCATAGGAGTTTTTATGATTCTTGCAAATATTTCTAAAAAGAAGCTACTAATTTGTTTCAATATCAGATTTAATGATTTGATTCAATAAGTTAGGTTAGGTTTCATTTCATTTCATCTCATTAAATTTAATTTTCATTTCATATCAATAAAAAATTCTACTGAAGACTAGGCTGTATGGGCATAGTTCCCTTTGCCTACCCAGAATGGGTGAAGAAAACAAAAAAAATCTCTGCTTATATTCTTTTACGGTTGGCGCCATTTTCCAAAAATGTTCTTTATTAAATTGCTTCATTTTTTCGCAACTATATTAAAAATAGTTGTTCAGTACACGTGCGGAACCGTCTTTGCAACTTGTTCCGACTGTCAATCCTCACCTTCGGCTGCGCCTCGGCTCGGGTAGACATTTGTCGGAACTCTTTGGAATGACAGGCTTTCCGCACTCGTAATGAAATATACTATTAAGTGCACCTGGCGGAATGATCGGTTGGCAAATTCGCTGCGGAGGCGGAGGCTGAGGCGGGGGCGGGGGCGTCCTCGCGGCGGCGCGGCTCGGGAGCGATCTGCGCGTACGTGTCCGAACCTTCGCCGGCGCTCGCCTCCTCTATCGCCGCATACATCTCGTCTGCACATCAACATACGATTGCTATAGCCCCGACTGGATACACAAGGTGTCACAGGCGCTTTGACATGTAAACAAACTTATTAGTTGCACATTCAACCATTCATGAAAAACAGTGCAAATATTAAGAAGGCTTCAGTATAAATTATTAAGAATAACTCAAAAACTATTGGTCAGACCTTAATCAAATTTAATGGAACCACATGAGAAGCATCAGCTTTTAAAAAATATAAAAATAAATTAAAAAAAGAATCATCGAAATCGGTTCACCAATAAAAAAGTTATGAGGTTTATATTTTGATGGTAGAGCCATGCTGCAGCTATATTACTGGTAATAGTTGTAGCACGAATGAGTCGGCTCGACCGGGTAAGGACCACGCTCTCGCAGAATAGCAGCTTAACGCTGCTGTTTCTTATGGTAAGTGTAGAGAACCGGAGACCCTTTTTACTGGAAACGAGACTTTCCATCTTGGTCCTCACGAGTGACAGCGCATCTGCGTTTTGATTCGTAATCGAGGATAGAGGTGGATGTCTATGGCCCACAGCGACCACTTACCATCAGGTGGACTGTGTGCTCGTTTGTTATAACACACATAAAAAAAACATACAGTCGAATTGAGGACGGGGGTCCTTTTTGAAGTCGGAAGAAAATAATAAAAACTGACATTGTTATCGCATTAGACTTTATATTTAAACGATATTTGTAATTTATTCTAAAAACATAGTCATGGTGTACAATTGGGAGTTTCCATACAAAATCTTATACAAATCAAAACAATTCAATACATTCAGAAATTCAGTTCCAGAAATTTTGAACAGATTCATGGAGACTGGCTGCCGTGAACGAAAATTCCGTCTGGGGGTCATTATGTTTATTGATTGCCTTCCGAAAAGCCAGACTATCCCAGGTCACTACTACGCTAGCCTGTTCAACTAACTAGTAGATTTTTTTTTGAAATGGCCATAAAACTATCATTCTATTACGTTTTGTTATCATATGCTGGGCCTAGTGCGACCTGTATAGATAACATTTTTACAGATGTTAAGCCCTGTTATAAATCAATTATTCAAAATTTAAGTTCAGATCGCTGTGGACAGTTGGTATCACTACCTTACATACACAAAAACAGAAAAATAAGAAAGTTGTGTTTGTTCCAATAAATGAACAACTTTAGAAGTAATATAATAAAAAGACTTCCATCACTTTCGTTTAAAAATAGTGCTAATTATTTTATTGCTACATTATTTAAAATTATAACTTGTGAATTTAGTAGGAATATTTACTTCTAAAACTTTCTCTTTTAACAGTCGCAAATAATTTAATGAATGGGCAACAGTAGGAATTTATAAAAGTAGGCGAAGGTTATACGAGCTTTATAATGAAAGATCATATAATAGTAATGTTATATTTGTAAAGTGTGCTCCACTGCTAAGGCTTTATATTTCAGCAACAAAATTAAAACTGCATCCGACAAAATTAAAATGACCTGGAGAATAATAAATAGTGAAACGGGCAAGGTCAAACCGCGCAACTCGGATTTTCAATTGAATATTAACAATAATTTAACGCGATCTGAACAAGAAGTTGCTATGGCTTCTGAGAAAAATTTTACTGATATTCCTTTTTTGACAACAAAATCATTAAATTCTTCTCCTACTGTCGCCGAATCATTGCTCAAACAAAATGTAAAGGCTTGTTGAAATACTTTTAAATTCCATAGGGTACTGCCAAAAGATATCGTTAAATATTTTAAAACTATTGATCTTAAGAAAACGGCAGACTTATGGGGGATTCTCGTTAAAGTTATTTTATCTATAATAGATATATTAGCACCTTATCTAGCCACTATATTTAATATAAGCGTCGAATCTGGTGTGTTTCCTGATTTAATGAAACATAGTAAAGTCATACCTATATTTAAATCTGATAGTACATTAGACCCCGTCAATTTTAGAACAATTTTTGTACTACCAACATTTAGTAAAATTTTTGAAAAAATTATTTTAGATCAGATGTTAAGTTTCTTTAATATTAATAAATTGCTACATAAAAACCAATTCGGTTTTACAAGGGGTCGCTCGACAACTGACGCTGGAGTTGAGCTTATTAAACATATTTTTTGTGCATGGGAGAATTCAGAGGATGCTTTGGGTATATTTTGTGACCTTTCCAAGGCCTTCGACTGTGTTCACCATGAGACATTAATCAGGAAACTACATACTATGGTGTCAAGAACACAGCGCTTAAACTTATTATTTCATATTTAAGTAATAGAAAACAGAAGGTTATTATCAATGGTAAAAGTTCTTCCGGGTCACCTGTACTAATGGGTGCTCCTCAGGGCTCGATTCTCGGCCCATTCCTGTTTCTGGTGTATATTAATGACTTACCTCACCTTGTAGGGGATAGTATTATTTGCTTATATGATATAGCATTATTTGCTGTAGATACTTCCTTGATTTTTAAACTTAAACGTCAATCATTTAAATGTGACGAAGTGAATAATGCTACATCAAAATTAGTGCATTCGTTTAACTTTAATAATCTGCATTTGAACGGAAATAAAACTAATTGTGTTAAGTTTACAACAACGAATGTTAAAAATCTGAATACCAATGTGTTTTTAAATGAGGAGGAATTGAGCCCTGTTGTATCCACTGTTTTTCTTGGCATCACTCTCGACGCAAAGCTTCAGTGGGGCCCCTATATATCCAAATTAGCAAGCAAACTAAGTTCAGCAGCAGTAAAAAAGATTAGAGGTCTCACTAGTGTCGAGACAGCTAGATTAGTTTATTTCAGTTATTTCTATAGCATAATGTCTTATGGGATTTTGCCATGGGGAAATGCGGCTGATTCAGAAACTATTTTTGTTTTACAGAAGAGGGCCATTAGAGCTATTTACAATCTAAAACCGAGAGAGTCTCTTAGAGATAAATTTAAAGAAATAAATATATTAACTTTGGCCTCTCAGTATATTTACGAAAATTTAATGTATGTTCACAAAAACAAAGATACTTTTAGTAAAATAAGTGATATACATTCTGTAAACACTAGGAACAAACACAAGCTAGTGATGCCAGTTTCTCGACTCCACAGAGTCAGTAATTCATTCTTGGGGCAATGTATACGCTATTATAACAAGGTCCCGGAAAGTGTACAGTTTCTCTCTATTACCAAGTTTAAATGTTTTATTAAGCTGAAACTGTATAAAAAGGGTTATTATAGTATAAATGAATACATGGTTGATAATAACCCCTGGGAATGAGGTGGTCGCTTCCAAGCAGCTTCTAAAATAAATTTTGTAAATAGTTCGTAATCATTTTAAAAATTTCATATTGTAAAATTTATTTTAAAAAAAAGTCCCGCTGGGTTTCTTGCTGGTTCTTCCCAGGACAGAGGGTTTTTTTTTGGAACTAGTGGTAAAGTAAAAAATGACTTTCAATAAGAATTACACATGTAATGTATATTGAATAAAAATTATTCTATTCTATTCTATATACAAGGCCGAGACCTTTTCAAACAGCCCATGAACATTAAATTTGCCAATGGAATGCCACAAAGAACGATCCCGAGCCACTCGCATCCATTGACTTCCTGCATGTCTTACCAGGTCGTCACTCCATCTAGTAAGGGGACGCCCTACACATCGCCTGCCAGTACGAGGCTGCCACTCGAGATCCTTTCTTCTCCATCTGTTATCGCTTATTCGAGCTATAAGGCCGGCCCATTGCCACTTCCACTTAATAATCCTTTGGGCTATGTCGGTTCCTCTGGTTCTACTGCGGATATCATCGTTTTTCAGTCTATCACGCAGGAAACGCCGAGCATAGCCCTCTCCATAGCTCGCTGAGCGACTTTGAGCTGCCTCATACGGCAGCAGTGAAGAACCACGTTTCAGATCCATAGGTCATTACTGGCAACACGCACTTTGGGAGTACAATCTAGTTTTTAGGTTTTGAGGTATGCCTATCGAGACGACGTGCCGTAATCTCCCGAACGCTGCCCAGCCGAGTTGAATCCGTCGATTGACCTCTCGGTCGAAGTTGAACTTACCTAGTCGGACTATTTGTCTCAGGTTAGGAGCTTAGTGCCCCCAACAACTACCGGCATATGTGTAACATGGACGTTAAAGATGATTTTAGTTCTGTCCATGTTCATCTTAAGATCTATCCGTAGGGAGACACTATTGTGGTTATTGAGCATAGTGTTTAAGTCCTCCAGCGATTCTGCCATAAGGACTATATCGTCGGCAAATCGAAGGTGATGTACTCGCCATTGACGTTAATACCGTATCCTTTCCGGTCCAGTAGCTTGAAAACGTCTTCCAATGCAGCGGTGAAGGTTTCAGGGATATTACGTCATCCTGTCTTAAACCTCTCTGCAGTTGGATAGGTTTCGTACTCTGGTTCTGTACTCGGATAGCCATCGTAGCCCTACTGTATAAGCACTTCAGCACTTCGATATACCGATAGTCAACTTGGCATCGCTGAAGGGACTGCAGCACCGCCCAAATTTCGACGAAAACAAAGGCTTTCTCATAGTTCACATACAGATTGTACTATTCGGTCTTCTGTACAATTTGCTGAAGGGTATGTACGTGGTCTATGGTGCTAAAGACCGGCTTGTTCGGGAGGCCGTAAGTCGTCGAGACTGCGTGCAAGACGATTCGTAATGACTCTCGAAAACAGCACGTAGACGCGGCTCAGAAGAGAAATCAGTCTGTAGCCATTCTAATCTCGCTCAGACTGACGTCCGGGATATCATCGGAATAGTGTCGGATAAGACTTGCTCTTGGATCGTTACTCACACTTGGGTCTGGCTCCAACGATGACGTGTACAGCTGCCCATAGAACCTCTCAATCCCACTCAAAATCTTAGGTGTCCCGGAAACGATGCTGCCACATTCGGTCTTCAGCTTCGACAGTTGGCTCTTTCTGGCAGACAGATCTCTGACAAAGACTTTGGAGCCCTGGTTCCACTCGATCGCTTCTTCAATACGAGATGTTTGTAAGTTGCGCAAGTCCCGCCGCATGCATTTGGAGATCTGTCTGTTCAGTTGCCTGTATGCTGTCAAATCTGCTGAATATTGGAGCTTCATCTTCTGTCTAACAGCCATGTGATTAAGAGTGTGATTAAGAGGGTCTTACAGAACTTAGCTCCAACCGCATGGACAGTTTCCACAGGCTTGTCATTCATATCGTCAACTTCATTGCAATCGTCTAGGCACTGAAAACGATTTTGTAAATCGAGCTGAAAGTTTTCGAGGCTTTGGATTAGAGCACGAGGGGGACGGAGCATTGACTTCATTAGGCGTGACCTCACCAACTTAATGTTTAGGTTCAGTGTGCCTATCACCATTCGGTGATCGCTGCCAGTTTTCACCCTCGCGATCACTGAGACATCACTGAACAATTGTCGTCAAGTCAATCTCATTTTTTGTCGAAACGGCGGGGCTCGACCAGGTCCACTTTCTGTGGGGCCGCTTTTGGAAGAAAGAGTTCATCATAAAGAGTCCCTCTTTCTCCATAAAGTCCGTCAGCTGCTGGCCCCTTGGGTTTCGTTGCCTTATTCCGAATTTCCCTACTTTCAGCTCACCGTTCTCTCTTGTGTCTAGTTTTGCGTTGAAGTCTCCCATTGACTTCATATATTGGATTTTGGAGGAATGCATGGCTTTAGAGATACCCTCATACATTTCCTCCACCTGCTCATCGGGATGTGCCGAGGTTGGTGCATGAACTTGTATGAACTTCAGCGAATACCGTCTGGTGATTCTGAGTATAAGGTACGCAACCTTCGTCGACACACTCCTAATCTTAACAACATTGTTAACGAGAGACTTGTGCACGATAAATCCGACATCTCCTTGGGACAGATGATAGAACAAGTTGCCGGATTCGAGAATTACAGTGTCCTCCCCCTCTCTTCGGACGTCGGATAATCCTATAATATTCCAGCGCAACTTGTCTATCTCTTCTTCCAGCTCCACGATCTTTTCGTCAGTCCTAAGGGTTCATGCGTTATATGTTGCCAGGTCGAGTCGTCGTAGGTGGCAACCGAACCTCCACCGGAGATTCTTAGCATTTCTTGCCCCACCGTTACCATAGTCACCACCGTAGCTAGGAATAGCGGTGCCGCCGGGGTCTGGGGGCCGTTTAATAGTGTCGTTGCTCATGGGGGGTATATTGCCATAGTTGCCACGCTGGGCGCTTGGTGAGCGGGTTGACAACCGCAGTTTTTTATTGATTTTTTAAAAGATTCTACTGTCCATCTTTTGCCTCAGTTTCCCTCTGTCGTCTCTTACGACACCCACGGGAAGATATGGGGTGTAAGTGGGTATTCTTAAGCTACAATATAACATTCAAAAATTACTTGGATATAAACTATAAGCGTAGTCTACATTCTTCGTATAATTGTGAAAAATATTTTATGACAAACTTAATAACATGTACTGACCAGAATCATCGGACACAGTAGCGTAGTGGGGTTGCGTCGGTGGCTTCACGCTTTGTGCTCGGATGTTGCTTAACGGCTCTCGCACTGATATGCTTGTGTAGCCCTCTAAAATTTTGAACACAATCATTTGTCAATAGTCGCATTTGCATGATTAAAAAAATAAAACATAAAATATTTTCAACTTCTTACTAATGTTTTCGTTTTTCTGTTATTAAAACTGCATTTAACATTTCTATTAAAAAAAAAATAACCGCCATTATAATACCTATTTCTATCGTTTCTATATTTTTGTTTTCTTGACTCGGTTCAGAATAAGAATTGAACTGCATAGTTTTTTTAGTTAACTTACTGGCAGAATCTGTAGAATCTCCGCTAAAGTGAACCGCATTGTCCGTGTGCGGGCGAGGCGAGGGCGGCGTTATATACGGGAGCTCTTGACTCGACGGCAGTTGACCGCTAATGGCCACTGAGGCTGATATTACAACAGACTCTGTAAATATAAAATTAATTTCGTTGACTATATATAAAACTTATTTATGTCGTAAAACAGTATATAATCACAAAATGTAATTTTTATTATAAAAAATAGTTTAATATATTCATAACAAAGTTCTAAATCGATCAGACCCCTCAACCGTATTGACATTACTTCTCTTATTTTAAAAAAAAAGAGTAGAAATGGGTAAGAGGATGGTACCTACTCAGATGAACTGAACTGGAACTGAATGATTAAAATGCCTATGCCCTTGCATACGACGGACTTGTACCGACTAAAACCTCATCGTGTTGTGATAAATTTTATTACGATCGAAGTTTAAAATATCGTCAACCTATTCTCAGAAGTATATGCCTGATATTCTAATAAGTATCTATGAACAAAAACATATTTGTAGCTGTAGGGCGAATTAGTCACCGACTTTCTTGACAAAGCATTTAAAAAAAGTTTGACATGGAAAAACTATGTTTATGACCCACAAAAATATTATTCAGGTTTTTTGTACAAATGCCCAATAATTAATTTAAAAAGAAACTAGAATTAGAAAAGTTAAAATGAGACGCGATAAATTCAGTAAAATTAGTTTTATTCAACATGTACAACTTGTTTTTTTCTTTTGATGTTTAATAGATGTTTAGAACTTGTTATAATGTCCAGAATTTTTAGAATATAAAAATTCAACTTGCTAATTTATACCAATATAATAAATGTTAATATTAAATGATTATCAATATTTAATATAAAATAATTTAATTCTGCTCTCCCACATATTTACAGCTATTTCCATTAAAATGTTGTGTTCAGATTTCATTCAATAACTAGACTTCTAGATTTTTAAAGGTACTAAGTAAGTTTACTCAATGTATTAAAAAATTCTTTCAAATTTAAAATGCATAGCTACAAATTGTATTACCTTACTTTCAATGCTATAATTTCATCTATAAAATTGTAGTAACTTCATTTAATTTCAAAAACAACTTGCAGTGTATTTAAGCTTAAGGTTACTTAGTTGTGTTAACAGTAATAGTTATTTATAAATAACCTAGCAATAATGTTAAAACGATTGTTTAATGCAATCATGTGTAACAAATAATAAAATATAAATATATATATATATATATATATATATATATATATATATATATGTGTCCCGCGACTGTCTGCACCTAGTTCAAATGCTTATTTTATAATCAGCTAACAATTAGTCATAAGTTTAGTGATAAGCCTGATAAGAATATTTGCTATGAGTTTTTGGCTAGGCGTGCATATTTTTGTTACTGTGTTCATTCATATGTCCTTTGCATTGTATTCAGTTTTTTGCCAGTTTATTGGCCCCCCGCATGATGTTCGTGACACTCACAGCACCGATTGTAGTACATCACTATTTACATGGTACAACCCTATTGTAACCTTATATAAAGCTGTCAACTCGACATTTCTCTCTCTTCTATTGGCGATCCGTGTGCAGTACAGACGCAATTATATATAATTTGTACGGTTTATAATATATCTCTCTATTCTATTGGCGAGCCGTGTGCAGTACAGACGCAATCATACATACCTTGTACTGTTTATAAAATATACAATAAAACAATTAAATTAGTTGTTTCAACATAAATACAACCTAAAAACGTGGGCAAGACCCAAACATTGGTAACAATAACCATCGTTGGTCTACGCAACACCAGAGAAATTGTAGATGCGTTGCTTATCTTTCAGAGAGGAATAGGCGCTTTTCTTAAAGGTCCCTAAGAAATATCGGTCTGGAAAAATACTGACGACATTAAATTCCGCAAAGTGGTTGTACGAGGCAGGAACGCACGGTTGTGGATTTTCAACCATCAATAAAATATAATGGCATTTCGAGTTATACAGCAGCGTAACCGTTACTGTTACATTTTACCAAAAGTCCACTGCTGGACCCGGACCTATATATAGATTGCCACATAGTGGGGATGTTTTTCATAGTTCCCACGCTTGGCGGTCGAGTTGGCAACCGCAAGTTTTTTGTTATTATTATTATTGTTGATTTTACTACTGCGGTATACGATGATGAAATTTGGTGGCTGGAACTATGCGGAAGTGTGCGGGTTACAACATTTATTAAAAGGGAAACTTTTGGTTGCTTCAACTTAAAATTCAGTATCTTGTTCTTTTATATTGGTATTCAAAGTTTGGTTTTAGTTAAAATTACTCATTTTTTATTATAACCTGTTTCATTTTAACCCCCGACGCAAAAAGAGGGGTGTTATAAGTATGACCGCTATGTGTGTGTGCCTGAGTGTATCTTTGTGTGTATGTCTATCTGTGGCACCGTAGCTCTTAAATGGGTAAACTGATTTGTGTGCGGTTTTTCTTATTTAAAAGCTGGTTTTCTAGCGGTGATTGTTAGACATGTTTCATCAAAATCAGTTCAGCCGTTTCAAGGTCATCAGCTGTTTTGTTAGCTGTGCTATAGTTCTTTTCGGGGGGGTGGAGTCAAAATTTATGTAGTATGCATTAGATAACATTTTATTACGAATAACCTATAGCACAAACCTGGACCTGGTTGACCAGCATCACGTTCGTCTATTTGTATTTCGCTCTCAGATTCTTGATCAGGAGTAATTTCCACAGTGCTGTAAACAAAACTTAAATTAATAAAAGTCTTTATAGATGCAAAATGTAACGCACATATTTATTTACTCCATAAAAAGTATATATTAAAACAGCCCGTTATGCGTGGTTATTATGACAAAACGCGTGTCAAAAACGCATCCATGCATATATCTGTATCGTATCATGAGCGTATCGGCATAACATTCTTTATATGTAGACGTTACAAATTTTCTTCTGATCTTCGTATCTTTTTCACGTACAACCTTTTCGATACCGTGTAACTGCGGGTAGTATCCCCTTTGATAATTAGGAGATAAAACGTCTCGGGCTCGATACGCCGCGTATCGGATGCCACGTATCAGGTATCATATCGCATCGTCGTATTGTAAAACAATGTCAATAGGTATGTACATATATAATAATAATACGTCCACTATCACGATACGATCTACCACTACAGATCACGATACATGTAGCCGATACGAGGTGTATCAGATAAGGAGTTTTGTGAAGATCTGGAAGTATCGGTATCGGTATCACAACAGCTGTCAAAAGATAGCGTAAAATTTTGCCCGATACACGATACGCCAAGGCGACAAATAAAGACCCGGTAGAAGTATTTGCACAATGCTGTAATTAATTTACAAAATATAAATTTGGGTTTCGAAAATTCGGCCCAGTCGTATTTCTCAGATTTTCTATTGATTCCAAGCCCAGTGGTGATAAACTAGCTTCGAAATTAAGATCTGCAATTTTCGCTATTAGAAGGATTAGAGAGCGGACTGATAAAGAAACAGCCAAATTAGTCTGATATTTCTCCAAGCCAATTCAGTCTTTAGGCTGAAGATTTTTCTCTAGACAAGGCTTAACAATGTAATTTTGAAGTCAATTTGGACATCATTTTTTATTGCTTTAAAATTTAAAACATAATTTAATTCAAAACGCAAATTTTAAATGAAAAGATTATAAATCTGTGGATTAAAAAGTAAATAAGACATTATAAATCTACTGCAATCGGATAAAAAATAATTATGACATTGAATGTTATGCCAGTTATATATGAGACGACTGACGCTACAGCCAATAAGTACCATTGGATTTCAATTACACAAGTAAAGTATAAGTATAACTTGGGATGCTTCTACACTATATTCTCTGAACACAATAAGCGCTCTGATAACACTCGTAAATAAACTGATGTAGAGGAACGATACGTGACTCTCATGGAAATTAAATTATTCGTTGCACTGGCAAAGAAATTCAAGGCGCGCACTAAATTCCAATAAATACGAACGAGCCCATAATTCAACTTCGCCTCGAGAGTATCGTAAGATACAGCCTCGTGGGTCTAGCGATCGTAAACGCGGTTGCTGTTCATGAGATCCTGGGTTCGAATCCCGGGTCAGGCCAAAATCAGTTATTGGATTTTTCTGTCAAAATATTCTCAGTAGCAGCCCGAAGTCAGGAAGTTGGCGGTGTTTCACCTCCGTGCCTTGGAAATCACGTAAAGCGGTCCTGCGCCTGATCTCTCTCCGGTCGTGTCGGACTATGACAGTGAATGAATAGAGAGTGCACGTGTGCTTGCACATACACTAGCGAACTATAATCCTATCTTGCGCAGATGGCTAGCCTCCGTTGAGACTTGCCGCCGTTACCGGGATTCGTTCTGGAGGACATTATTATTATTATTATTAACGTAAGAGTGAAATAAAGTTAATCTCAAGGAAAAAGGTCGAAAAATATCATAGCTTGTTTAATAATTAGTAGAGCAATAATATTTTTGATCAGCGATAAGAAACACTGCAAATTGCGAAGTGCAAAATGTCCAAATGTCCAGACGACCCAAACGGCCAAAAATGTTCAGTTGTAAACTTTTTATAGGCTGATGAGGATAGCATTTGCGTTACCCATCTGTTAATTTTAACAAACGGTTATTGTTTCCTAAAGAATATTTTAAAATATTATACTTACATGTTATGATTTTCATTCTGGAGTTTAGCATATGCATGCTCATAGGGATGGTCTCGGCTGGTCGACGCTATTGGGGCAACCTTACTTCCTGTTGATTATAATTATTACAGAGTTATCTTCAAATATAATAATTGTTATTATTAGACAATCAATTCCTGGTAGCGGCACTTTAATGTATAAGGTGTTGCTAGATTTCCAGATAAGAATATGAAGAGTTGTGATTAGATTTAAAGATTAACATAATAATAATCCGGTAGCACTGATTTATCAAATGCGAAAACAAATTTTTATCTTATATCATTGGGTCTTCATCAGCCTATTAAAATCAACATCTAGACATGACATAAGCCTCCTTCCTTGAAGAGAAGTATCTCACTTTCCTCTAATTGGGATTGACAATCATCCCCGTCGCCAGTCTTTTTTTCTGTCTGGGTATTCTGGGTAATTGTAGTAGGGTAGTCTGGGTATTTTATGCCATCTATTGGTAGCCATAAGATATTTATGGCGTTTCTATAGCTACCTCGCAGGCCACCATACGGCGGATAATCCTCGAAAATGTTTTTTGGTACTTACCTTCAGAAAACAACCGATTAAAGTAAAAAAAAAAAACAATAATGAACGTATCAGTAGAAAGTTCTAACGAATCATTTCGCACGAAATCAAACCACGTAGAATCTTCACAAGCAATCCAGCGCACGTTACTAAATGATCCTCCTTCCTTTCTGAGAGGAGTGTAAACCTGGTGAGCATCAGCCAAATAGCTCTTAATGCGAATTGGCTCACTTAACGAAATATTTATAATATATTTCATGCACATACAAGAAAACTCACGATATTTTCTTTCACCACCGAGTATGAATTAATATTTATATATCCAATGCTAAGGGGCTTATTGGTGACCCGAATTTGGTTAAAACCAATCTTACCAGCCTCGAACACAGACGTAAAGTAGCCAGCCTTTCGGTTTTCTACAGGATGCATTTCGGAGAGTGTGTGCAGGAATTACATAATTTAATTCCCCCTCTCCCTTCCACCATCTGACAACCAGACATTCGGCCAGTCTCCACCCTTTCGTTGTTGACTTACCACGCATTCGAACCAAACGGTTCGCCACGTCGTTCATCATGCGTACAGCAAAGGAGTGGAATAAGTTGCCAACATCTGTCTTTCCATCCGATTGCAGTGTGAGTGTCTTCAAGGCAAGAGTGAATAGGCTTTTGTTAAGTCAGTGCGCTTCACCATCTTAGGCATCACCACTGACCATCAGGTGGGATCGTAGATTAGCGCTGGCTTAGTGGAATATAAAAAAAAACAATAAAAATTTACATGGGACCGACATAGGGATTAAATCTAGTTTGTTTGTGTTAGTTACTTATCTATATATATTCAACACGTATTCGGCGGGTAATGAAAACATCGAGACGAACCGTAATTATTTCTTCGTCTTCATGATTAGCCCGTAAAGTCTAAATATGCCCCTTCCGCTATAACTTTAGTAACAAAAATACTAACCTAAGCAAAACCGTAATGATCAAACATACCTTCATCTAGATTAACAGTGGCGTATATTTCGGAAGCCGTGTCGCCGCTGTCGTGCCTCCCAACAGGATGCGGAATCTCCGGCAAGCTGCGTTGCGAGTTTTGTGTAGACGCTCTGTACAACGTCAAATATAGCATATATAAGCAGCTAAAATATATTATATGTATAGTATGCATAATACTTCACCTAGAACTTTAGCTAAAACTATTTGTATTGATTTTATGTGAAATAATAATTTCACTATTGAAATTTTGAAAAAGGTATAATTTTTAGCAATGATATTAAAACTGTATACTTCGAGGAAAAGTGTAGGAATCGTGGAAATGCAAATATCGTTGCTGCTCAAAAATAACGAAAAATCTTATCATACATATTTTTTTACAGAAAAAAGATTAAAACCAATTTGTTTTACTTCGTTTTAATTACCATAGTACTAGGTAAATGAATGCCATAATTAATTATCGAACTTCAAAAATAAAAGTTACTATACAATTACATATCCAAGCGCAGACTGTGTTACAATTTGCATAATTTTAATACTAAGCGCAGAAAACAAACGTAGCTAAAATTATTATGTAATGTTAATTGCATTTTTTAAAATAAAACATTAAAGAATATTTATTTTATTTTATGCAATAACTACTGGTATTTTGACGAACATCATATATTACTACATAATTAATTACTATCTTCTATTATGTTAGTTAAAGCCAAGAAATGGAATTACGTGCACAATGGTTAAAAATCCAATATTAATATCTAAAATTAAATTTAAACATACATTACATAACGTTATACTTTTACATCGAACTTTAACGGTGAACGTAATAATTTTAAATATTTTAATTTTCGGAACTGCCCTACTAAAGCAATGCCGATTATAATAATCATTTAAATTTGAAATACAGAACTCTAGTAACCTACGCATGTTTTATTAAATTCATTGAAGAAATTGTGAAATTGGCAATGATTTGACGCGTAAAATTTTCACTCCAGTATAATATAAAATATATTTTGTATTGCATTTTTTTTTTGTAGGATAGGGTGACAAACGAGCACACAGTCCACCTGATGGTAAGTGATTGCTGTGGCCCATAGACATCTACATTTATCATCGTTTGCGAATCAAAATGCAGATGCGTTGTCACCCGTGAGGACTAAGATGTAATGCCTCTTTTCCAGTAAAAAGGGTCTCCAGTTCTCTACACTCACCATACGAAACACAGCAGTGTTAAGCTGCTATTTTACGCTGGTATTCTGTGAGAGCGTGGTCCTTCCCCGGTCGAGCCGACCCATTCGTGCTACAACTATACTACTAGTATAGCTCCAGCATGGCTCTACCACGTATAAAATTATTTGAAAATTTTCGCTGTTATTTTTTTAATTATCCATCGTCTAATCCGGTATTCAACAAGAAATTATTTTGAGATGCTATTTACAAGTATAAGAGCACTAAACATTGTAATTAAAAATTTCGTTTTTGTTGGTGGGGTATCGAGCTGAGGTCGCCCGCGTCCTATGAAATTTAAGGCAGATATTCAGACCAAATGTAACACACTTATTTTACTCTTATTATCTTTTACTATAACTAGCCATGATTAATGTTACAATTTTAAAAGTTGTTTTTTTTTCTAATTCCAAAGGAATGAGTTTATTAATAAATTTCAATCGATTTGCCGCCATTTCACATGTTATTTTATTGTGATTGTTAAACTATATGGAGTAAGGTAACTTAAATTAAAAATTTAAATGACCCCTGAAACAAAAAATAGTTGAATCTTCAAACTACTGAAAGGATTTTGTTGAGCTAAGAACCTTTCAAACAAAAACAACTAAATCTAAATAGGTTCATCCATTTGAGAGCTATGATGCCACAAACGGAGACACAGATACACGTTAAATATATAACACCCCTTTTTTTCGTTGGGGGTTAAAAACAGAATTACAGTTATTGCTTTGCACACTTTGTAGGTAGTAGAGCCTTCAGTAATTTTTAAGACTCTTCAAAAGCTAGAGATAGGCCGTAGGTTTGTGTATCGCACTTTCGATAGGTACACAAACAATTCTAATGTCGAAGACCATATAACAAACAAATATGATCGCGTGAAATAAAGATTTCCGTTAGAACCCTGTCGCAAATGATTAACAAGACCTAAAACAAGGTGCTTACCGTCGAAACATTCATATGGCTTGCCCTTAAATCAGTCCCTAGTCCCTACAACTTCTCCTTTCGCGAACTTAAAAACGCACCCTCGTAAGAGAGCGGATCGATCATAACACTTGTTTTCCCGGTACGCTGTTGAAGCTGTTGCTCTTTACAGATAAAACATGGTAACGGCCTAGTGATACTTTATTCAAAAATGTACAGTGGACTGCTGGAAGCAGAATTTTGGCCCTGGTCACAAGGCACGAACTACTCAAACATGCCTCAAGAACTATGTTCCGGATTTCATTAGACTGACCCTCGTCCAGCCGATTTTGGACCGTTGGACTACAAATAGTGATCAGTACTAGAGGAAATGGACATTGAGCCTTTTAACATATGAAAGTCAAAGTCAGTTAGTTTGAATTAAATTATTTTTTGATAATCGCTTAGATTTCGATAAATATGTACCGTTTCCGTTGCAGCCTATCACAAGCCTACTGGTGAACATCTGCCTCCCCCATAATAGGAGGGATATCGGCTATTATTGCCACGCTTGGCTGGCGGGTTGGCAAACGCAGTTTTTTTTTTACTTTATTTTTTATTAGGAAGATGCTGCTGCCTATCTCCCGTTTTAGTTTCCCAACGTAGAATTATTATTTATTCTGTGGTTTCCTTCTGTCGAATCTTACGACACCCACAGGACAATAAAGGGTAGTGGATATTCTTAAACCGCCACTACATGGTTAAAAGTATATAGATACATAAGTTTTATCATTATTACACTGTTTCTTTAAAAATGTATGCTATTTATTTATTACGCAATTTAGGGTATTCTAAATATCTTCACATGTGTCTTGGACCAACTCAATAGCTTAAAATCAATAACAAATAATCTTGACCGCAGAACCGCTAATACCAGCCGGAAAAAAGTGTACACGCCGACAGCATTTTGTGATAAATATACCACATAATATACCTAGTTTCATAGGGACGAGTTCTGATAATGTCCTTTTTAAAACTACTTTTTTATAGAATTGAGAGTGACAAACGTATACACAGTCAACTTGCACCATTTTATTTAATTTAATCCTATTTCATATATTATATAATTCTATTTTATTTAATCCTATTCCATAATACATATACTACAACAAATTACTTCTGAGAAGGAACACAAAAAAGTATCTTTTATTAGAAGATTTCTTAAACTAAGAAACGTTCTTAATAATTTTTTGACCACCACTGTATAAGGTAGGTTATAACTAATGTGTGTTAATCGATTAATTAATATGAAAAATTATATAACGTACAATATAACATTAATGGACTCTATATAACATTACGTCTTGGTGTCTTATAAATCATTTAATACTGCGCTACGAGTATAATAACAATTGGCTGATTCATCCAAATGAACAAGCGCTTGCTCATCCCTGTTATAATTCACTTAGATTTCAATTAAAAATTATAACCGGAATCTATTAAACAAGCATCATCTTTAGCTTTGTACCCGTCTACTAAACAACTCAACAATTGTAAAGAGGGCGAGTTAGTGTTCGTAGAACAACTAGTTTCGTACATTTGACGATGCTCCACTTTGTCAGTCTGTCATATAAAGAACTATATCCGGCATATATAATAAATTATTATAATGCGATTCTCTTTGTTAAATGACTTTTTTTTTGCTTTTTTTGACGTACATGGGCCAAAATGGTGCGATGTATTACTCTCCGTCACCAACCCACGGCCGACGCGACCACCACACCAGACATCTACTAAATATTATGTTAAAAAATTAACAATTGGCCAAGTGTCGAGTAATATCAATGCAATAGATTCATTTGTCACACTGCTGTGACTGTGACTTCCTCCTATTACTTAATATTTGTTCCACTGATTTATTATTATGCGTCATTAACATACATTTTCTAATTATTTTTTGTAATATCTTAAAGAATTTCGATGCGTGGTTTGCATGGATGTTTGTGAACATTGTGACCCACGACAGTGAGTTCTGAACGAAAAGCTAGTTTTGTCAGGCGAATTTGATACTGTTTTCTTTTTTCGATAGCGAATGTTTATGACTGAGAGAGTAAATTTTTATATAAGACCTGCGAATGATGTTCTATTTTTAGGATTTCGTAATAAACTACGGGACCTTATTACAAGCCTACACTATCTGTCCTACCTATAAATAGCGATCTTTTAAACTGCTATAGGTAGCCGATTGAAAGTTTCACAAAATGTGTTATGAAGGATTTCTCAACAAGTAATAAAAAATGATACATAAAATGATGTGATTTTTCAATGTTTTTCTTTCGTAAAACGGTAATACATGCAATAATCAAATTTGATACGATTATATATGCAAAACTCTTAAGTATAATAACAAATAATAAAAATTGGCCAAGTATGAGTCGGGTTCAAACTAAGCGTTGCATAGTGCCGTGATACAGAACCCTTGGTACCGTACTTGACTCATATTTGACCGAATTTTTAGTTAATTGTAACTGTTAAACCGCGAGGCGCATCTAGTATTCTATAAACCATAGAAGCCTCTTAGGGTTAAATCATAAAAATGAAGAAAAAGTATATACAGTCGACTCTCGATAATTTGAAACTCAGGGGCCCAGAGAAAAATTTCAAATTACCAAGATTTCAAAATAACAGGAGTTCAGATAACCAAGAGGGAGGGAGGAAAAAAAATCAAGTAAACAAGAGTTTATTCCAAATTCGTGATTTATCATTTTATACATTTGTACAATTATTCACAAATGGTCATTTTGAAAAGAAGTCTGTAATTTTCTGTCGGTTAGTAAGAGATCTCCTTGCCTAGCTCAAAGTGACTGGAATTGGCGGTTGTCGTTCTTAGTTTTCTTCCTCATCCAGCGGGAGCGACTCACCCATATCTCATTTATGTTAACAATTGACAGGTCTGTCATATGTAAACATACGACAGGTCTGTGCATGATAAACGCTTCAAATTATCGTGTGTAGGGAAGCCCAGACTTCAAATTATTGCATGTTGGTCGGCAATATACTATTCCTTGAACTTCAAATTACCGAGGGGATCAGTTAATATTGATTATATTCAATTTATCGAGTATTTTTCAAGGGACGAGGAAAAAATTTAAAATTATCAAGAGATTCAAATTAACGAGTGTTAAATTATAGAGTCGACTGTATATAATATATTTATATGGAATAAAAAATAAAGCCCATATAAAATTTATGGTTAATTAATTGTTAAATCTATGTTAGCCCATAAATTAAATGAAAAAAGGGCATGCTAACTAAAACAAACCGCTTGATGGAGGCCGGAGTGGTAGGTGTTGGAGATGGAACCTCCTCATCTATGTGGATTTTGACCACACCGGCCGTACCAACCAACTCACTTCTGTTAAATATAAAAACACTATGATAGCACAATGATATTAAATCAATAATATAAGAGTGGCAAACTAGGTGACTGTACTGTACCTTATGGTAAGTGGCTACTGCAGTTCTTAGACACCTACAGCCACAACGTAAAAAATTGTGGTCACATCAAAACCATGATCAAGCATGATAACTTCATATTATAGGATAAAATGTGGTATTGGTATATAAACTTAGGTAATTGTTATTCTATTGGTGCATATTGTTTAAAAACTAAATCTAGATCGTAATATCATATAACAAGAATTCTATGACACTTATGAATTGACATTCATTATTTTATATTTGACTATTACCAATAGTGAGTGCATGACGTAATTTCCCTTCTCTCTTCTGAACAACTAAACGCTTGACGGGTCTCTACCTCGGAGTTGTCGACATTCCATTTATTTGAACTAAATGATTTGCTTTGCAATGATTTGTAATGCAAGATAATGAATGGAATAGTTTCCTAGCATCAGTTATTTTGTGTGAAAATCTCAAGGCAAGCGGGAATAGGCTTTTATTAAGCGAAGACAATGCAACATATCATCTAAGGCTACATCACCACTATACACCAGGTGGGTTGTAGTCAAGCACTGGCTTATAAGTAAAAAATCCAAATTACTTCTATTCTTTCCAATTATTTTTTTTAATTTCTCTATCTAATAAAATTTTGTCGTATTATAATATAATTTCTAATAAGAAAAAAGCTTTGCTTTTTAGGCATTTCAATAGGTATTCACTATCCATATTAAAAACTGCTTAATGATTTTGTAAATAATGGACTTCATATAATAAATTAATAGACTATACTAAGGTGACCTTCGAAGTATTAAGAAAGAATCAAAGTAAGAATGAAGCAACAAAACTCTTTGGTTACTGGAAAAGGTATTTACATAAATTGGCATTATTTTGAAGTGTGTATCAAATCATCGTACATCAAAATAAATTTAATGCAATGACAAATTAAATTTTATCCTCAAACCACAAAATAATTTGTAATATATCATATGATGAAATTATTATGAATTATTTGTTTTACTCCATGTGTGATCATTATAGGACGACATTGAATACCAATTACCAACATATTCAGGCATCTTTCCGAACTTTGGGGTTGTACATAATCCTGTTTGAGTTCGTACTGCAGTACTAGTTTGAGTAAGTCCCTCAGTTTGCAACAAATCATAGGATCAGTCCCACCCCATTTCAGATAGTCGATTTGGGTCAAAATGTCAGGAACCTTGGTATTATCCCTTATTTCCACCTTGTTAACTCTATCCCTTTAGTTTTATTCATAATATCATTATCCATAACATCTCCATTGCTACTTGGTATTTGGAAAGTTTCTTCGGGTGATTTTGGTTAAGGGACCATGTCTGACAATCATATGTGATACAGGAGAGAATACATGTGTTGAATGTTTTGTTTTCAATAGAGATGCTTAGCACTTTACTTTTCATTATTTCTTTCAGAGACCAGTATTTTTCCAGTCACTAGCAATTATTTTGTTTCTATTAGAACATTTAAGGAAATAAACAAAAGAACATAAAAATAGATGTTAAATTAGAAGGCTATTACTTGACTTAAGTACACATACTCTTGCAAATATTAAAGTCTTTTTCCATTCAATACTATGTCAACTTCTCTAGAGTTGGCCATCAGTTTTGTTTTGATTGTGTTAATTTCGAGACCTACTTTTTTGCCTTTGTTGACTAGAGTTTGTAACATTTCTTGTAGTTTACTTGGGTTTTCTTCCAGCAACATAATATTTTTAGTAAAACTCAAATGATTTAAGAGGCTACTATTGATGTTGAGGCTGTATTCAGCCCAATTTAGTCTTCTAAAGATATTTTCCAGCAAAGCAGTAAATAAAGTTTGGGGGCAGTGTGTCTCCTTGTCCGACACTTCTGTTAATGGGAAAATGGGTCTCCTTTCGATTCCAGTTTGATGTAACTCTTACTCATACTGTAAATGTTTCTGAGTATTTCAATGTAAGTATTGTCCACTCCTTGCCATCTTAAAGTTGACCAAATGTAATTATGTTTCAGACCGTCAAATGTCTATAAAAGCTATGTAAATGGGTTTCTAGTATTCATTGGTTTTTTCCAATATTTGTTTGATAGTGTGAATGTCATCAATTGTGCTGTAGTTTTTCTGAAACATGCGTGTTCTATGGGTTGATTTTCAATAGGTTTTTGTAATTCTTTCTAGCAACACTTTTGCCAAAACCTTATAGACGTTTGAGAGCAGACTAATTAGTCTATAATTGTCATTGACTTCCCTAGGACCTTTTTTATGCAGTCCGAGAATTATGTGGGACTCTATTATATATTGCTGTCTTTTTCTGAATCTATACAAATATATAAAATTTAAGTGTCTGTTTGTAATGTCAAAATTACAGCTTTTTATTAATTGCATATGAAAGTATATACAGTACTTATAACAAAAACACACTTTTTAAAAACTTTGTGTAACAAACAGACAGGGAACAAACAGACAGCTGTCTGTTTGTTCCGGCTAATCTCGGAAACTGCTGGACTGATTTTGACAAGACTTTAACTAGTAGATAGCTCATGTTACAAGGAGTAACATAGGCTACTTATATTTTCGAAATATAATTAGGGTTCCGTGCAACAAAATTAAAACTCTAAATTACACATGGGTGAAGTCACAGGGAACAACTAATTTTATTATATTTAACTCAAGCACTCAAGTCAGAGGCAGCGATTTCATGCATTGGCCATTATGTGAGCTGATTCAATAATTTTTACAAATTGTTCTGGTGGCAATATTGTAGTATTTATTGTGTGTATGTTATAACTTTCCTCAACTTTTTTGTTGGATTCATCTTTAGGCATCCATGCACCATTTGGTAGTTAGTATTGAAGTTCACATTCTGTATAACTTGTGTCATTGAAGTGCCTTATCCTGTTTGTTAAAATAAAATCGATTTCGTTTTTATAATTGTAATTGGAAGACATCCAGATCCATTTATTTTTGTATTTTTTCTTATAGACTGAATTGAGCAGTGTTAGATTATTTTGTAGGAGGAATTCTATTAGTCTGTGTCTGTTGGTACTTCGTATTGTCATAAGTCAAAATAAAAAATCTTAGTGATTCTCTCTGACCTTATTCTTTCTAATCAGACTTTGACTGTCATAAAACCTTCAGTGCCATCTCATATCAGATGTGACTGTAAAATAAACTAGTTATTGTACTATGATATTGTGATAATGTATAATATATGAGGAGATTTTCAGTTTAAATATAATATCATAGTTTGGTAGAAAATAATTCTAAAATGCTCTGGAGGATGCTTTATTAAAATAACCAAAAGTTATAATCAAAGACTAGTGGTTTCCACAGTACATAAAATAATTAATATTTACACATATAGCTTTATTTAGTAAATAATTTGTAAAAGATTTAACCACCAATATTAGAGTAAAAATATTTTATACACAAACACCTCTATTAAAATGTACCATTATGAGTAATTTTATAGATAGTCTTTCATAAAATTTATGATTACTTTGAGGATAAGGGTGTATAGGAATAACATTCTCACTGCCGGCATAGTAAAACATCACAAAATCTAGATGCAATAGGTCAATAGGTGTCATTGGGGTTGTGTTATTAATATTTTTTTTATATTTACAGCTTAAAAATAACAGAGAGCACTTATTATTATAAGTCTCTGAGAAAAATCATTGTGACAAACTGATGAACATACCGACAAACAAGGTGAATTCGAATTTTGGCATGGAAGCTAGCAAAGCCATGGGAAAAACTATTAGTTTTATGGGTGAATATACGGTATTTGATTTTTTTATGTCCCTGAAGGAAATGTAGTCTGTTTAATTCAATATTAATAATATCACTATTTGACACTGTTTGTGCATTTGTAATGATACGGGCCAGAAGATTTTTCCATTTTTTTTTATTTTATAAGCACCAGGGGAAAATGTGTTATCAGGGGAGTGACCCTATTGGCAGAGTAGTGACAAATTAATGCAGGGTAGTGAACAATCCATTGATTATTAGCTAAGAAAGGGGAATAATATTGAATAAAACATATATAAATTATAGTCTAGATATTTTTTAATATATTAGATCATCATCATTACAGCCCTTCATAAGTCCACTGCTGAACATAGGCCTCCCCCAAAGAATGCCACAAAGCACGGTCCTGAGCCACCTGCATCCATCGACTTCCTGCATGTCTTACCAGGTCGTCACTCCATCTCGTGGGAGGACGCCCTACACTTCGCCTACCGGTACGAGGCCGCCACTCGAGAACCTTTCTTCCCCATCGGTTGTCGGTTCTTCGAGCTATATGGCCGGCCCACTGCCACTTCAGCTTACTAATCCGTTGGGTTATGTCGGTTACTCTGGTTCTACTGCGGATATCCTCATTCCTAAGTTTATCACGCAGAGAAACTCCGAGCATAGCCCTCTCCATAGCTCGCTGAGCGACCTTGAGCTTTCTCATACGGCCAGCAGTGAAGGACCACGTCTCAGTTCCGTAAGTCATCACTGGCAAAACGCACTGGTTGTACAATTTCGTTTTAAGGTTTTGAGGTATGTCTGACGAGAAGATGTGTCGTAGCTTCCCGAACGCTGCCCAGCCGAGTTGAATCCGTCGATTGACCTCTCGTTCGAAGTTGGACTTACCTAGTCGGACTATTTGTGCCAGGTAAACATACTCGTCAACAATTTCGAGCTTAGTGTTCCCAACAACTACCGGCATAGGTGTGACATGGACATTAAACATGATCTTTGTTTTGTCCATGTTCATCTTAAGACCTATCCGTTGGGAAACACTATTGAGGTCATTGAGCATAGTGCTTAGGTCCTCCAGCAATTCTGCCATAAGGACTACATCGTCGGCAAATCGAAGGTGAGTGATGTACTCGCCATTGATGTTGATACCGTATCCTTTCCAGTCCAGAAGCTTGAAAACATCTTCCAATGCAGCGGTGAAGAGTTTCGGGGATATGACGTCACCCTGTCTTACACCTCTCTGCAATTGGATAGGTTTCGTACTCTGGTTCTGTACTCGGATAGCCATCGTAGCCCTACTGTACAAGCACTTCAACACTTCGATATACCGACAGTCAACTTGGCACCGCTGAAGGGACTGCAGCACCGCCCAAATTTCGACGGAATCAAAGGCTTTCTCATAGCCCACATACGCCAGGCATAGTGGCAAATTGTACTCTTCGGACTTCTGTACAATTTGCCGAAGGGTATGTATGTGGTCTATGGTGCTAAAGCCCTTTCGGAAACTGGCTTGTTCGGGAGGCTGGAAGTCGTCAAGTCTGCGCACGAGACGATTCGTAATGACTCTCGAAAACAGCACGTAGAAGCGGCTCAGAAGGGAAATCGGTCTGTAGTTCTTCAAGAGAGCGTTGTCACCTTTCTTGAAGAACAAGACCACCGCACTTCTGCTCCACGCCTTCGGTGTAATGCCACCATGGAGGACGGAATTAAAGAGCTTCTGAAGGACTTCAAGTACCGGTTTTCCACCCGCTTTCAGAAGCTCCGCTGTAATTCCATCCTCGCCTGGGGCCTTACCGTTTTTAATGTGCTGGAGAGCCATTCTAATCTCGCTCAGACTGACGTCCGGGATATCTTCGGAATAGTGTCGGATGAGACACCCTCTTGGATCGTTACTCACACTTGCGTGTGGCTCCAACGATGACGTGTACAACTGCCCATAGAACCTCTCAATCTCACTCAAAATCTCAGGTGTCCCGGAAACGATGCTGCCACATTCTGTCTTCAGCTTTGACAGTTGGCTCTTTCTGGCAGACAGATCTCTGGCAAAGACTTTGGAGCCTTGGTTCCGCTCGATCGCTTCTTCAATACGAGCTGTATTGAAGTTGCGTAAGTCCCGCCGCATGCATTTGGAGATCTGTCTGTTCAGATGCCTGTATGCTGTCAAGTCTGTTGAAGAATGTAGCTTCATCTCCCTTCTAACAGCCATGAGATTAAGAGTGTGATCGGAGAGTTTTTTTTTATGTATATGTTAGTTCCTGAAGCGATAACTTTGTCAGGAGTTCGTTTACATTGTCTCTCCGATATTACTTGGAGCTCCTTCTGTTTTTCGATGCGCCTTAGTTTCTTTTTTTACTAATGTACTTTTGACGTAATTTTATTTGTTTTTTTTTATAACTTTATTTTGTACTTAACGCTGACTTTCTGATCGTCATTTAGCAGCTAGAGCTAAATTGCTTTGTGGAAATGGAGATTGGTTTTCATTATCAGACGCAGGTAGTGTTACTTGATAGTTTCTAGTAGAGTGTAACTTTTTAGTCTTCTCTCTCCATGTTTTTTTAATAGCCCTTGGTTCCCTTTTAATCATATCATTAATGCTCTTAGTTTGTCCCTTTTCCTTTTTTATAGTTCTGTTTTTTTTCTTTTAATTCAGAATTTTTACCAGATCATTTTTAATTCTTTGGTAGCGTAATTTTACATCTTGACATTTTTTTTCAAGCGTCTCTTCACTTGTTTGCTTCTTTTTAATATTCACTATGATATCCGATTATGCTCGAGTACATAGAACAAATAAATTGAAGCAGTATAATATTAAATATTAACGAAATAAAATTTTATCACTTCCCTGGGACTGTTGTTTTCCCCTGGTATGAAATATGCCAGAGAAGTGACGCCAGAGAAGTGACAAAATCGCACACAATCTACAAAAACAACATCACTTGTTTTTCTGATAACAGTTTAACGTAATACATGACATCTACAGAAAATAAACATTGCATTTTGCAAATTTACAATTTCGTAACGACAAAATACAAAAACTTATACTTACCAAGGGAAATACTCCAACGACTGGCACAAACACGCTTTCTTACAGTGAATTCAAAACTGACGCAATATTATTTAAGTTTTGCTCATCACCGTTAGCTTACTTCGAACTTCACACTGTACTACACGTGTAGTTCATGCTCAAAAACATACTTTAGCGGTTTTATGTCAAATTTTTAGTCTTTCAGTTTCGCCAGGTGAGGTGACATAATTGTAACGGGACGTGAAAATAAGATACTTTTTTTTATATTAATAAATATTTTTACAATGTATTTTTATAAAATATGTTTCGATGTTTATTTAGGCGTATGATCATGTTAAAAGAAAACGTAATGGCTTAAGTATATAATACATATGGCCATAAAATTATACAATCTAGTAATAGGGGACGCCAGGGGAGTATACTTTTATAACTATTTTAAACTATTAATGCCCTAAATTAAACAATTATTGTGAATTGACTGTGTGGGCCAAATATTAGATGATATTCTTTATTGCTTAAGCATACAGTAACAATAATATATTATGTTTAACATAAAATTTGTCTAAGGACCGTTGGAATTCAAATAGCGTATATTCACCCTTATAAATGTTCTGTAAGTATTTCATTGGAGGGACCAATTGTCAAAGCTGCTACAAAAAATTGGTATAAAATCTCAACTTAGTATTGCCATTACTTATAACATTTATTAAAATTAGGTAAACTATCACTTCAAACTATGGTATTAAACAATGTGATGTAAGTACCAAAAACACAATTAAAAGACCACCAGCTTATAAGTATGCTTTTCTTCTGTTCAGAATTAAAAGGCTAATTGAATCTATGAATCTCCCTATTTAATTCAATTAGATTTTTAAATATAGTTAGTTTATGTAAATATGAATTAATTTACGGGATATGTCTCTGAATATTACCAAAATTCAATTTTAAAAAATATTAAAAATTTCATTAATGATAGCTTTCATGTATAATAACTGGGAGACTACTTTTAAGTGTTTGCAAATTTACACTAATCATTTTAAACAAATCCAAGCTCCATTTTACAGTTGTTTAAAAAATTTTACAAAATTATGTTATGTTGAAAGCTAAACCTTCTGACGTAATCCGATATTGGGAACACACACAGTCAATACAATTTTAATGCTATTTATATTAACATTACAAAATGTAATACGTGTATAGAATGCAGAAGGAAAATAAACTTGTGAAAATTGAAAAGTAATGTAAAATATTTTAGTTTTGTTTCACAAAGTTTATAATTTTTTTAATATGCACATAGTTCCTAAATCCTAAAGATAACAAACAATCATGCTAAGTATATAATTTATTTTGTAAATGTAAGATGTAAATATATCCACTTACTTCTGATTTGAGTTCTTGCCACAAACGCACGCAGAAAGAGCGGTGAGGAGAGTGATTAGCACCCCCACGCTTAATACTATCTCAACTAAAGTATACATAACAAGAGTTCTTAGTTATTGAAAATCCAACAGAACGGCAGGAAACATTCCATGTTCATTTGAAATTTTCAGATATAAGAAATGTAGGACACTGTTATACGCGACAACTACATCCAAAGTAAACTGAATCCTAAATATTTTCACATTTCTATAATAGAAATATTAAAAACCGAACACTGTGATTTATATAAAATTTTGTAATTCTTTTATTCATCGTTTTTCTATGAATAATCAGTATGTAAGCAAATAGCTTTCAACAAATAGATAAACAGATACAGAATACAGATTAGAGATGGGTAACTCAGGAGAGATAGATACAAAAGATATGAATCAATCCGTTTCTATCAATCACTCTTTATATCCATCCGCATCCGAATGTATCACTGTATCAGTGTATCTTTACAACTTCACTCAAGGCATCTTTTAACTTTTACTAACATCTGTGTCGCACATTGCGCACACTGCTTTCTATTATACGTCGCAGACACGACCGGTCATTCCAGGAAGATTTCGGAAAGTCCATAGTACAGACGTTTCTTTCGCAGGTCACTATTTAGTATGTTCTGTCGCACTTTGGCAAGACGGAGAGAGTGAGTTGTTTGACCATTATAAACTGTAATACGTTGGCACAAAAAGGTAAATTGGTAACTCTATGACTGGTGCGTAGGGCTTAAAGTCATTAAGCGGTACGTTAACATTTAAGTATTATACTGGTTTGAACTGTACATATGTGTACTTTGCCTATAAATTTTTTAAGAAACAATTCAAACTAATTTCAGTTATAAAACCATCGCTTTTAACAAAGTTTTATAACCGAAATTAGTAGTCGTTTATATCCATATAAATAGTAGAAAAAAGATTTGTGATTTACAAAATTAAACAAAGATATCAGTTTAATTCATTAGTTCAACCTTAACCTCGGTTTAGGAACGAGAGTAATACTGTTTCCGTTAATTGCATCGAATAGAAAAATATTTGAAGTAGTTTTATACACTTAGTGACTGTTTAATTTAAATGTAGGTAAATAAGACATTCAGTGTAAATAGTTTAAAGTGTTTGTTGTTCTGTACGTACAGTTAGTGACTGTTTGATTTATTTTAAGTGTAAATAATTTTGCGCAATGTTTTATTAATAAAAAAATGGGTTCACGAAAACGAAGCGCAGTTTGGAATCATTTTGAGGAAGTAGAACCAAAAAAGCAAAATGCCTTTATTGTACGAATATGTTAAATGTACCAGCTGGAAATTGTGGTAACCTATGTAGACATTTAAAAAGTAAACACCCCACAATACCCCTCGTAGCTAAAAGACAGTCAACGCAGCAGGCATGTTTTCAAGAAGCCGAAACTATAAAAAATATATTTTCTACAAATTACTACAAACAATACCTATCCTACCTACGTTATTTACGTTAATTATTAATTTAATTATTATTTTAAACTAAAAATTCAAGTGAATTTTTGGAATAAGTGCCCATTAATATTTATCAATCAAAATAATAATAGCGCTCGCTGTAAGTTTCACAGTACGCAAGCAACCCGGGTTCGATCCCCGCCGGCACCAATGAAATTGTTAATTGCAATTTTAAGTGCTGATTTACCACGTGCTCGGCGATGAAGGAAAACATCGTGAGGAAACCTGCATGTCTGAGAAATAAGAAAACTTTTATTTTTTATTCGTAACAAATAGATACCTAGAAAGAAATAGCAGCCAAATATATCAGAAAGATACATAATGTTGCGTGAAGTTACAATATATTATAATAATTATCCTTCATAGTATACTGCTTCACAATATGTTGATGCGTAACATTGTGCAGCCCTTGGGAGATTTTGACGGCAACTTGAGCCAGCAAACAGCTCACGGTTGGCGATGGTATCTCAAGGCGCCTAAGCAGACAGACACCTTATTTTGAGAATTACATCACCATCAGAGCACTTGTTTCACAGTTTCCACTAATAGTTCACATGCGCAGACACTTAATACACAAAATCGCACCACTTTTACATATCAAAGTCTACTTCAAATCATTATTTAAACGATGATACAGAAGCAGCAAACCGCCGCCGGTCAAGCTCCCACCAAAACCCCTAAAAAGTACTCTGTGTTAGGCCAGCCACATACATACGGAATTGCGTTTCGATATTTCGATTCAAAATTCCGAACGCAACAACTACATATAAAATCTATGACCCGACAACACTTACGGTAGTTTACCGTTCGACATTTTGCGGGTCATACGGGATTCCGTATGTGTGTAGCCGACCCGTTCGGAATTCCGTAACGGAATCCCGAAGCGGAATTCCGTATGTATGTGACGGGCCTTAGTGTTTACTCAAAGTACTCTGTGGTTAGTGTGATACAGATAGTACTATAGTGTATTATCTATGGATAGTACCAACGCGTAGTGTTTCTATATAGTTTGTGATAGTACCCCACAGATTTTTTTAAACTGGCTTTACGGCTCTGGGTTTTAGCCCTTCTGAGCCTGACCCACAGATTACTGCTGTATAGTGATAGTGTATATAAGGATAGTACCCAATAGTACCAGATTCTAGGCATGAGACCGATATCATCATAATCATCATTACAGCCTTTCATAAGTCCACTGCTGAACATAAGCCTCCCCCAAGGAATGCCACAAAGCACGGTCCTGAGCCACCTGCATCCATCGACTTCCTGCATGTCTTACCAGCAAAATACTGCAATACTGGCAAATACCCCCCCTACGATGAGAGTCCGATATATCAAAACGTAACTAATAACGTTATGTTATCAAATATCATATCATATCGATAAACCTAAGTACATAACCGTTATCACATATCCAACCAAAAGCAACTAACCAACTTACAAAACGTAAAACGCAAGCTGGAACAATATGCTAACGTGGCCCACGAACTAACCGATTCGTTGTTTTTCGTTTCGCCGATATTCGATGTTTCTCTTTCTTGCGACGGTATCATAAATACGTATAGAAAGAGATGAAACGAATATGGATGTCGTTGCGATGTTTTGGTAGTTATCACAAAACTGTGCACGTAGTGAAATATAATTATAAGATCGTTAACAATAAAATCGAATTTTAAATGGTGAAAATTGCAAAATTTTAATGATCGGGCGTTGGGCTACCCTGCCCCAACTCTCTGCCCCCACAAATCAGGTTTATATTGTCAAAAACATAACGAAAATTATAAAAAAAAACTAAGCACGTCCGGCAGGAAATCGAAGGGGAGGGGGGTGACTCTACAACTCCCCTCTCCCCACCACCCCCAAATTCAGGCGACTTGATTCTCAACCTTACCCTTGGTATTGATGGCAATTTGATAGCCATATAGTTTATTCCTAGTAATCATTAAGTAAGCAAACGTCCTACATGAAATTCATAAGTAAGAGAAGGTGGCGGTGTAGATAGTAAGGTACTCCTACTATTGGAATATTATATTGCTCATACTGGCCCTTATGATAAGTTAGGTAGATATGTACTCGGTAACAAATCCCAGTAATGTTACTTGTAAGTAACAACGATCAAATAACGTTCTTTCTCCGGTGTTACCGCAAAAAATGACCACAAGGAGATACTGGGTGAAGAAGCCGCTCTTTGCACACTTCTATCACCAGTGTCCAAATTTCACATTCTTTATTGTATTCATTGTGACTTGTACTCAAACGTGTGCTCCGCACGAAAGTCTTGTGGCGCTACACACGCGACACTGGCAGCTACGATCTATTGATCAAGGAAGTTCTTGCGCCCCTGCTGCCCTGACTTAGAAAATTGCCCCTGCTTGCATACACACATCACAATTAAGTGTCATCCCCACTGCTACATCTTAGATTTCCCCTGCGACAGGCAAGTGAGTAGCCGGCTTGAGAATTTGATTTTTTTTTTCAAAACGCAACAGTTACGCACTTGACCTTGGTGACGTGTGCCGTTAATTATGAAATTATCTCTAAAATTATTAATTTTTGACGTTGCTTTTATGCATTTATTTGTATTATTTGTGTGAATTTTGTAAATTAGTTTTAAAACTTTTCTGCTAGTTAGGTTAGACTAGGTTTAGAAGGAAAGTCTCCAACTTAAATAATCATTAATAAAGAAACTACCTAAAATAATTTTATATATACATAAATTATCTTTACTTCTTATGAATACACTTTAATTATCGACTTTGAAATCAAAATCTGATAATAAGAAGTGGGCAGAGTGAGACTATAGGTGGCTCTTTCTTGTCTTTTAAAAGTTGGAACAGGTGCAACCTAGTCTCGTTTAATACCTAGTGCCTAGACTGGATCTGTTCTAGTATATAGTATATTATACGCTGCATCTCTATGACGATTGACGAATGACGAATCACGCATTTGTCAAACTGTCAAATTGAAAATTGATACAAAACCAAATTATTATTTATTACTTTTCGTAGTGTAAAATAACTTTATAAGTGTACAATTATACAATACACTTACAGAATGGCTGGCTACAGCAATACGACTGATTATTCTTGGCAGCCTCCAAATAACAGTCAAAGTTACTCATTTGACACCTCAAATAATTTTGCAGATCCTTCTCAAACACTCGGTAAATATTTATTCATAACATATATAGTTGAATTTTTGTGTATTAAGACTCGAACTAATAGACAAGACCGCTGCGCTGAGTACATTTCAAATGAAATTTAAATTATTCTTAACTTTTTGTAAGAACACACATACTTAAGTATCGAAAATAATTTACAACCAATGATATAGTTCCAATTGTTGACTTTTACGGGATGTTAAGGAAAGATGCGTGCGTCAGTCAAGAAGTTGAGAATGGTCTAAGTTTCTTTCTGTTGGTCTGAGTTTTAAGATATATTGAATAAAACTTCTTTTACTTGAATTAAGGTGTAAAAGTAGTTTTATTCCATGTGTAGGGTTTGTGAAAATACAAGAAATAATTTTATGATATTTTTTGTCTACAGACTTTCAGACATTTCCTCCAGATCAAAACTTTTCCTACGATCAGGCACAGTCTTCTTCGGCCTCTGCTAATAACAACCAATATTACAATCCAAGTATATTTACCCCTGCACCAATACCAGGAGAAACAAATACAACAACAACAGAATTTGATGAACCTCCACTATTAGATGAATTGGAAATATACCCCGATAGAATATTAGAAAAAACTTTAGCAGTACTCAATCCATTTCATGGCCATTCAAAGGCAGATGATGCAAACTTTTTATTAAGAGATACTGACATTGCTGGTCCTATTGCATTTTGCTTAGCTTTAGCAGTATGTCTTTTTCTTTCAGGTAATAAAGCTCATTTTGGTTATGTTTATGGCCTTTCTGTAATGTCTGTTATCCTAATGTATTGTCTACTATCTCTTATGAGTCGTAGTGAGGGAGTTTTTACTATTTTAAGTGTTGCAAGTGTCTTAGGATATTGTATGTTACCTATGGTTGTTCTTGCTGGCTTGGGAATATTTTTATCACTACAAGGCACAGTAGGACTAAGTTTGTCTGCTATTGCTGTAATCTGGTCTGCACTTTCAGCAAGCCGATTATTTGTAACAATGTCAGGTGATGCAGAGCAAAGGCCCCTTATAGCATATCCATGTGCATTGGTCAATGGAGTTTTTGCTTTGTTGGTGTTATTTTAAACATATGGTAGGGACCATTTTGGACAATTGTAACTGTTAATTGCAAATAATGTGGCCATTAATAAACTTGTCAAAGAGTTATTTAACCAGTAATCACTTATTTGTACTAAGAAAACATTTAATTTTTATTTCTGTGATGTTATTATTATATAATAACATTACTGAAATAAAAACTCAATACTAGACTTTTAACTTATGTTCATCAGGAACAAAAACTAACAAGTGTCAAAGGAAATTTTAAAGTACACACATTATTAAAATAAGAAAATAAAATTTCTTTCATTTAACTGTTTATGTCAATATTTGGTATATTAAATAAAATATATAATGATATTAAATGTTATTTCTTTTTGTTCATACTACATAGTGTTGTCACTTTATATTGGATATATTATTATTTAGCCTAGAGATGGTAATATAAGACAACCATCCATCTATCACCACACAACCATTTCATCCTGTGGGTGTCATATGAGGTAACTATCATAATCAGAAAAATGTCATTTATACCAAACATAAAATACTCAGACCGGTGACAAGCAGCACTGTCAAAAGTGTGAAATGTGGTCAATGCAACCTGCCTGCCAAGCATGAGGATTAAGATAAACCCTCCCTACAACCAGAGAGACCCATGTCCAGTAGTTGACTTTTATACGATGATGAAGAAAAAGAATGTTTATCAATCTTTGTTTCCAATACAAATTTTCACAGAGACTATCTCCCAAGATGATCAAAATTTCATACATATGAACACAAAATACTTAGAGTTAAAATATTCAGATTTTAATTTCTAACTTTTTGAGGAGTAGAATGATAACTTAAGCAATATATTTGTGATTGTGTCAGATAGCTTTAAAAAGATCTATGACACTATATTTAAAAAATGTATTATTTGTTGTTGTGTTTTAAATAATCTTTGTAGCAAAAATTGCTATTAAATAATTGTCGCTACCCAATTTGAGGCTTGTAAGTCTGAGGTTTAAATTTAGAAGATATGGGAAGTCCAACACACAGGAGCAGTGGACATAACTGTCTCAGAATTGAGAGGAGCCCTGTGCCTAGTCTGTAACTTTAAAATTATGATTCATTGGGCTGATCATGGTAAGGGGAGAATTAGGGTCTTAGTAGCCATTCCTTGGTCACCCGTAGAAAGAGGGTTGGTGGATTTACAAAAGCTTTTCCCTTGCCAATTGATATGAGGTGAAGGTGAATCATCATTGTTTGAATTACTAATGGATGCAAGTCGGTCATAACTGTACATGCTCCTGCATGCCTGCATTTCCCCATGTACTTAACTGGTCATTTGCAGTTTCTTAGATGAAATTCCAGCTGAAATCAACATTTGTGCATAAACACAAACTGCAAATTATATTGTGATTTTCTGGATTAATGTATCCCTGAAAAAGCTTCTGAAGCCAGTCCAATGGCATTAGTGTTACATAGGACACAGGTAAGTTCAAAACTAGTAGGTATCTTTGTGTGTATACTTGTCAGGTTATAGGTGTCCTGCTCTTAGTAACATCTCATTAAAGAACTATCTACTCAACACAATGCTGATGTATTTGGATTATCAGACCGCTATTATTTTTTGGTACATAGTAATCACTGATTATGGCATTAGCATTACTTGTACAAGTATGTTGGCTCTGCCCTTCCAGCGAGGTTAGGATGATTTTTTTTAAATTTTCCTAGTAATGCCAACTGGGGCATTCATGGAATGGCTTATGGACCAGCTACGGACTTAAAAAGGCTGTTGATGTGTTTTATAATTACTTTTAAAAACTTAGAATATGATTGGTCGTATTAAATGAAGTGAAAATTAACTATAATAGCTCTTATAATTCCACCCTTTCACCGCCATCGCCGTAATATTACGAATCTTAAGGTGAATACTGTCAGCACCACACGCGTAATATTCCGAAATGCTCATGTTACTAGAAAAACTGCAAGGTTAATTGGATATTGCTATTAAATTTAATATATTTAATTAATTGTGGGCAGTTGTAGATACCAATGTCAAAAAATTAACAGAAATATAGTGTTACTAAGTGCAAGATGAAGTTAAAACACCTTGTTGCCTCGCCAGCTCGCCATCACCGTGATATTTCTGAGACCAGTGCTGCGCCAATGTAAAAGATTGGCTTAGCTTTCCATTTACTCCCATCGAGTTGGCGGTTGATACGTATTTTTACAGAAAAGTTACACTATTATAAGCACACACACAAAGTTACAATATGCGGAAGCGCGTAATTTTTGAGAAAAAAGTTATTGAAAATCAATTATTCTTGCATTGTTTATAATTTATATCTAATTCTACCATAAAATAGACGCCATTTTGTAATGTCATTGTCGTCAGTAGGGATTCTTTCCGAAAAAGGTCGATTTTTAAATCGATTCAAATCGTAAGCTGATGTATCGATTCATAAAAAAATCGATTTCTAAAATATCTATTTTTTTATGTTTGCATTTATAATGTAAATATAATTCCATTTTATGAAAAACAAGAAAGATACCATAATACATGATCTCTTATTATATATAGAAATTTGTTTTATTTCAACAGTACCAATTAGGGCAGATAACAAATAAAATAGGTTAGGTTCAACTTATGTCAAAGAACCGAATTGATTGACTCCGACTCCACCTGGTACGAGTCTGTCCTACCCCTAGAGTGGTTTTATAGAGCCGGAGGCGCGTAGGGGGAGCAGCCTCCGCCTGCTGTAACAAATCGTAGGCATCGGACGAGCCGGAGCGGCTGAGGCTGGTCGCCGAAGGCGACCAACAAGCCGAAGCTGCGGAGGCGTTATAGCTCTTGCGTACTTGTATTTATAGACATCAGTGTCATATTCTTCAGTACTGTTTTTTTAAATGCCATAAACTCATAGTCCAGTGGTTTGATTTTAATAAACCCTCAGGGATTGCCCGGCTGACTCCGGTAATAATGATTAATGTCCCGACCTCCCGGGGTGCAATAATTTCTCCGGGTTTTCTAAAATTTATACGCATCAGTCGCTTGCACGATTACATTACTTCCCCAACTTCACAAATATTAAATGCTGCCCGAAAGCAAATTAAATATAAATTTAAAAATTAATAAATGATTGAGGTTTTCTTTCAAAAACATTTTATGAAATCGTGTAGTCCCCCTACTCGATTTCATAAAATGTTCCCGGGTTGGTCCCTTCAAGAGTTGGTAACCCTACTTACGAACTTTAAATATCAAAAATTTTACTTCTCTCTAAAACATTTTTTATTTTATAGATAGTACTAATAAGGGCATTTTGGGGACAAAGAGATTATTAAAATCAGTTTTACGTAAGCGCAAGTATGTTGCAAGGAAATGCCTTGATAACGTTGTGGCTGGAGGGAGACCCCACCCCCGATCGGGTTCCCGTATTGTATTGGCGGAGAGCTTAGTAGCCATGGCTTGGTCACCCACGGTAAACTAGGAAGAACCTACATGGCTCGCTCGAGGTGAAGGGTCGGCCCGACGTGGCCAATTGTGAGTGGGCTAGGCGAGCCCAATTCGAATGTGTGTTGATGGACTGCGGCGAGAGGGTTGTCCTCTGTCCCTACCTGCGGAAGAGGAGTGTTGATATTGCGATTCGCCGCTCTCCCTATTTTCCGCGACCGAAATTTGATTGGCGGCGGAGCCATAGACCAGATCCGCCGCTGTTGTCAGGAAAGCTGGTGCTTTCGAATGCTCGTTTTTACTGGCCCCATGGCGTCGTCTGTTATGCAGGTGGCGTTGGATAGTGCGAATAATATGCGCCTTGTGTTCTGGTACGCTTACCTGAGAAAGAGAAGGGTGAAGAGGGGCCGCGGATGTGTGCGAAAGCGTTCCCGTAACCCAACCCTTGCGCCAAACCATAGTTTACTGTATATATACTAGAGATAGATGCGCGACTCAAATTTATTTTTCTTTAGTGTCGTGCTTTGCATAACAGACGGCGCTTACAATAGAAGGAACTTGAAAAAAAGGGAAAAATAAACACATCTGCTGGACGCGATCGGGGGTCTTTAGATTTCGGGACCACCCAATTATCCACATGAGCTATTATAACCTTGTGCGTTGTGGCGAAATTTACCTTCGTATTCTAATAATGTTTTAGCAGTTTTTCATTGTCTGAAAACACCAATAAAATGGCATTTTCTAAAAATAAATAATGTTCAATAAATATTAATAACAATTTAAGCGTAACCAGTGACCGCTACTAACTGCATAGTGCGCGTGGATTATTGCGTATGCATAGACATAATATAAAAGTGCCCTCTAGTGAGATTAAAATAAGTCTAGCCTAGCGCTTCGGAATGTAGATGGAAGCACATAAAACGTAACATTTTGGTCGTAAAATAATGTTCTAAGTTGCACCCCCATGCGCCAAACCAAAAAGCGCTGGCTCGACATCATGAGAGTCAATGGGTGCAAGGTGAAGTCGTATAAGTGGGAAAGCGGACCCTCACAGACCAGGGATTACGCTAGCCGATATCGCCAACGCCACGGTGACTAAAAGTCCTTTGTTCAGCATGATGTTGACAGGATGATTCAAATTTCCATTGAGTCAACATTTATGCAAGAACACTAATTGTTTATTTTAGGATCTGACATAATTGTTCACATTTCTGACACCAGCTTATCTCTGAATCAGAGAATGTGATCTTTGTGCATTGACTGTTCAATTTTTTCCCTTATTTTACTTGGAAAACAAACTGCATGTAGTTACAAATGGGAACATATAATTTAAAAAATTGTCTAAGTCAGTTTTCAAAATTAAGAGGTTGATATAGCTAATTATAATTGAGTAAACTAACGAAAGTACTTACCTAAAATTGAAAAACAAATTATGTTGATTCTTATCAAACTACTTGTTTACGGTTGAATGACAATCAGTTTGTTCTTTTTAATAATGCAATTCTAATTCTTAATTTCAATTTCTATACACACATTTATGCATAGAAATTGTTGCTAATTTGGGATTGAATTTCATATTGCTTTTTTGTAATAGAAATGTTGCTACTACTCAGAGTTTCATCCATCCATTAATCAATAGTGCTCAGACAGGTGAGGTTGAAACTTGGAGAAGTTCTTACATCCACTTAGACACTCATATTTTGAGCTCAAAGAGCACAATATATAATTGGAGCTAATAGACAGCAGACATTATCATTCTTCTTTGTATAAATTATGTACTCATTACCTTAAATATTGTTGAAATTTTCAACAACTTAAACAAAATAAAACAAATTATAAAACCCATGAAATATATTAATAAATAGACTATGATATTTACTATTACATTCTATTATATAAAGTTGGTCGGTCATTAAAGAAGTTCTTAAGAATCATTACTTGTGCAAAGGAAACACATACAATAGCCAGAGTCTCTCCCATTGACCACCAGAATACTCTCTCATTGAGATCTTCAGCCCTCTTGCGACTTTGAGCTTCTCTTAGTCTGTGGTGGGTTTGATGATCAATAATTCTATTAAGAGCAGAATGAATTTCCTCTGCAGATGTTTCCAACTGTAAAATAAATAAATATATGAGAAATCTCTATAATCAATTGTTGTTCATTAGTCTCATTAAAACTCAAAAATTGCTCGACTGATGAAATTGTATTTATGTGTTTAAATGGGTCCCTAGATTGTTTAGATTAATTTAGACCTGGTAGGTGGTGATGTTGTCAACCTCCAGAAATAACACCTGCGAAGCTGAGACAGATAGCTAGTACTATATGAGGGTGCATTTTTAAGTTCTGGGTGGGTGGGTGGTAAGAATGGGTAGGTAGGTAATAAGTGGGGACGTTGCTGAATTAGATCATTAGTCTTTGAGTTATCGTCAACCAAACAAGTCAATCGGGAAGAAATTGTGAAATATGAAGAAAATCGAGTTCCGTGCCATTATAAAGTTTCTTAACAAGCGCGGAAAATCAGTTCAAACTATACTGGAAGAGATGTCATCCATTTACGGAGACTCTTGTCTAAGTAAAACTATGATTTACAAGTGGCATACCCTTTTTGTTTGTCGCCTTCAAGTGACTCTCTGCCTTAAGCCCACGGCCAGGAAGACCGATCGAGGTGACCACTTCGGAAATTATTAAAAAAGTCGAAAAATTAATATTAGAAGATGCCTGCCTAAAGAAAAAACAGCTCGCAGACATGGTTTCGAGTATCAGATACAACCATTTTCAAAATTCTTCATTACCATCTTGGCATGACTAAAGTCAGTGCAAGATGGGTGCCTAGAATGCTCACGCCGCTTCAAAAGCAACAGCGCTTGGAGTGTTCTCGTGCATTTTTTGACCTCTGTATGGACGACAAAGATGGAGTGTTGGCTCGAATTGTTACTGGTAACGAAATTTGGGTTCACCATTATGAACCTGTGTCCAAACAAGACTATGCAGTGGCACAAAAAAGGCACACCACCACTCAAGAAATTTAAGGTGGCACAATCGGCTGGGAAAATCATGGCGACAGTCTTTTGGGGCTCAGAAGGAATCCTATTGATTAATTATAAAGATAAAGGTGTCTCCAGAACCGGACATTACTACACTTCAATCCTAGAACAATTGAAGGAAGCCATAAAGGAGAAAAGGACGGGGAAATTGACTATAAGAATCCTTCTTCTGCACGACAATGCGCCTGTTCATAAGTGCCATGTTGCGATGGCTGCCCTGCGGAAGGTGGGCTTTGAAATATTGCCACACTCACCCTATAGTCCTGACCTGGCCCCCAGTGATTATTTTCTATTTCCAAACTTAAAAAAAGAACTTTGTGGGAAAAAGTTTTTAAGTGATGAAGAAGTGAAGGAAGCAGTTTCGGCATATTTTTTAGACTAAGACAAATCTTTTTTTTGCAGGTAGACATAAGTTAATTGAAAGATCCAAAAAATGTGTTAGGGTAGTAGGTGAATATATTGAAAAGGAAAAATAAATTTGGATTTTTATTTCCACTCCTTACCCCCCATTCCGCAAACTTAAAAACCCACCCTTGTATACTTTTTTATTCTAAACTAAACTAATTAACAAATCAACTCTGCCTGATGGCAGGTGGGTTATTGCATCCAATAAACACTAGTTAAACCAATGAATCCTGTTCACTTTAAGTAAATTTTAGCTTTATTTAAACAAACTATCAAATGAGTTCTTTAGAGGTACAATTAAGTGTGATTAAAATACATTTGCAAATTAAAAATATTCAATGTGTAGAAGTGCAGAACATACCATACTCAAATAAGCTTATATTATTTCTTTTATATATTTATTTAAAAAACATATTTAACTTGTATGAATTTTATTTTCATTTTAAGAATATCACGGCTGTATTATACTTAAATGACCCATGACCCAAAAAATTGTGGAATCCGAAATTAAAATACTCTTTACCACAGACAACATATAAATTGAGTACTGTGCATGTCAAGGTTATGCTCAGGACTTGTACTGCTCACTGTACTTATAGGTATTATAAAATGAATAACATAGTTACCTGTGTAAGTACTGTAGCATGGTCTCCTACTCCTGGTAGAGGCTGTTCAGGTCCAACATTCAGTTCCATATATACAAGCTTATGAGAGAAAGTACTGAATTCATTACTGAAGCAAACTTTGTAAACACCTAAAACAATATTGAGTTTTATTAATAATGGGTCAACACAAACTAACTTTAAACATAATTACAATCATACATGTTACAATAAAATGCAATATACTTTAGTACACATACCTGTATTAAGAGCTGTGAATTGGTGTGAATCATATTGCATTTTTTGTTGCTGGTAAATTATCTGTTTTTTTGGCCCCTCTATTTTGACATCAACATCATACTGGCCACCAGTAATAACCTGCATTATTAAAGTTATATTAGAGCTTAAAATATTGAACATTATGTATTTTGATGTAAACTAAACCAGTCACAAGTAAAACATTATTCAAAAAAACTTTTATGAAGTATGTACTATTTTAAAAGGATAATGTAAAATGTAAAGGTTATGAGTTGGTCACTTACGAATCACGAAAAATAATAAAGCAGGGATACACCTTTAGTTACCAAAATAATATAATTTAAAGAAAAAACACTGCTTTACCTGATATTCTAGTGAAGCCGATGTATTCTTTTCTATTTCTTGGTAAAAACATTCTACTGCACTATCGGGTAGTTCAAATGTTAATTCTACACTCTTAGAAAATATTCCACTTATTAATGTGACTAGTATAGTAAAGACGAAGGGGGCTACAAGCATTTTTCTGTTTTGTACTTATCTTGATATTTAAAAAATATCAATTTGAATGAGATTTAGATAGCAAATTTGGTATCGCAATGACTGACATTGACAGGTGACAGCGACAAAATATACATGATACACGTATTTAAAATTGCGTTCAGATTGATTCAGAATTAATAAGATAAAATTACGTTCAAATTGATTCAGAAATATAGTCCAGGAGGAATCGTCACATGAGTATCGAAAATAATTATTCCACCTAATTTTTTTTTTTTGCGATTCTCTTCAAATTATACTACTGATGATATAAATTCATGTTGCACTGGAGCAACTCATCAACTCAGTGCCATATTGTTTAAACCGATTTTTTTTTCAATTGAAGGATTTGTTATTTTCAAACGGGACATTTTTTTTAAATACAAATAATAAAGCTCCTACGACGTTTTACGATAAAGTTAATATTTTCGAAGTTATGTTATAATTATGTATGTTATAATTTTTAAAGTTTTGAAAATCCCAAATTCGGATATTTTGACGAGACTAGTTTATAGATAAATAAATATGTAGTTCTTGCTACATATTTATTTTCTACTAATAAAAAACTAGATACGCAATCAGTGACAAAAAATGTTCTTACCGAATGAGCCTAGTAAGCATAAATACCTAGTAAGCATTCGAATGCGCCGACGGTAACAATGCCTCGTCTAAAAGTGTAAAAATCACACGTACAGGACGTTATAAATAATGGAATTTCATATGTTCGGTAATTACTAATATTATCATTATTTAATTATTATCACTGTATTGTAAATACTTATATTTTGTTAAGAAATCATCGTTAAACATTTTTAAATTAAGTCGTAATGAAATGCATTCCTTGTCCATGCGACGAGCCTCGGTCTTTAAATTTGACTCCTTTTTCAATAAAAAGGAATGAAATTTTACGACCAAAAAAATAAATAAATCTCTGGGCTGGGGCTCCCCAGTGCTAGCTCCTTCCAATTGACCGCATCCAGCGCAGGGCGGCTCGAATCATCGACGACCGAGGCCTTTCCGATCGGCTCGACTCATTGGCGCTGCGAAGAGATGTTGCATCTCTTTACATTTTCTTGCGCATTTACCACGAGGAGTGCTCTGAGGAATTGTTCGGATTAATTCCAGCCGCCAAATTTCACGAACGCACATCGCGGCAGAACTCCCGATACCACCCACACCATCTGGATGATTGGCGGTCCATCACTGTGCGATTTAGAAGATGTTTTCTTCCTCGCACAACTTCCTTGTGGAACCTTCAAAAAAGGAGCCTACTCCTTTTTAAAAGGCCGGCGACGCATCTGCAATTCCCCTGGTGTTGAGGTTGTTCATGGGCGGCGGTAGTCACTTACCATCAGGTGAGCCGCATGCTCGTTTGCCCCCTCTCCTATAAAAAAAGTGCCAATGCACTTTGTAATTCTGACTTTAAAACATGCGTGTATGGTTGATTTTGGTTGACCAGTATCGGTTATAAAAATTTATTGCTTTTTGTTTCGTAGCTTTGTGAATACAACTTTGGGCAATGCATTTAAGCTGGAATTTACATTTATATATTTATTTCAACTAGAATTACGTTAAAACAATTCACAGTTTTTAGAGAACTTTTGCATGGGATTGAGTATCAATTTTTTTATTAGTGATCGATGAGCAAAGACTATTTTAAGGTGGAAGCGCCAGGGTAGCCACCCTGGAGCTTTCACCTTAAATTAATCTGTGCTTTTGACCCATTTTTTTTAAATTAAGATTTTTGGCTTGGATGCTTGTCTTTTAAGCCATGTCTTCAATTATCTCAGTATCAAGTAATAATAATCCTTTACAGTAAACTACTTCACAATATGTTGATGCATCACATTGCGTAGTTTTTGGGAGGTTTGGATGGCAACTTGAGCCAGCAGACAGTGGCGATAGTATCTCAAGTCGCCTACGCAAATAGAAACCTTATCTTGAGATTCACATCACCATAGGAGCACTTGTTTCGCCGTTCCCACTAATAGTTTACATGCGCAGACATTTAATATACAAAATCGCACCACTTTTATATTTCAAAATCCATTTCAAACTATTATTTAAACAATAATACAGGAGCAACAATCCACCGCAAGTTCCCGCCAAAACGCTAGGACCTTTTTTATTCGTATTTCATCAAAGAATATAAAAAAAGATTTCTTATATTTTACTCTTTTTCTTTATGTATTTTTAAGACTAAGTTCATATGACCGCGCGAAGCCGTGCATCACCCGCGCGAAGCCGTGCATCACCGCGCGAAGCTGTGCATCACCGCGCGAAGCCGTGCATCACCGCGCGAAGCTGTGCATCACCGCGCGAAGCCGTGCATCACCGCGCGGTTGGAGCATTCAGATGACGGTATATTAGGTATGCGCGGCCACGCACGGCAGTCTGGCATCACATTGCTTGAGAATGGACGTGGAGGAGGCAATTTGCTTATAGATATTATACCGAAGGCTGAGATGTCGCAGAAGAAGACAAAGACAACACTGGGTGCAACCTATTTTAAGTGATAGTGAGTGAAAGTAAGTAGTAAGTGAAAGACCAAAGAGTGAAAGAGTCTTTAAGCCTGTTTGTTTCTTTATATCTTTATAGGTTGGCCTGAGACTACATGAAGATTTTTTTAACTATCAGTATGACAGTTGCATCTATTGATTTTTGATACGATGTCGTCTCCGCTACTCATTTTTCCTACATCTATGCGCCTGTCCGTCTCAATTCGCGCGGATCAACTGTACAGGTCGTTACAGGTATATGAAGAACCAGCCACTTCTCGAACATCTGAAAACAGGGAAAAGATAATCCTGCTAAAAAACCGGGTATGGACAGGAGGCACCCGGCTAGCTACCGTCCTATAACGCTATTACCACACAGCGAAATTTTGTAGAAAATACTACCAAGGAGATACAGCCGCACGTTGCTCTACGAAAAGAGTAATTCAGCTTTCGTAGAGTACATGCCATCCCCGTTAGTCTGCGTGCTGCACACTGTGTAGGGGTCCTCCTACATATGCAGAAGGACGAAAAAGAGTGTCGATATTGCGAAGCGTTGCTCCCTCCGCTGCCCAATCTTGGTTGGTGGCGGATCAATAGACCAGATCCGCCGCTGGGGTCATGAAGATAAGTGTTTCTGAGTGCACGATTTTCCTGGAGCCATGACCGTCGCGCATCCGACACGGGACGTCCAACCCACTGGCTGTACCAGCGTAACCGGTTTTTTCCAGTCTCGCCGCGTACGCGACAAGCGGCCAGTGGTCACGCACACATGCCCCGCGTGCCTGTACTTGTAGTAGTGCAACCGATTCTCACGGTTGTATGAAGCTTTACCTTTGTTCCGTTTATTTACTCATGTGGCTAAACGCTCACTGTAATTTTACAGTTACGAGCAACACGGATTCGATCCCGCCGGTACGAATGAAATAGTTAATTGCAATTTTAAGTGCCGATTTAATACGTGCTCGGCGGTGAAGGAAAACATGCCGTCTGAGAAATAACAAAAATTTTTTTTCGAAACGTAAAGTTCGCCAGCACGCATTTTGGCAGCGCGGCGGATTTCCCTAACCCTCTGAGATATGAAAGGGGGCCTGTGCCCAGCAGTGGGATGGGCTGTTACTATAACTTTTATTTTTAAAGACACTTATTATTAGTACTCACATCTCTTATTTTAGTACTCGAAAAATATTTTTTGTGGTATTTTAACCAGTCGTAATGAAAATAATTTTATAAATAAATGAAACTGCAAAAAATTAACAGTAAAACAAGTTTATTTCGAAATTAAAGACGATACAAATCGAAAATTATATTTTCACTTAAAAGTTTAACAAAGCTTCTCTTAACATATAGTAAAAAACGCACATGATTTCAACAAAGAAAAAAAATACTGTGATTATAATGTCTTAAAAGTTACACTTCAGAGCTCAGGGGGACTAAATGAAGAGTCTATAAAATGCAGACAATACTTCAAATTAGTAAATGAGTTTAGAACGCCAGACCGGCGTCTGCGTATGTTGTGAATATTTTCTCGATGGAGTTGGCGTACGCCGCTGTCCTCAGATCTAGGCCCAAGTTGAACTTCATAGCGGTTTTCATTATAGCCTGTTAAAAATAAACATTATTTCAATCCAATCAAACAAAGAAAATTGATTTATGTATATGTCATAGATGACTAAATTTAACGTGGTAGAGCCATGCTGCAGCTATATTATTGGTATAGTTGTAGCACGAATGGGTCGGCTCGACAGAGGAAACCACGCTCTCACAGAATACCAGCGTAAAATAGCAGCTTAACACTGCTGTATATCGTATGGTGAGTGTAGAGAAGTGGAGACCCTTATTACTGGAAACCAGACATTCCATCTTAGTCCTCACGGGTGACAACACATCTGCATTTTGATTCGTAATAGATAAAAGATGTAGATGATTATGAGCCACAGCAACCACTTAGCATCAGGTGGACTGTGTATCCTATAAAAATATATTAAAATTAATAAAAATTTAAATAAATTTCAGGCTTAGAATTTCATAGTAAAAGTGGTTTAGTAATCTTTATTTAAAGCGATTCCACTGAGAATAGGAACGTCAACGACCTCGAACCGTAAACTGTCACTTGAAATGTATGGCGGGTAGGTACGCAGAGAAAATTAATTTGCGTATTAATAACGTTATTATCCACTTTATTAAACCCTTGTTAGTTTTAAAAATAAATTAAAATGTTTTTTTTAAACACAACAAAAACAAAATTCCCATACATAGATCTATGTTCTATTTTTATAGGGGAAAGTAGCAATGATATTGATGATGACGATGATGACTTTTCAGACAGTCATGTAGAGAAATTGAAGTGCTAAATTCAGATTAAAACTTTTTCGTTAATGGCTCTTTGGTAAATAATTATTATTTCAAAAATAATAATCATAAATAAAAATCTGGTTTCATCTGGTAACACTTCTTAATTTACTGCGATATGTAATACAATTTGTATTATTTTTGTTTGCACTAACATGGGACAATATTATATTGATAAAAAAGACAAAACTAGAACTTACTCTTGCAGATCTCTCCATAGTGTAGTCTAGACCAGAGTGGACAATGTCTTTCTCAGAAGCTCCGGAAATTCTCTTCTGGAAGGATTCAGAAGGCGTCACTGGAATGCGACCTCCAACGCGGCCGAAACGCCTTTCTAGGGATTCTTGTACGGATTCTGAGTGAAAAAAAAAATAAACAAAAAATATATTACGATCAGATAGACTCATGCTTCTAAATAAATAATAGGGACACATTAATTTTTTGGCCCTTTTAGTCTTATCATGACGACTAGGATATTGATTGATCATATTATAATCATCATAATATATTGCCCTTAAATAAAAAAAGGAAGATAGACGGAGTGCTGCGTATATTTCTCATCCTAATCGACATTTTTACTCAAACCACACATAACAATATAGTAGTATGGTTTAAATTAGTATTTTATAAACTTGTAGTATAGTCTGCGCGGAAGCGTTGGTCAACCGCGCCGTCCCCCGTCTCGGGACGGCCGCGAGACGGTGGAAAATGTCTTAATTAATGTAAATTATTATATATGATTTTTCTATTTCCGGGCTGAACAAAAATAAACACATATTTAAGTGTTAATTAAATTTTAATATTTAAGACACAACAGTTTTCTAAACAAATTAAAATTTCTCAACAAGTACTCATTTATTAATGTTCATATCATATTTCTGTTCCATACTTCCCTTGTTCGTTTTTTCTTGTTCGTCTGAGAAAAGAACTGTGTACATTGCAAATAATATTTTTCACTTTGTACCCATATTACGATATTTATCTCATGTGTGTATGAAACAAACTGGCGCGAACAACTGAATCATGTAACCGTCGCGACTAAACGTAGTGGTTATATTCTCTTTGGTTGCGGCGGTCGACGGCAGCTTGACGGTTGTCTACCTCCAGCGTCCCGCCGCTCACATACCTCAGGAGGTGACTAGCCACTTGCGCGCTCACTATAGTTCCGCCTACTATTACATTTTTTTTATTGTAAAATTTGGATCCATAGTACAGGAGGATACTGTAGTATATAGTACTAGTTGAGTTGGCAACCCTGTAATCCCTATAAGTAATCCTTGTTTGACAAACAATATTTTCTAATACCGGGTTTAGACTCTCGCCTCGCGCCTCGCCTCGTACCTCGCCTCGCAGCTCGCATGTTGTTGCGAGGTAACGAGTGCACTGTTTACACTCTCGCGATGCGTTCAATTTGCGACTTAAACGTCGAAATAATAGCGGCATCAACTCTTGCCTTAATAAGTATTTATCGATCCTTGACCATTTTAAAAAGAAGGAAATTAAAAAGAATACGTCGTTGAGGAAGAATATGGTGGATGATGATATCTATTCATCGAAACAGGACCATTTCAGTTTCATAATTTTATACAAATTGCTACCTAATAATTTATGTATTATGTATGTATGTATGTATGTAATTTTAAAACAAAAGCAATTCGAATGTTATTATGGAAGGCCGCCGTAAACCAACTGAAACGAGAGCGCGAGTGTAAACATCATGCTCGCGTCCCTCGCGAGACCCTTTGCCTCGTGCCCTAAAAACCGCCTCCGACGAGAGCGCCGCGAGTGGCGAGGCGAGCCAGGAGCTAGCGTTTACACTCGCGCCTCGTGGCTCGCCTCGCCGCTCCCGCGAGAGTGTAAACGGGGGGTAAAGTTACCGTTACCGTTTCAGTCTATCAAAAGTCCACAGCTGAACGTAAGCTGTCCCTGTAGATTGCCTAATAGAATATATATTTACCATAGTTGCCAGACTTGGCAGGCTGGTTGTCAACCGTTTCTATTTTTATTTTTAACTATTATTAGGAAGATGCAACTGTTCATCTCCTGACTTGTTTCCCTCTGTCGCCTCTTACACCACACACAATACAGTGAAATTGAAATTATTCATTCAATATTAAAAGTGAATTTAAACTCTAATATACGAGTTGAATGAATTGCTTAGGAACAGTCGTCTAGCACTATGATTGGCTACCATCATTTCATTGTATAAATTGGAAAATTCTGTGAAAATTTATCTAAATTAAGCTTTAAATTGAACATTTATAATGAGCATGATTAAACCGTAAATCCGTCGTCCAGCTTATCAACATTTTCATACATTACATAACATATTCTAATCTTAAAAGTTAAATTTGTTACTTTTTCTTTTTTAAAAAAGGGTGGCAAACGGGCATACAATCCATGTGGTGGTGATGCTGCTGTGGCCCATAGTAATCTACATCTTTGAACAGTAATCAAATTGCAAATGCACTGTGACCTGTCACCCCTGTGTACTAAGATGGAAATGCCTTGTTAGCAGAAAAAAGGATTCTCGCCCCTCACTATATGAAACACAGCAGCATTATATGCTCAAGTGCTATATCGTGCCCAAGTATATGCATAGGTGCACAACACCAACACAGGACCAACAACTTTACTTGCTTTCCTAGGCACGGGGTCAAACACCGTCAACTTCCTGCCTGCGGGCTGTTACTGACACTTTCTTGACAAAAGAACCCAGTAGCGTGATTTTGGCTAGACCCGGGATTCGAACCAGGGGCCTAATGATCAGAAACCGCGTTTACGACCACTAGATCAACAAGTCAGTCAGACTTATTCATATTCATTTGCATCATATGATACAACATATTATGATGCAATTTAGCGTCATATGTTAATATATGATGTAATTGGAAGATGTTTTTGCTTTGCGCACATATAACTCACCTAACAGATGATAGTTGGATTCCCGTTCGTATTTGAATGTAAGACGTCCGTAAGAGACATGGTTGAGGTTCTTGAGCCACTCGAAGAAGGAGACGGTCACACCACCGGCGTTTATGTACAGATCGGGAATGACCAGAATGTTGCGATCGATGAGGATCTTGTCAGCAGCTGGTGTTGTGGGGCCATTAGCCGCTTCAGCGATGATCTAAATGTCGTAGATAATTAGTACAAAGAACATAACTTGCTTAAAATTGAGAATTCTTTTGAAATAACCGAACAATTGTTGTATTTTAAATAACTAACCTAGGAGAAACATATTCCTCATATTTTCGAAAAATAATAAAAGATAAATTTTAGTTGTGTAACAAACACTGTAAAAGTGTTAAGTGAGTAATAAGCTTAATTATGTAATTAACTTTAATCACATAAATCCATTTAGTGAATTGGATGGCAGATATGATCAGGTAATTGTTGAATACAATAGAATTGAACTAAGCACTTATAGTTAATGATTTGATTTTGATTACCAATACCAACACAATTAATGATGTCATAATGTGTGTTGTACTTTATAATGAATTGCCATAATCCACAAGAAGGCAGCGATTGTAAATTATCTTATCAACTTAGTAATTAAAAAAATATGGCAAAGATTGTAACAGTGCCGGTTTGTAACCGGGGGGTCAGTTATGTGAGTTATGTATTATGATAAAAACTTCCAGCTTTATTATAATGTATAAACTAGAAGTGATTCGGATCATATTTGGTTACTCATACTTACAAAATTACAAAAAAAGGTGTAGTCTTCATTAAGAGTATCTACAATTTTACCCCGCGGGGGCTGCGAAATGATGTCACTAAAGCCAGTAATGGGATTGCGATTTTCTACCAGAAATAAGTAAGACTAGCTTTCCGCCGCGACTTCGCCCGCGTGGGTTTTACTACAATTTTATGGGTTTTAATATTTTTGTGCGGAACCCTAATTCTTTTTCTATAATAAAAGTCCCGTCAAAATTCGGCCAGCCGTTTCGGAGATTAGCCGGAACAAACAGACAGAGAGAATTTTAAAAATTGTTTTTTTTTTATTAGTACCGTATATAATTTCATATGCATTTAGTAAAAAGCTGTTATTTTAACATTAGAAACAGACACTTCAATTTTATTTATTTGTAAAGATATAGATTGGTTTTGAGTTAAGTATACAGACGACAACCACTTCGTTAAATTGTAACTTATTTTACTTATATAAAAAAAAGGTTATACATTTATTACATCGCTTTTTATTAAATGTAAACCTTTAATTTTTTTTACTTAAAAACAAATTAAAGTTGTTTCTGTGCTCAAGATTATTATCTCGTTTGCTCAGATCGTTTACATCACTGAAGCGGAAATGTTATGTTAAGGTTTTGATAATATAGCTAGTTAAGCACACATATGTATCTTATCATTTGGACACCTGTTTATCGTTAAAAAAATGGTATAAACAACTTTATTTTTAATCACAAAATATGATTTACCCACTTTTTAACAAAAATAAAAGAAAGGTCATTTTCTCAAGACTGGCCTAAAATAATATTTCTTTTTAATCATTAATATTAGCTATATCGAATTTGACAAATAACCTTTTGGATTTCAAACGATTCTAAGCTAAGAATCTTTAAATACCATTGTCATAGAAAATCCCGAAAGGAAAGTAGATCGGGGGCTGCAGCATGGCTCTACCGCGTAAAGAAATTTACGTGGCCCATGCTGCAGCTATATTAGTAGTATAATTGTAGCACGAATGGGTCGGCTCGACCAGGGAAGGTCCACGCTCTCATAGAATACCAGCGTAAAATAGCAGCTTTTTATCACTCCTTATCACCATTACATTTACGAATTTCACAAATTAACAGAACATAGCCTCCAGGCGGCTAGCAAGGCATCGTCCTGAACCACTTGCATTCAGCAACTCCCTACATGTTTCAATGCTGCTACTGAAGAAATTTACTGTTTACTAATCAATTAAATTGTACTTACAGTTTACTACTCATATAACTTATATTTTAGAATAAGTTAGTTACCTTTGCTTGTATTTTGTGAGCATTTTCTTTGTGAATAACTTGTTCAACAGCGGCAGGCACTAGGATGTCACATTTCTCGTAAAGCATGTTCTCCCCCTCGTATGGTTTGGCGCCAGGGAAGCCAACAATTGTGCCGCTCTCAATTCTGTAGTCCTCCAGAGCCTGAAATTATACGTTGGTGCAATATAGTCATGTCCAAATAGCCGCATTTTTTAAATGTATTGAATCTGTTCAAGTATTTCAATGAAAGATATTTCGAAATCAGAATCTCCATTGGAAATTATAATTTAATCGCATTACATTTATTATCCTAATGTTATTGCATGCTGCAATAGTATTTTTCCATTCAATAGGCTTAATTTAGCCCATATGAGCGAGGGTAGCAACAAGTTAAGGGATACCTGGTGCTGCAGTTGGTAATATAAAAGATATCCCTTACCACCATTACAGCATATCAAAAGTCCACCGCTGGACATAGATCGCCACCATAGGTGTGATATTTGTCATAGTTGCCACGCTTGGCAAGCAGGTTAACAACCACAGTTTTTTAGGGTTCCGTACCGAAAGGGTAACCAACGGGACTCTATTACTAAGCCTTTGCTGTCCCTCTGTCCGTCCGTCCCTTTTACAGCGGGCTGTATCTCATGACCCGTAATAGGTAGACAGTTGCAATTTTCACAGAATGTATATTTCTATTGCAGCTATGGCAACAAATAATAAAAATAAGTTAAAATTTAAAAGGGGCTCCCCTACTAGAAACATGTTTTACGATGGTACGGAACTCTTCATGCGCGACCGACTCACACTTGGCCGTCTTTTTTATTTTCGTTCAGCTATTATCAGGAAGGTGATGAAGACACCTACGATGTTTTTATAACACCACTACACGGTTATGATTGAGAATCTGAGGCACGGAAAGATTATATAATATATTCTGGTTCTTGATCAAAAGCCTAAGTTTTGATCTTAGACCTGATTTTACCATAAACCTGCGACATAATATATTACAATAACCAAATTTATTATTACCGTGATTCTTAAATCCTTATATTATAATTACTACTAGATCATTATTTATTAATTGTACAATACATATAATACAAGCTATGCACCTATTGGGTATTATTTCGAAATGCGACAGTCAGTCAATGACTGTTGTATTTGGGTTACACCTGGACAAAAATAGACATCTCATTTCAATTCCAGATACTTATAGACTGAGCTAAAGAAGTTCTTTAATACGTACGTCTGTTTCATGGGCATTCCAACATATCAACAGCATTTTTAGTCTGTTATTTTACATATCATATCGTGTGATGGCGGATTAAGAGAATCCATGATCTCACTTCATCCCGTGGGCGTCGTGAGAGGAGATTATGAAAAACCTCAGAAAGATCTCATGACTTTCGATAAATAACGGTACAACCATCTTATTTACGCCAGACTGGCGACGGGGGAGCAGCTCTGCTCAGCTATGCAAATTATATAATCAGTGTTAATATATAATCAGCAGTGAATTTTTACAGATTAATAGGGAAGATGAAGATGAATATGGGCCTTTCCGAGAATGCGTCACCTGGCAATAATAAGGTACACATTAGACGCCAGATTATCATGCTTCAATTGTGTGCAGTTGGCATTTTCCACCAAAAAGTCGATCGCTTTATTTCTAAGCAAAAAAAAAACCGAAAAAATACGAACGAATTGGATGACACTGAAAGTTTTTAGACAAACAAAATTATACCAAATATCAAGATGCAAATTATTTTTCAAAGTAGTTTCCATGCATAGACGCTGCTGTTGTACTCTATGGAAGTACAAGATAAGGACCCACTTTTCCACGGCCTTTTCGAAAATAGTCGTTATTTATAATTTATTCAGCTTAGGCAGTTGGAAGAAAAAGCGGAGACTACAGGCAAGGCGTTTAGTTCAGGGAATGGCCAACGCTCCGTGTCGTTGTACGCAGCTGTTCTACATATTATGTACACTGGAGTAGTTCGAAATCTTAAACAGCCTAATATACTTTTGTTCATTTCGCTGGTGGCGCGACGAATACGCTGCCATACATCTCACGTAAATATTGGGGGATGCTAAATAATTCAGCATTATTTCATGGCCCCGATCCAAGCGACTGAATTTTTTATTTTTCATGTGATTTTTTTTTATATTTGACTAAATAATGCCTATGCCGTAAATATAATGGCCGGTTACTCATTTATCAAATTCTTTTATGCGTTGCACAGTACTGACATTATCTTCAGTTGCTATCTTCAGTTGAATAACAAATTTGTGAAATGAAATGAGCACTCGTCAAGTTAACAAATAATTTTATACCTACGCAAAATTTAAATAATTTTTTCCATTGATAACAGACTTTAAACAGATTTATAATTTAGTGTCACTCTAGTATACTCATAATTTCGGATTATGATTCGGAACTCGCTGTGTGACAACCAAACAAAAGGTTATCAGTGCATATAGTTCAATCCTTGATTGCTTTACCGTCAAGGCCATTGAATCAGGTAATTTAACTAAGATTAAATATTATGATGAAATACCTTTAGGTAACCTTGTAGTTTATTTTTATCTTTTAGCCTGTAATTTTTACAATAGAGGCAAAGATTAATTATAAGAAAATTTTAATTGTCTAAATACCTTAGGGTCGATTCCCTCAGGGTTATGAATGGCGCCATCGTGTTCGATGACTCCAATGCAAGTAGCTCCAGCACGGACGAGGTAACGGCATGTGTGCAATCCCACGTTACCGAAGCCCTGCACAATGAATGTTTTGCCACCCCAACCAGGGGTTGTTCCTGAAAATATGCAATTATATAAGTACTAGCGCCCGCCCGCGGCTTCGCTTGCGTGTTATCTCTCATAATTATATCTTACGGAAATATAAATTCTAAAAGATAAATCCTTATTACATATCCTTCCCTATCTCATGCGAATTTCGAACAATCCTGTAGAGTTATTCATCATCATAATCATTCCACAAGTCCACTGCTGAACATAGGCCTCCCCCAAGGAATGCCACAAAGCACGGTTCCGAACCAGGTCGTCACTCCATCTAGTGGGGGACGCCCTACAATTCGCCTGCCGGTACGAGGCTGCCACTCGAGAATCTTTCTTCCCCATCGGTTATCGGTTCTTCGAGCTATATGGCCGGCCCATTGCCACTTCAGCTTACTAATCCTTACTTAATACTAATACTTTGGGCTATGTCGGGTACTCTGGTTCTACTGCTGATATCCTCTTTTTAAGTCTATCACGCAGACAAACGCCGATCATATCCATCTCCATAGCTAGCTGAGCGACCTTGAGCTTCCTCATCCGGCCAGCAGTGAAGGACCACGTCTCAGTGCCATAGGTCATCACTGGCAACACGCACTGGTTGTACAGTCTCGTTTTCAAATTTTGAGGTAAATCTCACGAGAAGATGTGCCGTAATTTCCCGAATGCTGCCCAATCGAGTTGAATCTGTCGATTGACCTCTCGGTCGAAGTTGGACTTACCTAGTCGGGACTATTTGTCCCAGGTAAACATATTCGTCAACAACTTCGAGCTTAGTGCCCCTAACAAAAACCGGCATAAGTGTAACATGGACGTTAAACATGATTTTTGTTCTGTCCATGTTCATCTTAAGACCTATCCGTTGGGAGACACTATTGAGGTCATTGAGCATAGCGCTTAGGTCCTCCAGCGATTCTGCCATAGGAATATATCGTCGGCAAATCGAAAGTGAGTGATGTCCTACTCGCGATTGACGTAAATACCGTATCCATCCAGTAGCTTGAAAGTGTCTTCCAATGCAGCAGTGATGAGTTATTAGTGATTATAATTACCTGCTAAAACTTACATGCTAAATTTTATGTCTCAAACAATTATAAATCCTGTTTATTCTCGATCCTGTCCGAATTTTTCAAAATTCTTCCTTATTTATATTATATATTCTTTATTATATGATAAATATTCCTTGTCTACATGATAAAGGGAACCACTGTGTAAAATTTCAAATTCTTCAACAATCGGGACTTGTCGTGGATTTTATGATTTTGAGGATGAGGACTGACTCCATAGTTTCACAATGATAACATATTTCATAAGTTTTTTTTTATATTAAAACACTCGTAGCATTGTAACGCGTCCATTCTCTATTATGAGATCGAGAAACGTTTCGCGCGGTCTATTATTGGATGAATCAACGCTGTAGTCGCATTTAATCTCGTAACACATGAATCTCAAATCTGTTTTGTAACATTGTTGTCACGAGGCAATGATATAGGCATGAGATAGCTATTAGCTAAGTATAAAATTATAAATGGCATAATATACATACTATCGACCTTACTCGTAAAAATCGACGGGAATTTAAAAAGTGCTTAAAGTTGTTCTTTCAAATACCATGAGAGATGAGTATAAAAATAATTAATACTTATTTTATGTAAGCGCTAATCAACAATTAGAAATAAGGCCGTAAATAATAATTTATGTCTTCATTTCGCCCCGTGTTTTTGTCGTAAGAGGTAAAACCTAGAAAGATCTCATGGCTCCCGATAGCAAGCTATACAGTCATCCCGTTAACGCCAAAAATAATTTTACCTCCAGTCTGTGTTTATATACGCAGATTTGCACAGACAGACGGCGACAAATTGGTATATAAGGTGCAAGCAACTTGGGAGACTTCAGTCCAAATGTGGACTTGCACAGGCTTATAAAGAAAGAATAATATGTATATATATCGTATTTTTGCACAAACTGCTAAAGCGAAGTTAACCGTGATAAATGGCTTCACGGGCGGCCTGAACACGTAAAAACTAAAAATAACTGTCATTTAACTACAGACTGCACGATACAGTTTTATTTTTATGTCTTTATCTTTTTAATAATATATCTATAGTTATTTCAAAATTTAAGTCTTACTGTATAAATAATATTGACAAAAAATCTGTTTCATCATAATATTTTCGTAAATCGTCTCGTAAGTCATCATGAATTATTGAAAAAAATATTATATGATGTAATCAAATCATAGTTACATACCCTGTAACTAAAGATAATTTTGTAAATAGCTTCAGTACTCCACAAAAACTAGTTCTATATCGAACTGGCAATGTGTGATATAGAAATATCTATTGACATTGAATCGTAGCATAAAGTTCATGATCGTAAATGTACCTTTTTTTCTATAAACTAGACATTTTAAAAGAATAGAGGAATATTTAACGGATTTAGTTAAAGCGCCTTTGACTCACCAATCATGCTCATGTAGTTGGCTTCATTGATGAAGTTCTCCAATCCGTGGAACACTCCCCTGCCAGTAGCCGAAACTCTGCCGTGGATACCTCCCTGAACAATTATTTGAATATTAGCTAGCTACCAAATTATTTCACACATATTTATGACTGTATATTGATGTTCTCTTATTCGATTTTTCACGTGAGATAATATTACAATGCCAGAAGTGACCACGCTAACACATACTTGAGGTACTCACTCCGGCTATCGGTTACGATTGTCTCTGACACTAGAGACCACTTATTTTGTCCCTCAGAGTGAGACGTACTTGAATTATTATGATTTTAGAAATAAGCACATGTCTTTTGACTCGATCGTTACTGCCAAGCGGACAAAATGTACTCAGTTATTTATTATGTGAAAATTCGTATACTAGTGATCATTAGTTTGGAAGTGTTTACATACTTCCACCCAACCCAAATAGTTAAAAAATGTAGCTACAGACATACCAATGAATCTTAAGTCACATTACCCACGCTGCCAACCACTTTTGACTACAACTGTGTAAAAGCGGGACATTTTTATGTATTTTGGGGACAGCGGGGCACGAAGCTTAACAGCAGGACTGTCCCGCTCAAAGTGGGACATGGGGTAGCATAAAGCACACTTCATACTCGATGCCTGTGGATATTGATTCGAATCAAAGTTGGGAGTCAATATTCCGCACAAACACAATGAGTTTTTGGGCCTGCATAACACTCGTATATTGTGTATATGTTGCTTTTTAACAGTGTTATTCATCAAAATTATATGTATATTTTCAAAATACTTTAGCTATTTCTCTTATATCTCACATATCTGAATATCGGTGCAAGGAAAAACTTTGATGTAAATCTTTGATAAAGCGATTAGTAAATTAAAATGAACATTTAACATGCTCAAAATGCTTGCTTTGAAATGACATGCTGGAATGTACGATGCAGCACTGACGATCTTTTCTTATTAAGGTATGGTTGGTGCCGGTAATGTGTTGTAGTTCTTGGAATTTTAAATAAAATTGCAGTAATAGTAATGAACTATATATTGTTAGTGGTAACACACAAAGTAATAAAAGTACTAGTTATTGTGCAGCAACAGCCTAGAGTACCTATTTTACAAATTGCGCAGTTCGCAGTAAACGTTATGCCCGGGCCAATAGACACTTTGTGCTTTGGCAGCTTGGCGTTTCGCCACAGTCTCTACGCGCTACTTAAACAGTTTTCTTATAAGTCTGTTTATGTTTTAGCATTTATCCCTCACATATAGTATTAAAACACATTTGAAGCATTTTTCATTAAACATACCTCTTAATAAAATATAGAACAAAACACCAACTTGCCACTGGTACAAAATCTGTTGATGAATTTAACTTATACTACTGGTTAGCTGGTAACTGATGTCATATGCAAATCGATAAGATAATAATAGAAATTTTCGCATATTATGTATAGTTACAAACACTTAATGATAAGAATATAGGAATATAATATTAACAAAACAATGGCTTAATATCAAATGGCTACGAAAGACAAGATTCTGCTTTGTTATGTAGCCACATCATGTATTATAATAATTACCATAGAAACCAGTTCTGTAGATTCAAATACAATGCATCAATGTTATTTCCAGAAAATGATGTTTTAAATTTAAATAAATTTATTGTATTAATTAAAATTATTTTGGTTTGACTTCTTTCCTACAACTAAAAACACTAAAGTTATATTCCTATTTAAATTTCTTTAACATAATATTAGATTTTTTATCATACCTATTTTTTTATAGGATCGGGTTGACAAGCTGACAAGCGAGCACACATTCCACCTGATGGTAAGTGATCGCTGTGGCCATAGACATCTACATCTATCCTCGTTTGCGAATCAATATACAGATGCGTTGCCAGCCGTGAGAATTATGCCCGGTTTATATTATTCCAGTCCAGTGATCCAGCGAGAATCCAGTCCAGTACTGGACTGGATCTGTATCGTCTACATTATTCCAGTCATTTAGAAGACACAATTCAGTGACACACTACAGTGACAATGATTTCAAGAAGAGATCAGTTTCGATTCCGCATTGTTAAATCCTTTCTTCTTCGCAATCGGCACTGGATTGGCCGTCTACATTATTCCAGTTGCACTGGATTCAAAAGTAGACCGCCAATCCAGTTACTGGATTGGAATGCTCAGTGGATTCAGTGCATTCCAGTGCCAGTTTAAATTTTTCCAGTGAGCAATCCAGCGCAGGATTCGATCGCTCGACTGAAATAATGTAAATGTAAACCAGGCATCTTAATACCCGGTTTACATTTATGGAATTAATGGAATGCCTCTTTTCCAGTAAAAACTGCTGTCCGGTGCTCTAGACTCACCATACGAAACACAGCAGCATTAAGCTGCTATTTTAAGCTGGTATTCTGTGAGTGTGATCCTTCCCCGGTCGAACCGACCCATTCCCTGCTACAAATATACAATTAATATAGCTACAGCATGGCTCTACCACGTTTAAAACGTTTAATTGTTATAATATTATAAAGGAAATTCAAGCTTACCTATTTTCACAATAAAACTAAATCTAAAAATACGACGATACTGCAGAAGCTTTAATATAGGCATATCAACTAGGAGGTAGAAATTCTTGTTTGTCAGCCATTAAATCCAATTAAGCAAAACCATGTTAAGGTCAGTAAATGGATTATTCAATATATTTATATAATATGTTACGTTAGCTCAAAGATATTTTATGTATACTACGGCATAGACATCTACATTTTAATTCTTAATCGAGGATATATGCACTTGTCTATGGGCCACAGCGTCCATTTACCATGTGAACTGTGTACACGTTTGTCTCCCTTATTCCATAAAAAAAAACTTTCTAATACTTCCTCTACCTCCCCACTACGAAGATGTGCAGTCATTATAAAAATACGGCACGCAGGATGTCATGCCAGATGAAAGTTTGTGCTATAGAAGTGTGCAGCAAGAATCGATTAAAGGCGTTCTTTACCACAGAGCAATAATACTCTCTACCGCAAGTTCATTTTTTTTTCTAATTTTGTTAAAAGTGGACGTCTGTTGGGGCAAGATCTGGAAAATATGTTGAATGAGTATGGGCTTTAGCTATACTAATTCTGACAATATCTGTTGTGTAGTTGTGACTAAGCGTTGACATATAGAAACAATAGCGAAGAGCAGTTCACCCATCTAGTTTGAGGGCCAGCTTCTCCACTATCATTTGCAATTAATGATAACGGTCTGCAGTAACTTTAGGACCAGATAGCAGGGAGGCACTGTGAAGAAATAGTTAATAACACTAAAATTAGAACACCAAACTGTCACCATATATTCTTCTTCTGGCTAATCTTTCATTTAAGGCACTGATTGGTGATTTTTTTTCACTGTAATGAACGCATGCGATTATAGTAAGATCCACTTGTCATTGCAGGTAACAATTCGACTCAAAGTTCTCTTCTTCCTGTGTCGATTCAGCAATATTATGCAATTTAGACGTTAGACCAGCTGTTCGTCTCTCATTTCGTGAGATACAGATTTGTAAAGCTTCTTTACTCCTAGGCATAAACGGTGTCCTAATACCTAGTAAAAAAAATCTGACCCCATTGCAGGAATCAAACTATGGCGTGGTAAACCTGTAGCTAGATCGATTTTTCGCCTCGTTATATTGTAAATTTCCAGAGTATTCGAGAACGTTATAATTACATACGTTATAATTAATATACAAACAAACTAGTATATAAATATAGTTCGTATAATGAATAGCAAGTGATACAGATATTTACCAGAGCTATAATAGCAGTTTTATTTTAATGTGGTAAACTTGTTTTATAAATTTACGTGTATTGCAGTTTACTTATCGACTTAATAAAATCAGTTTAATGTTTCATTTCATTATCCTTCCCTGTCATTCCGCGAACTTTTTGACCTCCCCTCGTACATACTTTCTGTTATGGGCAAGATGATGATATATTCCATTTGTTATAATACTTTGATAACTCATAAATCTGGTAATTCCCAAGTGTTACAACTCTCCTACTTTTTAGCAAAAAGCTGGAAAGAATATTTATTGTAATATTTGTATTCTCTGAAATATTTTCGGTAGATACGAATGTTGCACAAAAGTACGTATGCTGGTTCAAATATAATGTATACATCAATTATTAGATTTGTATGTCTGTTGTCAGTTATTCTACTAATCTGCGCCACTTTATTTCGTTGCGTCATATTATTTTTTTTGCAGACTTCAAAAAGGAGACGGTACTTAATTCGACTGTATGTTTTTTTTTGTGTGTTATTACTTTTTACTGGGTGAACCGATTGCGATGATTCTTTTTTTTATTTGAAAGTTGGTCCTTCACATGTGTCTGACCAATAGTTTTTGTGTTATTCGTAATAATTTATATTGAAATCGGCTGTACAAAATTTTTAATTATTATTTTTCTTGAACTCAATATTTGGCTTGCAATTTGCATATGGGAAGATTTAAGGCTATTTAGCCTATGGTAGTGACTCCTAAGCTTTCTTCCGAGAATATCGAAACTGACGTTTTCTATATAATTGAAAATTAATAAAAGAATTAGAATACAATATATTTATATAATGTTACGTTAGCTTATATATAGTTTATATATACGACGGCGTAGTCATCTACATTTTTATTCTTAATCGAGGATATGTGTAGGTAGGTGTCTATGGGCCACAGCATCCACTTACCATGTGAACTATGTGCTCGTTTGTCGCCCTTATTCCTTTAAAAAACATCCCACTACTTCCTCTAACTCGCCGCTACGAAGATGTTGTGCAGTCATTATAAAAGTACGGCTCCGGATACAATAATATTATAAATAAAATTAAAATTGTGCATTCCTAGTTTCCTATGTGTAAAACACGATTTTATCATGCATCCAATGCGTAGGCTAGACGAATGAGAACTTAAATAAAACTAGATTCTATAAACACTAGTTTAATAAGCCTGTTATATTTTATTGTCGCCACAGCAAAGAAACTAGTTGGTTTAGCTTAGCCTTGAGCTATTAACAAAAAGCTTGAGTCACTATTAACAAAAACTACAAATTGATCGGACGTTACGTTGATACAAAAAGTTCCTCTGTTTTTAAACCTGTTTCTACTTATTATTTCTCTACGTTATTACTTCGACAGATTACTTAGCCGTGCAGTCTAATATAAGCACCGAGGTACAGACGTGCGATGTAGTAATTTTGTGATAAAACAGTGATAAAAGTCTACCTTATGGTATAAGCGATTGGTCTTTGTTTTTAGAATTAGCTCCGCACTGAAAATTTCGTTTGACGTATATAAATTACACATAGATACATCACGACTCATAAGGATTATTTGTGGTTCATACAAATAGATTTCCGTGTGAGATTTGAACCCGCAGATCGCAGCACCGCAATTAAACGCTTAACCACTGAGCTATCAAGCTGACATTGTAATTATACTACTTCTTCATCTTCTTTGAAAACACAAAAAAACAAAAAGAAAAGAAAAGAACACTGCTGCCCGACAGCAAAATTAGGTAAGAGGGTAGTTTTTCTCTAGACGGACTACTTACCTACTAGAGAGAAAAACATTCCTAATTCTATTAAATAAAACAATTTTAATCTTCAGTAGAAAAAATCAAGAACTTCTGGAGTTCTAATGTCTAAGGAGTTGGAAAAGCACCTGGGCTACATAAATAACTTGACCATAAAACATAAGGAATGAACTTTAAGCATCCATACCTGATTAATTGGTTTCCCGGTGACACAAGCGTGAGCGTTGATATCTTTGTAACCGATGGTCTTCGCGTACGTGTCTGCTATCCAGGACATCTCACGCTCGCCTGTTCCCATGTCGGGAGCAGGGACATCCACGCCGGGCCCTGAGAGGTGCCAATTTTTTTTTAGTTATCATGATTTTGGCCTATTTTAATGGAGTACGCCCGCGTGGTCTAGTAGTTCTAGTGGTTAGTGGTAGTCAGATTACCTGTATACCACGCTGCGGATCCTGGGTTAATATTCCAATATTTGTGCAAAACACAAATGTTGTGCTTATTGTTTTACGCCATGTCTCTGACGCTACGTCACAGCCTACGCCATAATCGTATAAGCATGTGCGGAGGAAGGTTAGCACGACTAAGGCATTTCAGTTTGTACACGTAGGTACACTAGTGCCACTATAATATCTGTTGCCCAGATGTCCAATCATTTCTCTCTCTCTCTCGTCTACTTAACCGAAAGTTTTCGCCACGATCGCTACGACACGTCGATACTTACACGCACTCGCAGCTTGCGAGCGATTGTTCCGTGCACACTCATATTTGTCAAAAAAATATCTGCAACTGCCTCAATAGACATTAGAACGGTATAACCTCTCCCTTTTTAGCACTAACTGATGGGAAAGAAAGGTTTAGAGTAGCAGCCTCATACCGGCAAGCGGAAGGTAGAGCGGTCAACGGTCACCCACCAAATGTGGTGACAAAATGGTAAGATATGCAAGTAGTCGATAAATGCACGTAGATGTGGCAAGAGACCTAAGTTTAGCAGTGAACATGTGATGGACTATAATGATGATAATAAGCCCATTCCTGTAATTTTTTTAATTTATATTTTAATTAGAAAAGAGTTTTACAGGAGGGCATGGTTTTTGAAATATAAACGTAAAAGTGTATATGTGGAAAAGCCATGCTACTGCAATGTTATGGTTGTAACACGAATGCATCAGGTAAGGACCACGCTCTCACAGAATTCTAGCGTTAAATAGCAACTTAATGCACTGTGTTTCGTATGATAAGTGTAAAACTAGACGATAGATAGATGTAAATGTGTATGGGCCACAGCATCCACTTACCATCACTGGTGGACTGTGTGCTCCTTTGTCACCCTTATATAAAAAAAAAAACATCTTAAATTCCGTGTAGTGGCGGCGTGAATGAATTCACCAACCTAAATGATCCCGTGGGTGTCGTAAGAGACGACAGAGGGAAACTGAAACAGGAGATGGGTAGCAGCATCTTCCTAATAACAATTAAATAATCTTTTAAAAAAGCTGTGGTTGCCCACCCATCTGTATTGTAACAACTTTGACAAATCTTCCCTATGAGGCAATATGTTGGAGAGGCCTACGTACAGTAGTGGACTTGTTAATGGGCTGTAATAAATGAATTGACAAATTATGCAACAAGGTTAGTTACGGTTAAATGGTGTGTTACGCACGAATAAATTATCAGACCCGAAACAATTGTTTTAAGGCCATATATAGCGTTCCAGTCAAACGTTTCTCCAGAGCGCTACCAAGCTGTCAATATACTTACGGCAATAGAAATTTCTAAGAATATGAAAATCAATCAATCATGATATGAATTTGATACTCAAATCATGATTGATGATCGGTCAACCAGGTGAAAGAGATAGACTCAATGGATAATAATACTATCGCAAATATTTTTTTTTGTAATCAAGTACCTTATAGTTTTTTTTCAATCACGCTATTTTCGTCTCAATGTTTATTCCACTATCAAGTTTTTAATCAAGATACATAAACTTCGCTTTCGCATTGCTCGTATTAAGTGAATTTCGAAGCAAGTGGACTGATACTGGATTACTAGTTTTATTTTTCTGTGATCGAAAAAGCCTTACCGATAAATCCCTTTTTAGCGAGCTCGAGTGCAAAACGACGAGTGATCTTCTCCAGCTCGTGTTCGGAATATTCCTTAGGGTTGATCTTAATGCCAGCTTTAGCGCCACCGAAGGGAACATCCACACAGGCGCATTTGAAGGTCATTAAGGCAGACAGTGCCTTCACTTCGTCCCTCGTTACGTCCGTTGAGAATCGAATACCTATGGAACAACATAATTGGATTATTCTAAAAGTAAAAATCGAGTTTAATTACAGTCGAGAGCGATTGTGTAACTAATAAGAATCGTTTACCGTTACCGTTACAGCCTGAACATAGACCTCTCCCAAAACTTGCCTCATAGAGGAGATATTTGTCATAGATGTCACGCTTGGCAACCGCAGTTTATTTTCAGTCGTTATTAGGAACATGGTGCTGTCCATCTCCTGATTTGTTTCCCTCTATCACCTCTTACGAAACTCACGGATTGATATGGGGTAGTAGACATTCTTACACCGCCACTACACAGTTCACCGAATAGGATCGTTTAACGGTGAGAATTACTCGGTAACTGCACTAAGCTTTTTTTGTGTCCTAAAATAAGATATTAATGTAACAATTACGTCAACTTATGGTCGATACTGATACCAAAGAATATGCATATATATTATTACTATATACAGATACATTGCACTATGCAAACAGATAATATTTTAAATTTAAATTCAATCGACTGAAATATCGCCCTTACGGCCTGTAATAGTACATTACTGAACATAGGCCTCCTTCATAGTATGCGCACGCGGTATGGCAACCGCAGTTTTTATTACTTTGAATCGTTAGCAGGAAAATGATGCTTTCCATCTCCTGTTTCCCTCTGTAGGCTCCTACGATAAACCTAAAGATTTAATAACCTACCTAAACTCTAATTTTGCCTTTTATAAAAAAAAAATTGTTAATATCGCCAAGATAACTTCAAAAAGCAAATCAGAAACTGGAAACTTTCTAATATGTATACGAAATATATGAAACAACATTAGAATTGCCATTTATATTTTTGTTTAAAATTTCTGCATAGCCTCGATTTCGTTCAGCGATTTCTTGTTAGCAAAATAGAAATTGTGTTCATCTATTTTTGTAAAAGAGTTGATTATTCAGTTCGCCTTTATGTAACTGGCATGTGTATGTTATATTATTAGGAGAATGGGAGGTGTGTAAGTGTGAATTTGGTGTGAATGTCAGTTTATTTTTAAATTTTTCACACGTAGTTTCAATCATGGTAGGTACTAATAAAACGGAGTGATTATATACTCTATGGTAGTTAGTTTGAGATAATCTGACGTTAGGGAAAATTTCAACACTGAACATACCGAGGGTACACTCGGCACTGATGTTAAAATTCAAAACTATTTATATTTGACGTTTGTGCAATAGAACTTTATTAACAGTTGTTTTGCCTTCTATATTTAAAAATAGCAAGTATTATAACTTTCGTGTCAATGTTTATGAAAAATTACTATGTGATAAGGTGGGTGGGTGTTCACCTAATCTATTTAGCAGTCAGGTGACATGATCAACAAGTAAGCAAGTATGACGTAATCATTCAACATTTATATTTACTGTAAGTCTGCGAAAACGTGACTTCAATGCGTTAAGATTGTTTGTGATGTTATTAAATTTACAGGCGGTTCTGTTGACCGTTGTTGCTTATGTAATCCAAAGTGGGGTAAATAGGTGTTAAAATCAATATTTATTTTTGATTGCGCAACACTGACGCAAAACGCGTCACGGTCACGCCTCCTGTTCTCAAAAGCATTAACGATTGTCGACCATTTGATCGGGGTTTTATCTTTCAGATGTTATCGTTATGTAATAAGAATTTATATATATCATCGTTACATTTGATATAAAATCTGTGATTGTTACTAACAGCTGACAAAACCTATTTTTCATAAATTATATTTAAATAAGGCGCTGTCAGCAAAGTCGCAAAGCTATAGAGCAAGGTTTTGTCATAAATGTGGAAAATTGTTAAATTACCCACGGCTCCAGAACGGTTGGCCGGCTTTATCATTATTTCTATTTGACATTTACGTAAACATTATGTATCTCATATAATGAGGTTACGATATATTTTTACAAAAATGTTTGTATATTTATTTTGTTCATTTCAAATCAATCAATAATGGTTTTGCACCAACTCAAATCAGACAGCTCATAATCGATCGATGAATCGACCCGAGATTTTTTTTATACGATAAGGGTTACAGACAAGCACATAGTCCACCTGATGGTAAATGGATGCTGTGGCCCATAGACATCTACATCTATCCTCGATTATGAATCAAAACGGAGATGCGTTGTTACCCGTGAGGACTAAGATGGAATGCCCCATTTCCAGTAAAAAAAGGGTCCACGGTTCTCTACACTTATCATAAGAAACACAACAACAGTGTTAAGCTACTATTTTTAGCTGGTATTCTGTGAGAGTGTGGTCCTTCCCGGGTCGATAAGATTGTCATTCGTGCTACAACTATACTACTAATATAGCTGCAGTATGGCTCTACCACGTATATGCGATTGTTTGTGATTTTTGTTTCGTTCCGTATATTTACTACGGCTGCTACGACCAAGATTATTAACGATGTGTGTCTAAACTACAGAGTACAGACTTAGCACCAAGTTTTGATAACAACGATAAAACGCTGCAGGTTTAACTGGGTCAAATTGGCAAAATAAAGAAGCTAGAAAAGTTCCATAAGAAGAACGAATATCAACGATAATTCTAGGTGACGAAATGTACACAGTGTTATTAAAACATCACAAAACTAAGGAACTCTGAACCTGAAGTGATCCATGAGTCCTAGTCACAATAAAATCCTACACGCAAGGCTAAGTAAATTCTTATTAACAAAATTCGACAGGTACCTAAACTTGACGCAATGTCTCGTGAGTATATGTGTAATTATAAAAGATATTACGGTCGCTATATAGTCATCACTACCAAAAGTTCGGCTGAGTGATCTCATACCATTAATTAAATAATTTTTAATTAAAAACTTTGTACAGCCGACTTCAATATAAGTTATTAAGAATAACTCAAATAACTCAAAAACTATTGGTCTGACCTTGATCAAATTCATATGGGAGAAGTAACACGAGAAGTATCAGCTTTCATAATCATCGAATTCGGATCAAGAATCATCGAAATCGGTCCACCCAGTAAAAAGTTATGAGGTAACACACATAAAAAAAATATACGCGTCGAATTGAGTACCGTCTCCTTTTTGGAAATCGGCAGAAAAGAGTAAGTGTTAAGACGATTGTCTACGGAATGTATTCTCGATTTGGTAGGTTGACAGATGCCTCGATAAAAGTAGTCAAGGACCGTGTTTTCTAAGAGGCTGTAGATGATCTATGCTTTCTAATGGACTGTAGGTCTGTTTTCTATAGTGCTGATGGGCTTAGGAGATATGTGTTAAGGTTGACCATTAAAACCTATTTTTAAAGTATTAAAATCGTTAAATTAATTTATCAGTAATTATCTATATAATAACAAGTGGTAAATATTCCACACAGCAACACATTTATTTGAAAGAACGAAGCTAAAGGTCAGCGGAATTAACAAATGGTTTTAATGAAGTGTGACAATTTGAATAGGTTGTAATTTTATTGTCATCCTTGTTTTATTTTTGTACTAGCTGCGCCCGGCGGCATGCGTTGCAATGTATCGTTTTTTAGAAACCATCGCGAGCTAGAGCACGACTCAACAAAGTTCCATCGTGATGAAGGATGAATGGTATGGGACAAATCTACAAGTCTTAATCAGTGTAATGATTTTGTCAAGTCATTCTTCAAGTATGAGCAAAAAAGGTTGTGTTGTAGTTGGAAGGAAAAGGGACGATCTCCCATTAGGCAAGGTGTTCTGCCCGGGGAGCGGCCAACGCTCCGAAATCCGAATGGTAGTTCGGAGCTATTCTGTATATACAGCTTTTTACTTCGGAACTTTGATAGCGCGATTTAGGCTTCGATGTATTTTCGCTTGTGGCGAGACGACAGCGCCGCAGACGACTGCTACTGCTTGTTTTTAAATACAATTTATTTTAACAAACATTATTTTTATCAAATTATAAATTGGAATTTTATATGTCGTTTTCTTACGTATTCTGCGGTTAAAGAAAACATCGCAGTATACCTGCATATATTTCGAGGAAATATAAAATCTGAATTCGCGTTGAGGTGTTGCGGTGAACTTTTATTGTAATTAGATCATTAGTCCGGACCGGGTTTTATTGTAATTAGATCATTAGTCTTTGAGTTATCGTCAACCAAACAAGTCAATCGGGAAGAAATTCGAAAAAAAGAAACTCGAGTTCCGTGCCGTTATCAAGTTCCTTACAAAGCGCGGAAAATCAGTTCAGACTATACTGGAAGAGATGTCATCCGTTTACGGAGATTCTTGTCCAAGTAAAACTATGGTTTACAAGTGGCACACCCTTTTAAACAAGGCAGAGGGTCACTTGAAGACGACCCACGGCCAGGAAGGCCAATCGAGATGACCACTTCGTAAATTATTCAAAAAGTCGAAAAATTAATATTAGAAGACGCCCGCCTAAAGAAAAAACAGCTCGCAGAAATGGTTGGAGATACAACCATTTTCAAAATTCTTCATGACTATCTTGGCATGACTAAAGTCAGCGCAAGATGGGTGCCTAGAATGCTCACGCGGCCTCAAAAGCAACAGCGCGTGGAGTGCATTTTTGGACCTCTGTATGAAAGACAAAGATGGAGTGTTGGCTCGAATTGTTACTGGTGACGAAACTTGGGTTCACCATTATGAACCTGAGTCCAAACAGGACTCTCAAAGCACAAAAAAGGCACACCACCACCCAAGAAATTTAAGGTGGCACAATCGGCTGGGAAAATTATGTCGACAGTCTTTTGGGACTCAGAAGGAATCCTACTGATTAATTATAAAGATAAAGGTGTCTCCATAACCGGAAATTACTACACTCCAATCCTAGAACAATTGAAGGAAGCCATAAAGGAGAAAAGAAGGGGAAAATTGACCAAAGGAATCCTTCTTCTGCACGACAACGCGCCTGTTCACAAGTGCCAAGTTGCGATGGCTGCCCTGCAGAAGCTGCAGAAGGTGAAATTTTGCCACACCCACCCTATAGTCCTGACCTGGCCCCCTGTGATTATTATCTATTTCCAAACTTA